ATAATAATAATAATAATAATAATAATATTTCAAAGTTGTTTTCCTGTAAATTCCAATACTTCAATATTTTATGGAGCGTTAATTTCCTTCTCGCATTGAATTAGATACAGCTGATGACCTTGAGGGAGATGTCCAAGCTGATGTTACTAACGTCACTGCGAGAGAGGTAGGAACGTTTAACTAAAGGTAGTATTCTGGTAAACAGGCCACCTACCCCTCCCGTAACCCAAAATTTTGCTTTAAGTGTGAAGTTCGTGTTAACGTTGCTTTAGGGGAGGGGTACTGAGGTGGGTAGTTTCCCATAGTCGTACACCGATCCAAATTGCTCATTAGCATACGAGTTAACCCATAGAAGGGGTCACCATATGAACAAATCAAATTCAAAAGTTGAAAGGGTTGGTTAGTTGAAGCAATTTGTGCAGTTTTCAAATTGCAAGCAATAACAAAGGAAATAGCAGCCACAGAAAACCGCGAAATTGCTGGGTAGAAAAACGATAATGAGCCCATACATTCTTTGCAGTTTTAGGTTTTACAAAGAGAATTTCTCCGAAACTATTGGATATATCGGGCTCAAATTTTCAGAGATAACTGAAATTGTTATGCTCTTTCGATATCAGAGAGTTTATTTTGATAGCTTGATCAGAGAATGAAAGTTGCATCCTAATTAAGAAAAAATGTAAGCAAAGATTCGCCTATACCTGACCATAAATGGCCTCCTTTTACAGGGCCATGTCCCTCAGCACTCAGCTGTAAAAATTGCTTATTAGTGTTGACTTTGATTAGAAAACTAGGCGCCATCTAGTCCTGAGCGGCTTGCCTTCCGCTTTGCTAACCGTCCCGTCAATGTAGACTGTGTTTTCCCGCCTTTTCTCTGTCATACTGACACTCGCATCAATGTGTTTTGCAGTACCAAGTGAAGTGGAACCCACCGAAAGACCCCAATGGTCTTGTGCTTAAATATGACGTAGAAATCACAAGGGTAGGTAAATCACGACGTGCTTCATGCTCTAATGTTGGCAGAATAGTGAAAGCAAACTATGGTCGTGCAAAGACTGTTCTTAATGTCCACTGTGCACATATACAAAACGAAAACCCAATTTATAATAACATTGAAGCCTGAAAAAAACTTCTGGGGCCGCTAGAATGAACAACTCGTCTGTATGCGGAATCCGTAACAGAAAAAGCGTCTGGATGCGGAATCCGTAACAGAAAAGCGCTGTAGCGAAGGCAGACGTCCCCAAGGGGGTGAGGGGGGCGTAATAAGGTAAAAAAGCATTTTGTTTTCTTTCAAATTTCTTGTGTTTGGCAATGAACAGGACTCTTTTTCTCCGGAGATGCGGTGTTGTGATGGCAAAAAAAGTGATTATCTTGGAGCAGCTGGTGCTGCTGGAAACTTTTCTGTTCGTGTACGAGCCATCACGCCCGCGGGAAATGGATCTTGGAGCCCGGTAGCTTTATTCGTTATACAAGAAAGAGAGAAAGCCACAAGTGAGTGTCTAACGTATTTTTCTGTTTATCATGTTAGATATATTTATATTCGTTAAAAAACTTGGGCTTCATCCTATGTGTAAAGATGATTGTTACATGAAGTTATAGAACCTCTCCTTTGGGACACCTCTATTCAACGAAAAATGTTCACATAATCTTTGTATTTGTTACCTTTATTAAAGGGAGACCTCTATTCAGGGGAAAGGGACACTTTTTCTGGGCCCCGAAACCAGGTTTAACCTCCACTAATCACAATGTTGTCAGCATTCACAAACTGAACTTTCTCACATAATTCAATGTACTGCACTTTTGGAAATTCAACGCACAATATCGTGGAGATAAGTTTATCATGTTTTTTTTATGTACATTATCTAGCTGCTTTATAATGACTGCAGCGGATTCTGTGGCAGAGTGAAAAATATATATGTTTAGTTTTCGCAGCGAAAGGCCCGACGTGAAGATAACATGTAAGTTTCACATGTGAAGATATCATGTTTTGGCAAATGTATATGAAATAAATTATATAGGAGAACTGCGGAAATGAAATCAAATGAAGAATGATCCTCACAGTTGTGAACGACGCAATTTATGCAATTGCGTAAGAAGCCTGAAAAACATTTCTGGACGTCATTTTGATATATGTTTTCGCTCGAAAGCCCACCTGGTATTTCTTTGATATGTATATAATAAAATGTTTTATTTAAGTCAAGTTCTGGAAAATCGTTATCATCAATGAAAAACCTGGAATGACGGTAACAGGTCTTAAAAATGAATAGAACAGGATTACTTGGTTCCTTATTGTTTTCAGTGCAAATCGGTCTTTTTGTGAGAAATGTGCCTAACATTGCGGTTCTCTGAAGTGTTTTTTTTTAGTTATGTTGATAAATGAACAGGATTAAAACGCTGGGCGCAGTCAAAAATGGCGTTATGATATTTCATCCGTTTTACCACGTTAGGACTAACTCAGCCGGTAGACCGCTGACCTGCAGAGTGTGAGGACACGGGTTCGATCCTCGGGGATGGAGCAATACACTGCGGGCCCCGCGGGGTATTAAAACCAGGGCTTTCACTAAGATTTCAAGTTGTGGGTTTGTTAAAAGGCGGGGAACTGAACAGCTAAGAAGTTCTTTTGGTCCTGTTTCCTTTTGTTTGCAATTACTGGAGTAGCCGGGGATCGTGCTCATGATAGCCTGGGGAAACCCCCGCCTGCTCCCCTTTGTCAGCACTGAGAAGTAAAGGAACTACTTTTGCCCTCCAAAGGCAGAAAGGTTTTCGTTCATAAGGTGATCGTGCACTTATGTCCCGAAATGCGAGCAGTGCTGAAATGGCGAATCAGGTGAAAAATCGCCAGAGGGTTGGCCAAAATTCAAATGAGATATAAAGAGGCGCAGCGCGAATTTGAAAAATAGCCATTCGCACAAAAAAGGCGAAAATTGAAAATCTGGCGACAACTGAAACATTTAGAGAAGTTGGTGGAACAAACAGTTCAAGCCTTAACGTCCTGTTTCGATGGACTGGTAATGTGCATTTTTTTACAATCTCTGAAATTAAATTCCTCATAGGTGGTCGTTGATAATCCAATGTGGTCGTTGAAAAGACCTTAAAAAGTGGTCGCAAGCTTTTGTATGAACCCTGGAGGCGAATTGGATTAAAATGGCGAATCTGGCGAAAATTTTTAAGGGTCTGAAATTTCAAATGTGAAGGCGCAGGCAAGAGGCGCCTCTTGCACTCTGCCTTCTGAACTTATATTGAGAGCTTTGTTTATTCTCAATATTTCAGAGAGCCCCAGAGACGAGACAGAAGCGTTAGCTGTAGGAACTGTTGTGGGAGCCAGTCTCGCTTCCTGTGCTGTATTCGTGTTGGCTTGTGGTTTTCTAATCTGGTATTTTGCTCGTAAAAGATATGAGAGGTGATTCTCTTTTTATCAGTATGTAAGCGCTAGACCTTTTAATTCTTCTAAAGACGAGTTTCCTATTTACGGCAATATAGTGTTCACTAGTCTGCGCCACAGATGGAAATTAACTTCAGGTTAACCCTGTAAGTCTCAATGGTGACTAACATCAATTTTCTCCTAATGATATCCATACATAGTCAAGAGATACGGTTATGAGAATTGATAAAATGATCACCAAAGTGAAAATGCATTGATCTTTTATAAAATTCTCTCAACACATTCCTTAAAGAAATGTATGGAGGTCAGTTTGTAGAATTTGTATGTGTATATTGGGGCTTAAAGGGTTAAGCCCGTCTGCGAAACACCGCAGACGGACCCCCAACTTGTGTACCCGGATTTGAGTACGCACCATGATTGGCCTGTTAAATAAAAGCCACTGTCAATGAAGGGAAATTCGAAACGCATTTCCGGTAATTCGTTGAGTCCGTACCAGTGTTATGTGGGATCCAGAGAGCGGAGCGTGAATTACGCCTGCCAAGATCATGTTCCTCTCTTATTGCTCGCCCCTCGCTCACGTCCACCATCGTGGTACCGGTGATGCACACTCCCCCCCCACCCCCACCCCTACAGTCCCTCCTGGGTTTGTTGAAACGAGTTTCGAGTAACAATGGAATGATCGTAATGTCAAGAACGTGGAACAAAGAAAGGAATCTTCAGTCCTTGACATGCTTCAAACCATCATTACTGCTCTGACCTCCCCAATACAATGCTGGCGCTTTATTCTCTTCACTGAGGTTGTGAGAGACAGGGAAACCACTGAGGTTACTCGCTAGTAAGTGTGTAATCTGATTGTGAGCGCAATTGAAGGTTGAATGACTTAGCGTCTTTTACTCATCCAGTGGTAAATATCTTTGTTCTGGTACATCAGGTACACTGATGAGACGATTCCTGGGGTGCTTTACGCTTCAGTTAATCCAGAATACATGACCTCTACTGATGGTATGTAACAATTTATCGTGAACTTAGCCTGGGGCCAGGCTTCGCAGTTGGGGGAGTTGGGGGGAAAAAGGCGGCAAGCCGAGCAATAATCTGGGGAAGGGAAAGGCCACCCATTCCTCCTCCCCAGCCCACCGCTCACCCATTTTTTTTTAATGCCTTTTCCTTTTATTGCCATTTTCCCCCAGTCCTCCTTTTTTCCTTTAGCCACAACACATACCAAATAGTTTAATTTATTTTAGAAAATTATTCAATGAACTGCCATTTGATCCTCCTTTTCCCTAAATTCTTTGAAATATAATGAGCCATGATCAATTAATTATGCAGATTTAGATTTAAAGGGGCTATTTCACGACCTGCGCATGTGAGGCTTATCTGTTGATATACTCAACTGTCCGCCATATTGAATTTTTGAAAACCTGACGGATTTTTGGCAGCAAACAACAGTTTACAGACCCATTTTTCTGACTTTTTTTCGCGACTACACGGACAACAGCGCGCGTAAGCTAAAAACCGTATTGACCAATGACAGATATGAAATTAAAGGTCGAAAATTCGTTTCCAATCCTTTCCGCGTGGTTTTGCGTTCTCATTTGCCGTTGTGATGCCTTTGCTAATTCTTCTCATGACACTAGGAGCCCGCGTGGCTGACCGATCCGGGAGTTGGAGCTCCAAATCCCAGACGATATCTTTAAAGCTTGTTTTCTCTTCTTGCAGTTTATATTCCTGACGAGTGGGAGTTTCCCCGAGAGAAGATAAAGCTAGTGCGTGAACTCGGGAATGGCTCATTTGGAATGGTGTACGAAGGAGAGGCGGAAGACATAACTCCTAACGCTCCTCGCTGCAGAGTAGCTGTTAAGGTAACGCTCTTACCTACAAGTCAAATGAGCCTGGTTATAAACGGGTTAGGGTAGTGAAGAAGAACAAGATAAAAAAGGCTTCCATGTCAGAGATCAGCGTGTTAGTGCAAATTGACGGTGTTATTTTAGCACCATTATTTTCTGCTGACCCTATACAAATCCTTCTAAATTTGAATGGGCAAGGTATGGGTTTTGGCCATGCGTTGAGAAGTTGTAGCTGTTGTTACGCAATAGCTGACCTTTGTTCTCCTTTTTCAGACTGTAAATGAAAACGCATCATCAAGAGACAGAGTGGAGTTCCTTCAAGAGGCCTCTGTTATGAAGTAAGTGTGTGTGACCAATTGTAGACTGTTCACGGTCCTCTATTTTTCCGTAAGATCGTCGAGATCAATTGCAAGCGCTTTGCGTTACGGGCCGCCATCTTGGATGAGTGTCAAAACTGCTCAGGGGGCAGTGTTGTATTATGGGCAAAGCGAAAGTGGCAAATGTGAAAATCTAGCATTCTGGTTTCCAGTGTCTCTCTTCCTCAGGGGACGGAAAGAACAGAGTCCCTGGGAACGAGATTGCAATGCAAATTGTTACTAGCCACCAGTCCTCTTTACCTCCATTCAAAATCCATGATAACATCGCTTTTAGCTCTGTTCAGTAACGGTGACGAAATCAAAAGTACCAAAATAGTACCTAGTTCGAAGAACCGTCCTCGAAATGTACTTTCCTTCTTCACGCCATTGATATGCGGATTCAAGTACAGCATTTAGTGTAACCATGCAGTGAATCATTAACCCGCAACACATTGCGATATTTTACTGATGATGATGATGATGATGTCCTATTTGCGTACTCTTCTCTCTCAGACAATTCTCCAGTAATCACGTTGTGCGTTTATTGGGCGTAGTCTCTGAAGGACAACCTACTCTTGTTATAATGGAGCTCATGGAGTTGGGAGATCTCAAGAACTTCTTACGATCGCGCCGACCAGGGGTAAGGGGTTTCCCGAGATATTGTCACTCTGCTGCCATTTTTATTTAACTGTGGCTGTGTTGGCTCAGAGCTAGTCGTGGGTTCGATTCTTGGTGTCGGACCAATACTCAAGGTCTTTAAAAGAACTAAGAAATGAAGTAATGACTAAGTAGAAATGTGGAACCCGGCTCCACCAGCAGGGGAAGAAAGAACAGTGTTCGTTATATTAAAACTGATTATAACATGACTCCGAGGCTTTAGGGACCAAATTGCAAATTTTCCTTAACAACTCGGAGTCATGTTAGAATTTTAATATATCGAACGTGGGCTATACGCCACTTCCACATTTCCCATCATGCACCTTATGTGCCCCCCCCCCCCCCCAAAAAAAATTGCATAACCTTTGTTTTTCATTTCTCCTGTCCATTACAGTCGTCCCAAGAGAAATTGAAAGCAATGCTTATGCAAAATTTTTGGGAGCAAATAAGGTGCATTATGGGTAATGTTTAAGTGGTTTATTAGTTCTTTTGTGCTAATCACACGGCACCGGACGACAGGACACTTTTTTCACCCGGGACCGTTCGATATTTTCTTTCTGTTCACACGGAACTTTGAACGGCTAAGTGTCGTAATTTCCGTACGGTTAAGATGGTTCCGTATGAACGGAACACGTATATGCGCGAATTCAGTCCGGTGCCGTGCCAACGAAGCCTTGAGTAAAAGTGTTTTTTTTTTTTAAGTGAACTCACAATTGACCCTGGTAAGGCCACCGAACTAGTTTACGGAATTTCGTGGCTTCAGTCTCCATTTGGAACTCCTAATGTTTTTTCTGATTTATTCCATTATTAGAGTTTTTTATCCCTCTCAGAGTCAGGATTGTATGAAGTCCAGTGACTTCAAAACATTCTCGCTTAAAATAAGAATGAGGTTACCTTGTGATTTACCGCTGTCTTTTTCGTAGCTCAGAGTATTTTCTTTCTTTTACATCTTTATTTCTTTTTCTTTATTAGGAAGGATCACTGCCGGCGCCAACTCTTCAAGAACTTCTTCAGATGGCTGGAGAAATAGCGGACGGCATGGCATATCTGGCAGCCAGAAAATACGTCCACAGGTATGGCACTTACGGGTGTTTCTGTTGTTTTTTTTTTTGCGCTCGAAGGTGTTTCTTATTTGATTACAGTTGACCTAAACGTTGCTTATATCTGGGGTACTAGTCTCCCACGCTGCTTTGGGAGTGGCGTAGATTGGCCTTGCTGGAGACCACTGCATGGGGCACGTGTCGTAGTGGGGGTGGTGAGAGGAGAGGGTGGGGACGGTGAGATGGACAGCTGAGGCGTAGTTGTGTGAGAGAGGTGAAGTGTAGTAGTCCTGGTTTATTGTAAACAGTGCATGTCAGTTGTTATAGTAACAAACCCTGGATTTGTGTTAATCGGCCTTTGAGCCACTCGGCCTAGAAAAATAGAGTTATGAAAGATACAGAATACATAGTATACAGAATGATTTTTACCTCCGTCTGGAGCAATAGGGCTTGACAGAGGCGGAGAGAGCGCTGGGAAAGACACACATTTTCGTTACACACCGAATTTGCACGGAATGTGTTAGTTTGTCTTGCCAACCGTTAGCAGATTCTGAATTTCTTATCCTTATGTTTTTCTCCTTTTGTAGGGATCTGGCTGCCCGAAATTGTATGGTCAATGCGAATTACACAGTTAAAATAGGAGGTAGGAATACTACAAGAGTCATACCATCTGTCGAATTTTCTTTACACTGATTTTCTGTGGATATTAATAACATATAGCGTTGTTTCCACAGATTTTGGAATGACTCGCGACATTTACGAAACAGACTATTACAGAAAGGGAGGAAAGGGTAAGCTACATGTATCACATGTTTACGTTTTCTGTGTGTCCTTAGTTTGCGGGCAGTCTCTTATTTATCTTCAGTGTTAATGGAGTCCATGCGTTCCATGCGTGGACCCCACTCGACGCGAAATAAGGAACGTAACTTGAGGAAAAAGAAGAAGAAAAGGAGGATGCGTCATAGTTCTTTGCTGCTTGCCTACTGCAAAAGCTGCCCCACTAATTTTGAAGATAATAGAGTAGTCTAGTAGTGTTTCACGAACAGCTGAAGAACAAGTCGCAAATTTCGTTTTGTAAAATACTGATCAACAAATCGCACCATTCCAAAGTACTTCTTACGAGGTCACACCATTATAGCATTTCGCTCACAGACTCGAGAAGTTGAACTTAATTCCACGTCCACATAACTGATTTTGGGAGTCAAATTGTAATCACTGGAACTACTTGTTACTTACTACAGAGTATCAACTGTGACATGAAGGTCCGTATGGAGATGCGAGTGAGATAGGGTCATGTACCCTGGTGAAAAGTTTCGGACTTGTGGAGCTTATTGTGTTAGTAAGCGCGGGAAATGATCTGCTTTGACTTAAAGATTTTTCTTAATGAGTTTCGCTGAGTTTGAAGCCATTAGCCTATAGCTTGAGTAAGATTAGCCTGCTAGCAAGCTCTCCGGCTAAAGTGAGATGCATTAATTCATCCTACAGACGATGGGATTGGACATAAGTCCCAGATACGTACTTGCCGTGTATATCTGGTACACATCTGATGTTAGGTCCAATACTGGATGACCAATAGCGTTTTTGCTGGGGTCTTCTCTTTTAGAGTTGGGCGTGTAGCTTGTATTAATTGTTGTACAATACCAATCCCATTGTAGGTCTGCTTCCTGTACGGTGGATGGCACCAGAGTCCTTAAAAGATGGTGTTTTCACCAGCAACAGCGATGTGTGGTGAGTTGAAACGAATCGTAGTAATCGTTAAATGTTTTGCCACGGTTTTGCGTATAAATAGTTAAAGTTTTCAACAGTAGCGAATTTTCCAGTCGTTGATCCGGATGCTAATGTGAACACACCCTTGCTTCAACTACCCTCGACAGAATTCGGACCAGTGCCAGTACCCAGGAACAATGTCGAGACCTTGTACTCCGGCACTAAAGTCGGCAACGCGTCCCTCTCCAGTGATTGTAGCCATCGCAGCGATCGCAGCGACAACGGTCACTGAGAAAGTAAAAGTTCTATCTTAGCGATCATTTTCGCTTCGATCGCAGGGAGAGTGGTTTCCATATGATCGCTGAACTTTTTTCTCAGTGATCGCAGCGATCGTAGCGATCATTGAACTTTTTTCAGCGATCGTAGCGATCATATGAAAACCAGGCTTTAGTTCCGAGGCTACCTACTGCTTTGCATACCCATAACTTACTGCTACGCTCTTGTGTTAAAATGACGCCTGACGGGCTAAACGCTATGGAGCAAATACGTGAATAGTTTCAAACAGGGCACCCAAGGTGTGAACACAACACTATTTTGCGCAGGGAGCCAGTGTGATCTTAGCCTGTCCGAGTATTGGCACGTGTCACGTCTCCTCGCGAGAGGGGCTTGATTTGGTGCGCGCGAGCGTAGTCGCTAGCAAAAGTTAGTAAAGCCTGGAACAGACTTTCTATTTGGAGAGGATGAAAAAGTGAAAAAGCGCAAACAGACGGGGGAAAGCGGGGAAGGATGGGGTGGGTTGGGGGCGGGGGAGACAAGGAAGGGGAGAGGACTCGGTCCGATTTGTAATTACGGACTACGCGAAGTTTACCTGACGCTCTAACGTGGAATGAACTGAGTATTTTTCGTTTTTTGGTACAGGTCATTTGGTGTTGTGATGTGGGAAATGGCCACTTTAGCTTGCCAACCTTACCCCGGGAAATCCAATGAGGAAGTTCTTAAATTCGTGGTAGATGGCGGGCTCTTGGAAAAACCAGAAGAATGTCCTGACAGACTGTGAGTCTATTGTTTTAATTAGTCTAGATTGACGTGGACATCTTGCAAAGCTTTATTTTCTTTGCTCCGTATGACAAGCAACTCCAACTTTCCCAACCCACAACGACATCAGCCGGTAACGAGAACGTCAAAAGTGCAGCAGGTTTATTAATCAAACAAGGACTCTTCACCTGCCTCACCCTTGTTTTGTACATTTCTTTCCGTTACTGCGCCAAGAGTACCACGTAAAATGCAACGTCTTATGGAGGACCTAATTTTCGTTTCCTTTTTTGACCTTGAAAACGGTCCATAAGAACTCAACTCTATACAAAATTTACCTACATTTGATAAATTGAGCGAAATTGAATGATCGCGATGGAGTTTGAAACAGCACGAATTCGCTTTTTAAGTGACGTTTTCGTTGCCGGTTCCGTACTGGTTTCCTAAGCTCCGCATTTCTAGGCTCAGCCACCATGCTTAATTCCAGAAAAACCTTGCAACTGAGTTGTTAGAACGCGTCAAAGCTCCGCCCTGTCGCTTGTGAACAGGCTGTGGACTCCTGTGGGTTGTAGGACGAAGAGAAAGCTATAAAGTAGGAGCAGAGGTAGAGAAGAAAGGGGAAAGCCCACTCACCTTCACCGTCGTTTTTTTTCCACGGGAGCCGGCTCACAGGTTCCTTATCCTGTTGATCGCATTCTGTACTCTCTGTCTCTCTCCGAAGCCTTTACAAGGAGACGACTACCCACTGAATGTCGTGTCCGATATCTCGGGGCTAGTGGATTTTTCTATTGGGCTAGTGAATTCTGTTCTTAACTTGCCCACCAGGCAAGCGAAATTTTTAAAGGAATTCTAATCACAAAAGAAGTGTTATCAACCCTGCTCATCATCGGGCTAGTTAAAATGAGTTTTGGGCTAGTACTTGCTAACTACAGCTTGCCCGAATGGCAATCTGTAAAACTGACTTTCTTTGCCCCCTGGGCTAGCTAATTGCAGTCCTTATATCCCAAAAATTTGATGTCAGACCTCCTAATTTGAAACTTCTGCCCACGCCTCTGACCTGCCATTTAGTCATACGGAATGTCGCGCTTATTTTGTCTAATTGACTAAAGGCCTTTCTGCAAACAAAACCACTCCTACATCGTCTTTTGATTGACCTGTTATATTTCTTATAACATACCCCATCCCATAATTAACAATGATCCTTAATCTCGTACACATATCTCACTCTGTCTTACGGTGAAAAGTGAAATTTTTCCCCTCCCCCCCCCTCCCCCTTTTTCCATTATGATGCTCCTCTAAGTCTACAATCTGACTGTTGTGATTGCAAGTAAGGGTTGGTATATATATTGTGTTGACGCCAACAGTGATGCTTATCGTTTACTTAATTCAGGTATGACATGATGACCCTCTGCTGGCAGCACAACGCTAAAGCTCGTCCAACGTTTGTTTACCTCATAAGCCTTCTCGAGGACGACTTGGCAGACACCTTCCGCGAGCTTTCTTTCTACCATACTCTCCCAGAAGACCAACTTAAGGGACTGTTAAGTAGTCATTATAAGCATAAACATAAAATCGAAACTGAGGATTCTACCCTCAACGTGGAATGTGCAGCTTAGAGAAGAAATATGAAGCTTTGCTTTAGTTAGATATCGAACGACCCATCTGATCTATTATGGCGCTAAACGCAGTGTTGTTCCTCCAGCAATTCAGGTTACGTTTCTTCTTCAACAATGTGCGGAGGAGTGTCTCTAACATCTAAACTTAGAGATGTTTTCACCACGCATCACGCGACTGGAAATATCGTGGTATACGTGGACGCGGTAGGTACTTCCTGAGAAAGTTCGTCGCTCATTTGGTAAACGGTCTCGCCAGGACATAATCCAGACATGGAACTCTGCGAGTCAAAGTTGATCTGTTATTACGACTATAACTACAGGCTATCCTCTCACTTTGGTCAGAAAATGAAAGACGTATCGTCAAAAGATCACAAACCGAACCATTAGCCAGTAGTGGATGTGGAATACTTGGTAATGATGTGTCCCGAGTTACTACTGCTGTCAGAAAGGTCTCTTTGAAAATGAAATTGCTGCAATCTATGTCCTGCAAACTTTACAACTCTGGAGAGCTTATCTTTGATCCAGGCAAATCCTCAAGTCGGCTCGCTTGATCTCGTCATCTTAGCTCGTCAACTATAACTTCACGTCAACTTCAAATCCAAACCACAACCCTGAGCAAGACGCTTTACCTCTCGACTATCCTCTTAAACGCTCAACAACCCTCGGCAACGCTCGGCAATTCTCCGGATAACCGAATTACCATCGTCATCTTTCCTCGTCAGTCCTTGTTTATCTGTTGTAAGTCGCAGTTGACCTCTTATATTATACCCTGATTCTTGTTCGTAGTGCTTGCAACTTTTTAGATTACTGTCTTCCCTTGTCAGTTCTCGTGTAGCCTTGTCGACTGTCATCAGCTCTCGTTCTTCTTTATATTTATACCCTGTGACCAGTGCGTAGTGCTTGTTCCGATAATGGGTTTACACTAGTAACTCCAAAAGGCGACTTAACGTTACATTTCTCGAGGGCAAAGACTTTTTTAATGGCGAAGCTAATAAAAATTTCCAAAACAACCTAATTTACAATTAAATTGACTATCTACTACTTTCATTCATGGAATAATCAATTACAATTATTAGTGAGAAACTTTGCGCCCTTCAAGGGAAGCGTTAATAATGATTCAAAGGTAATCACCGTTTGTTATAAAAAAAAATTATCGGAGCATCCATATATTAAAATACTCGAGCTGAAATAAATATAACCAAAAGATAAAGTTTTAATAATACAGGGCGAGTAAAACCGCTCTACAGCAACCTGCTAAAATAAAGGCCTGTGTCATCATTGTTAATAAATCGCTTGGCGATACTTCATGTAAAACGCGAAATAAATTAATTCTTTATTTTGTACAGCTGTGTACGTTGTGTGAACTTCTTAAACAGCAATCCTTGTCACGCTAAAATAGGCACTTGAGCGAATGCATGTGACTACAGCTGGCGAATTACGTTATCCATGGCTTCCACCTATTGCGGACCTATGCACGCAACGCCAACCAGCCTTAGCCTACGTAGCAAGCGTTTCCAGTCGAGTTATGCGCGAAATTTGGAGCGGGAGCATTTCTTTGCTCTCTTTCCAGTTTTCTCGACGAACTCGCGTGGAACCGCTTGCTACGCAGGCTAACCAGCCTTGGTGAAGTTATATATTCCAAAATACCTGGCAATTAACCAGAGTGTACAATGAAAAAATGATGTGATATAGGGCCATAGCAGACTTGTTCCTAGTCATCCTCGGCGATTTCGGATGTGATTTCGATTTTCGATCACCTGTCAATGCGCTCGCGCTCGGTTCCAAGCTCTTTTGCGCACTCGAATAGCGCGAGCTCGCCTAGGACGAGGCTGAAGCCATGGGAGGATAGAGGACAAAATGAAGGAAAGAGAACGGTTAGTGTGGGCAAGAGGAGGGAGATCCCCTTTGGGGAGTGAATCTCCCTAGTTTGTACTCCTGATATCCTTTCTCTATGATTGATAAGAACTTTCTATAGTGGAACCCGACCGGTTTTAAGTAACGAGGTCGTCTTCTAAGCGGGGTGGTTTTAAGGTAGGGTTCAACTGAATCTGCAGGGCTTATCCGAGGTGAGACCTCCGTCCCGATCAAAATATTGGATCAGCTACTGTACTGTTACTCTTGGTAATAATTACCTTTCTGGCCCAGCTGTTCAAAAGCTGGATAGGGCATCCATCAGACAAATGACCATGCATCTGGTGTATAGCGTTTATATCTACCAATTGAAAGCCTGGGGTCCTGAATGGAAATGAAGTTGCTCTCTCTTAAGTGCAAGACATAAACACTGAATGTGATTGTTGGTATTTTCTGTTTTTTTTTGTGTGTGTGTGTATCACAAGATTAGGTGTGATGAGCATATATGTAGGAGGCCCATTTCTTTGTTACCAGTTTTGGAAAGCGCAAACTTGAGCCCTTAGCTAGAGCAACATTTTGACGAGGGCTTTCACTCGACTACTCTGAGTCCTTCCCAGGTTTTGTCCAGGTTCAGTTCTGGCTGTCTTCTGTCAGTCTCCTGACAGTTTTTTAGAGCCAAAACTAAACTTCATAGCGGTGCTCTAGTGCAAAGCATTGTATACAAGCGGTGGCGCCTAATTGAAGGAAGCCACACACGCAAATGTTCTTGCTCTACAGCTACCTTCAGGGGCACCCAACGACAAATTTCGGAAAATATCTGTTCGGAAGACGATTTGAGATCTAGAATTTTCGAAACATTTGTTGTAAAACTTCTTGCTTGCCTGCCTCTCCTTGGATTTTCGAACATCTAAAAAATGGTATAACTGCCTATTTTTAACAGATTTTTACCCTAAAAAGGTCACCTAGAATTTTCGGGAGCCTTTTTTCTGACTGGAATTTTCGAAAAGGTAAGTTTTGATCCCTATAATTTTCGGATCACGAGACTTTCGGCTAGGAAATCCGAACAGATGAAAAATTTTTAGGGGTTAAAAATATGCCTATATCTACCGTTTAAATACTAAAATACGTTTAACAATGCTATGTTAAAGTCATGTTAAGTGGGTTTGAACTATATTCCCGTTGGGTGCCCCTGTACCTTGGCTCTTTTGAGCACAAGGCTGTTTTTTACCCACTTTACTTGAGATAACAGTCCTAACTATAGAACAAAGACCTGCTTTTTTCATTATTTATTGAATTGGAAGTCAGCCAAAGGCAGGTTTTTCCAGTGGAAGTAATTCCGGTTCCTGCCAGAACAAGCTCGATCGTATGACTCATAATGTTCCCTGTTCAGGACATGGGTCCAGCGGCTCTTCCATCAAAAGACAAAGCTGCGGTATGTTTATGCCACCATTTTTCTCTTTAAATGCAATAATTTTTTTTAGTACTTTCGTGGTCTATTTGTTTGAGTACGTTTTTTTTTCGGAGCTAGGGGTACCATGAAGGTCACTTCCAAGTTCACCACCCTATCACTCCCAAGTATGCTGCTATCTTTTGACAGATTCAGAAAATGCATTCAACTTTTAATCCGACGTGCTTCGAAATAAGCCTTAAGACCCAAAGGCCCCTGCCTGGAGGAGCTGGTGTTTCTATCATCTCCCAGTTGAAAGTCAGCTAAGCCCCCCCCCCCCCCCCCCCTCCCCTCCTTGGTCTTTACCAGATAACTCGATGCGGGTACCAAACATTCAGCGTGTGACTATAGAAAATAGATCCAACGAATTCGCAAACCCTTCTTCTTGCCCACTGACTACGGGCCCCATTAACATTTGATGGAGGGAATCACCCTAAATTTCTAACTTATTTATTTATAGGCTGGAAAGTTCATGAAACTAGGTTCACTGACATTGACCCTGCCTGTGTCAGGTGATCCAGGAGTACGATCACGCGAGACTAATTTGGACGCAAAAACCCCATTGGTTTTGGAGCGTGTTTCACTTTCATGTGTCTATCTTTTTGCAAAGTCTTTCACTTTCAAAATCGAAACCTAAATGAAAACAAAAGCTATATGCACAGCTTAAGCGCAGAAAGACTCACGGGTCAAACTGAAAGTACATAACACAACAAAAGAACAAAGGTATCGAAAAGTACACAAATCGGGGTTTCAAACAAAACAAAATTCATAATTTTTCTTTTTCCTGCGGACCCCTCTCTAAAGGGTAAAAAACGAGACTTCCCCTCGATTTAACACCCATGGACTAGAAGAATGGAATTACTGTGTGGTTTTATTGTTGATTTATAATAAACGACTGGTTCGAAACTGAGTACAGGTGGTCACGCAATTACGCAAAAACAAACCACGTACGCACGAATGACACACGCTCAATTTCCGGTTGATAAATATAATCTTTTAAAGCTTTATACATGTTGCGTTTTACAGTAACTTAACAAATCTTTAGAGCTCTTTATCTTAACAATAGCAAGCCTTAAGATTTATCTACATATTCTGCAGTCAGCATTTACAAGTGTACACGGAACGGCATCTACCCGCTCTCTCTAAACTTTTATACATATGTACACATAATTGCCGAACCGATTGCTTTTAATTAGTAACCTTGCAACTAATACTACAACATACAACTGGATTTAAATCATAAAAGATTTCGGCATAAAACTGCCGTAGAAAAATCATCCCATAGGGATTTTTTAAGGAGCACTTTCAACTCCCTCTGTCAATAACAAAGCAAATTTATGATTCTTGCTGCACGAGCCAATCGTGGTTTGACAACCGACCGTCGCCTTGGCAGATCGCATCCCAAGGGCACGTGAATGTAAATTGTATAACAATCCAAACACGTTTCTTGATGGAAACTAGAAAAGAAAGCAATAAATCGAAGCTAAAGTTGCAATGAACTTGGTCTGTTAAGGTTTCACCAAACCCCAACTACATTTAAGTTTACCCTCCAACGGGTGCGTTGAATCGAGCCTTGACAACTTTTCTTTCGTCTTTTCTTTCCGCTAATCATCCACAGTTCATCCATTTTTACTGCTCCTCACAGGAACTTTGAAAAAGTCGTTTATCTCATCGCCGAGACATCGCAAAATCTGGCCGACCTGACGTGGAGTAACATTGTTATTGTTTAGCAAAAGCTCCTCAAAATTCAACTGCGTCACAGCTTGCTGGCCGTTGTCCACATGGTCTCCTGATCGTACATTTGGATCATTTTCGCTTCTTGAAAAGTTCTCTGTGACTGTTTCTTCATTCTGTCCTTTAATTCTGCTTAGCTGGGACTCCATAATCAAGTCTACTTACTTCAAGACAATCAATAGATTGTTTTCTCCTCGATTTGAAATCAAATGTTTTTGAAGACTTTGTTTCACTTGAGTTTTTGTTTCTTGTGTTATACGGTTTTCGGTTCACTTCAACCAAATCCAAATATTCGTCTCAGCTGTTGAAAACTATCTCAAAGAGGTGATTGTTGTCGAACTAAATGTCGCTTCCCACTCGATCAGCCGGCCGGTTGATAGCGGCACACCGCGTCTGTTCAATGAAAACACAACACCGATCCAACAACGAAATCCTCGAGAATTGCACACAACTTGCGTATCGTTCCTTGAAAGGGTTGCTGGCTCTCTGGGCTACGGGCAAATAATACGTTGCGCTGAGAAAAGTAGAAATCAAAGTTTAGTTGTTGAAGTTCTTGCCCACCTCGATGGTTGTCGCTAAATAAATGGAAACAAACAAAGTGGCTCTGTACTGCTCGACAAAAAATTTTTCGCCAAATATGTGGTTAAATTTAGACTTGACGCAGCAAATATTTCAACCAATCGAAAGGCCAGAAAATGGGGATCTGATTAGACATGTGAAAGAGAGCATGTGAACATTTGTTTTGTTCCTAGAGCACATTCCGCACGCGTGTTGATTACGTAATTTTCGCGGGAAGGTAATGACGTGCAGGTGGCAGTATTGTCCCAAAAAAGGAACCACATTGTGCCCATGCTAGTTTGTTTGGACCAATCAGCAAAGAGTCATGTGTTTAAATTCCCTTGACAGGGTTATAAATATTCACCAATTTTTCGAGTTCCTTTTGGCTTTTCGGATTGCGGAGATGGCGGAAGGTTGGTTCGATTTGTTTACTTTTGAGAGCGTCGAAGTTTCTCACTCTCATGCACTTTCGAACACTACAATTTAGTGTTTCATTTTCTGACGACAAAAGTTTCTTTGTAGGCAGATGGGCGAAAGGAAGACTTATGAACGAAGAGAGTGAAGGCTACGTAGCTCGCGGACATAAGTGAATCTTACGTGTGGCCTGATCCGATGAATGCTTCTGAAAATACGTAAAAATCCTCATGGAAAGTCGACACGCGCTGGCGAGAGCTGAAGTTTCGCCGACAGCTCAACAAGGTTTAGTCCTTGCTAAAGATTTTATTTCCTATAGGCTCGGAAAAGGCCCTTTACCCACGTCAAATACCGCTGCAACACTTCGCAAACTTGCCGACCAAATCGAGGAGCAGTACCCATCACTGTTAAGCCATTTATGCCGTAAACTGAACATTACGAGAACTACAGCGTATCCAACATTTGTTGAAATTGCAAGCGAAGTATTCGTGGATGGAATAAACTGGGGAAGAATTGTAGCGTTATTTGCTTTTGGGGGAAAACTGGCTTTGTATTGCGACCAGAACCAAATGACAGATCTCGTTGCTTCGGTCACTGAATGGGTAGGAAAATACGTAGGCGGACTTAGTGAATGGATTGAAAGCAATGGCGGATGGGTAAGTAGTATTTCTTTTTTCTTTTTAAATTGAACTTTCTTAACTCATCTAAATTTGTGTATTTAAACTAGGGGCAAAAGTCATCAACAGAAATACCGTGTGTATTTTTCCGAAACCCAGGTTACGAGGTTCGCAATAATTAAATGTTCTCGCGTTTTAAATCAACGGGAAAGCTTGAATCCTTTGTGATGCCTTCAGCTGCTTGGTATTTATAAATAATGAAAGCGTTTGGTTCTTGTCATTGGTTAGAGGGGCAAAAACTTTTCCAAGACCAGACGTAATTAGCTGAAGAGATAAAAAAGGAATCTTACAAACATCAAGAAGTACAATGGACATGAATATATTTGTTTGATGAGCACATTTTTGGAATTTTTGCATTGTCCAAGTTCGTGGGCGGAATATTACCAGTTTAGTAACACGACAGCCTTATTCTAGAGCACCCTTTTGGGGAAAAAACCCAAGGATTATTACCAAACTGTGCTTGGCGTAATATTAAAAATCTAGCTCGAGTCGCATTTTGTACAACATTGTACAATTTGTGTACAAAATCCAGAGTCGGCGAATCAACAGGGGATTAACCGATTACGTTTACCAGCGTAATTTGCGGATTTTTGGGGGGCTTTCAATATGAAAATCGCTAAAAAAGCAAATAACTGTACCAGAAGCATTCCCTTTAGTTCCGGGACGGGTATTAAACCTCAGTCATGAGACTTATGTACTCCCTTTAATCGGGACTTGTTTTGTCACGTTTTTTCCTCTTATGTCAGCTTTGAAAGGGTATGTACTAGAAAACCACATTGATGATGTCATAAAATGGGACAAGGTGTCTATTGGCACAACACAACATTTTGGTTCTAAAGTTATTGGTCTTGCTCGGCGGGAAATTTTGATTATGTTTTACGAACATAGAAGGGTAAACTTGTGTCTGAAAAAGCAGTATGTTTAGAGTTAAGAGTTTAGGGTACTTTGCATTGATTGCATTTCACCGATATGAATGGTTGTCATTAGTTAGTCATTTCCATATACATGTACCTATAACTGTATACTATATTCAATGGGGATGGCATATGGGCAAGATTTTGGGGGTTTGACCAAAATGCAAAAGATTTGGTCACTTTCTACAAAGTTTAATTTTTATTTGATTAAAATCTAAGAAAAGAACTTTGCCCTCAGGGGCCAGTGCAGTTAACAGTTGACATTTGAGCTATTTGAAAGAAATGCTGCAAATGTATGCTTTATTATTAATGGTGCCGTTGAGCCACAACAAACTTTCATTCCTCACTTGCATAGTCTATGTAATTAGCATTTTCATTGGTGCAAGAAAGTACTCTCTGAGTGACAATAGGGAGCTTAAGCAACAATGATGAAAACGATTTTTTCAGATTTTTTTGAAAATTGTAGAATGAAAATCACACTCATTTGACAGTCTCAGGAAATGTTGGCGGGTATATAAATAGTTGTGAGGATAGGGGAAAATATTTCCTTATAAATCTATTGATAAGAGCCTTCACAGTAACGAAACAACAGTACTATTAATGGCGCTTTGCTTTTTTTTTCAGGAAGGTCTCGATAAACATTTTAATGACAAAGGACAAGATAGCGCCTGGTGGAGAGGTGTTTTTCTTACAACACTTGGACTTGGAACATTAGCAGCTTTTATGTACAGCCGGTGAACCATAGCATACCGGTAATTGTTTTTTAAAGTGTGCATTTAGTTGGTCAATTTAAATATAATTTATATAATTTTGAGGCACGGCATACTGTCAGCAGTCTCTTTCTTTACCTATTTTGTGTGAAAAAGGGAGAAAAAGTGTTCAGGTGAGACAAACCAGGCTTAGTCTCGCAAGGTGACGATCGACTTATATAGATGCTCTCACGAGTTGACAACTGATTTGTCTTGCTTTCTGGAAAAGTCACACACACTCCAAAATCTCCCAATTAGATTATTTTTAAGATAATTCAATGTTGGATGCTGTGCAACTGAATTCGTTTCTAATGGCGTGAGATTTTGTTGTCAAAAATCAGACCCTATGCAGGCTTTGCTGATAGTTTTGTTCCTCCTGTTGCTTTTGATGAGGACTGTGCAAGAAATCACCTACAGCTCATGCACTCGCAGATCCTAAAAATGTGGCCATGAAAGGCAAAATAGACCCTAATCAGGGTATCTGTTCCAAAAGGATGAGCATTTTTTATTCGAATAGCTCCCCAAATTCCTTCCTGTAGATTTCTCAGCAACAAACCTCATCCCATTAAACTGTTGCTTTATTGCCCCTTTCTTTTCAGATCTGAGTCTCAATAGAATTGTTAGTAGTTTCTCTCACAAACTGGTCACATTCAGGCTTGCATCATTTTCATTGACCATTTACTAATAGATAGCATCCTAAAATGGCATTCAAAGAATTAATATTGACAAGCCCAAAAACATCTGCATCGGAGGCTAAAAAAATAACCACTCCAGATCAAAACTCCTTTCGAGAATATCATATGATCCACCATTATCACAGGTAATTAGCATGGAGACAAACAAGTCTATTAGTTTAAATAATATTATTTAATTTACATAAATCAAATAACATTTGTAGTTGGCATCTTAATTTTTTAATCACCATTAATTTAGCTTAATTTATCCAAGAATAATTTATAGACAGGTAGACTTTTATCAACTGTATCCCCCAATAATAATATTTGTCATGATTTTTTATTGTTAAGGTAGTTTTTTTTTGCTTTTCAAATTATTGTTAGTCATCTCTCACATGGCAGCAGGCTATGAATTTTGAAGCAAGCTATGAAATTTAAACATCTGATTCATAGTCATTAAGATTGCTTCGAAGATTATTTAAGGTAACAACAAAAAAGTATTTATTTATATAGCGAGGAATTTTTAAGATTATAAGACATAATGTATGGAAAAAAAATTCACCTTCCATTCTAACAGTACAATTGCATCTTCATGTGTGCATATGTAATTTATTGAATGTGTTGTGGTTCAATTTTATCCTTTCTTTAAATTTTAGTATCCTTTGTTTAGGGGTATGTTAATGTACTATGATAATGAGTTTAAAACAAAGGAAATTAAAATTTAAACCAAGCATAAAATTGAACCACAACATATGCATATTTTTAACATGAAATCCTCAGAGCTATTGTTTTTCTTACAAAGTAGTGTTGCCCAGGAAATATCCTGTATTTTACCAAGGGGGCAGGAGGGGAGGTGTCTAAAAGCAATGGTTTGAGGGAAGGTATAAAGAGCACTTCTTAAGGGTTAGGATGAATGTGAGACTTGACAAACCAGGAAAGGTGTGGATTGTTTCCAGAACAACACTTTATTCTAAATGTAGGTAGAGACACAATAGCTTCACCCTTAAGTTCGCAAGGGTGACCAACATCAATTTTCTCCTAACAACATCAGCAGTTCATCAAGAGTAAAGATTCTGAGAATTACTAAATTGATTACCAAAGGGAGAATGCTTTGATTTTAAACCAAATTCTCTCAACTATTCTTTAAAGAAATGTATGGAGATCAGTCTAGAGAATTTGTATGTAGATCTTGGGGCATAAAGGGTTAATGATAGGTAGGTTGGATTTCACAGTCGTGGTAATAGTGACTATGACACACCTACTTGATTAACCCTGGTGGGAAACTAAAACAACCTGTAGGGTAAATTGTCCACAAATCATAAGAAAGCTCATACGATACAAACCCCCCACCCCCCCCCCCCAAAAAAATTAGGAATAAAAATTTGATAATTCTAGGGGCCTTTCAATTCAACAATTATTGCTGCGTATGTGAGAAACTATATATAAAATACCTGAAAGGTGGATACAGAAGCAACTTGATCTTCACACCAAAAATACCAGCCAAAAATAATGGGTGTGCATACTTTAGAATGTAATGGAAATTTCCCTTTCACAAGTCAATTATTTAGTCAATTATTGACTAGACTTGAGATTTTGTCATCAAGTTCTCTAACATTAACTTGGTAATCTCTTAAATTTCAGCTGTAGGTTTTCAAAATTTTGATCTTAAATGTAGATGATCTTACAATGAAGTATATAACTCTTGAGATTTGCAGTTAATGTTTTAAAACCAAGTTAAATCACAAAATGATCAAGAAGTGTAGGCTAGGCTGAAGCATTGTGGAAGTATATAAATACTGTGTGTGTTCTTTTACCACATAAGCAAGAATATTGTGGGCCTTTCGTGGCCATTGATATGTCACGTTCAAAAATATGTCAGGTTCTAGTTTAGTTAAACTAGACTTTTGATCCCTTGTACAGTCAAAGTTTGGTATCTACTATGGTAGAAATTATTAATATTATATTTGCCAAAGTGGTGTTATAAAATTATGTAAAATATGTTTAGTAACAAGATGATAAAAGTGTGCAAGACAAAGAGATAGCTGCATATATCTGCAGACATGTTGCTTTGTCTTTTAAAGAAAAAAAAAAATTAAGGCAGAGCAAAGTATATACACAGCATTGTGAAGTTGCTAAGAATGCATCAAGGCGTTTATTCGACAACCTAAACAAGTTTTTATACAAGACCAATTAAAGAGCCAGACAAGGAAGAAAACAAAACCAAATAATAATTAATTATTATTTAACAAAATGTCCTTACAGAGTTATTTTACAGTTAGGAGGAGTACTTAGAAATTTTCTAATATTGTAATCAACAACTGAGGATGGTATAGAAACTAAGCTGGAATGTTTGTGTCGACGACCCATGCATACAGGCACTGAAAGAAAGATCAGGAAAAAGCTGAAAAGACTACAACCTAACATTTTTGCTGGTTGTTAAATAAAACATGACTGTGTATTTAAACTAATTTTCACACAAGTCTGTTTCAGTCTTTGAATTACACAATCTGCAAATGCAAAAATGTTGCTGCTGTCCACATGTAACAACTATGGACTAATGGTATATAATAATTATTTCAATGGATTTGATTTCCATTTTGAACAGTTTTGAAAACATCATCATTTTCAACATTTGTGTGTGGATAGAAGCCATTTGTGAGTACATTTTTCTACATTTGAACTGTGAGGGACTTGTATGGAAATACCCTAAGGGGCTTTTAAAAGAGTGACTTTGTGCATGAGTTGAGCTGGACACCAGGTTATTCAACAGTTGAGAATCTGTTTTAATTAATGGGTGGTGTTAGTTGTTAATGATAACTGTGTTAACTAATTTATGAAAAGATATATATACATAATAGCTTTTGTTTTCAAGTATTGAGTAAGGGGCTGGTTTTCCCTTTTACATTATTTATTTTTTAGGAAACTTGTTTTATGAAGTTATAATAAGAGCACTGAAATAATCATTATCTGTAATTGTTATAATGAACTCTTGGCTGCAGGTAATTACATGTTTATACATGCCTAAGAACTTGATTTATGTGCAAAAATAGTAGGCATCTATTGACATAACATAGAAGAGAAGTTAGACAGGAGATAACACAGAATAATTTTACTCATCCTTAATTTAGAGCAAGTAGCATATTTGTGACTTTAGAAATTATACTCGTATACTTGTACAGTTAACATGTGTGAGAATAGCCTTTAAAATTTTATTACCTTAAGACTCGTCCTCAGAAAAATTGTTTCTCTTTGATATTACATTCTATACCCACATTCACACCGACAATAATATTTTTGTAGATGCAGATCATTAATCGTAGATAATAAGAATTTTAAGTATCCTTTAATAAAACTAATTGTGTCAACATCTGAAGTTAAGTGAATGAAAGATTATTGCCTTGCATAGTCTACAGGATAAGTGTTCCCTAAATATTGACCTTTTAACTCCCAGGAGTGATTGGCCTGTAACTTCTCCTTAGAATATTATCATTAAATTGTCCAGCAAGCACAAGATGATGAGAATAGATAAATGTATCTCCCTACAGGGAACATTTGATACAGCACCAAATTCTTTTATCTAATGTGAAAGAAATGTATAGCAGCCAGAAAGGAGAATTACTAGTCAGATCTCAAGAGTTACAGGGTTGAAGGCAGTTGACAATTACTTCAACTGCCATATTTCATGTGTTATTATTAGCAGATTATTCATGTATGAACACTGTCACTGGGGAAAAACTGTCCGTAAAGTCAAGTACCCATAAGGGAATTTGATCAGACAGTTGGACAATCTAGTTAGGGTTAAAAGCAAAGAGGAGCTCCCCTAAACGTCTATTGGCCATTCAACTGCCTGTTGGCTGTCTGTTGGCATGCAGTTGGCCAATAGTTTTTCAGGAGAGCTGTTCTTCACTTTTGCCAAAAAACTACTAGTGAAGAAAACTTGACTCGTGGAAGCATTCTTATAATAATAATAATTATTTACTGGCAATGAGTGTCATTTTGTTTTGTAACATCATAGTTAGAATAACACATATTTAAATAATTAAATTTTGCAGTTTTTAATTAATATTGAAAACTGCAAAATACCATAACAATTCAGTGTTGCAAGTGTTGTAAGTCATTTAACCACTGCTACACAAAGCATAGGCTGTATTCCTTGCAGGCAGTCCACACTGTGAAATACAGTGTACAACAATCTTCACTTTTCCTCTCCAAATTTAAGTTCATGAATACTAAGAAACTTGTTCAATATTTTGTTTTCCTCCTTGGAAACAAGTTTAAAAAAAATTTTGCTGCATTAATTTACTTTCCAAAGCTTTTTTGTTTCAGAACTACTAAGGATTTAAACATTCTGGATAGACTTACGGATTGGCTAAAAGGAATAACTATGCAAAATTTAAAGTGGTTTAACTGGGTGTGCCCTACTGTTTACTCATCATTAGTATGTATGCATTTAATTTGTAGACTGATTATGAATAACACTGTGTTAAAATCCATAACTTTGTCTGGCTTTGAGTGCTCATGGCTGCATCCTTAGCACATTAATAAAAATGTATTATGCATTGTAAAGTTGTGTGGTTGCCTTTTCTACTAGTACTTGAACCACAGACAGGAGGAAAATGTGACAGCTACAAACTCGAGCAGAGTACAATGGAAGAGGCTGAGCAAACCCAACCCCCTCCCCTTGATCTCTCTGTAATCAAGGATGATGCTGCTTGGAGGTCAAAATGTGCCACTTTTTCTACCCTTGATGCCCTGTTAGGGTAAAATAATTTGAGACAAGCAACATGGACTTGAAACAGTGAAAAGACAAATGAAAGAGCGATAAATGACATGAAGATGTGTTGAAACTGCAACGGCAACAAGGAAAATTGCAAATACAGTAGTGAAATACTGAAAGCCACATGGCCTCCTCTTCAATAAGTGAAATGACTGCTTTTAACATTTAGACTAGGGACATGCATACCCCCCTTCCCCTGTCTAAGAAGGCCTCATCCTTGACTGGGGGTGGGCCTAATTTTCCACCTGTTTTGTCCAAGATGTGTAATCTCCTGATACCTGGCCAGGTCCACAGCCAGAAAAACATTCGTGCTGAGACAATAGTAGAAAAACGAAGAAAAAGAAGAAAAATGCACCATGTTTTTTTGCTATCCTTGATTGGGGGTGGGGAGGGGGATTTTATTTTTCCACCTGTTTTGTCCAAGATTTGTAGTCCCCTGATACAACCCGGCCAGGTCCACAGCCAGAAAACAATTTTTGCTGAGATAATAGTAGAAAAAAAGAAGAAGAAGAAAATGAAGAAGAAAGAGGAATACAGCTAAGTGTACACTTAACAGATCTGAGAACTGATAGACTTGTGACCCTATGAGTGTCCCCAGTATCATTAATTGGAGATGCTTTCCACAATGAATTAGTATTTTAGTTTTTCAGGAGAGGGGAAAACGGGAGCACCTGTAGAAAGACCTCTCGGAGCAGAGAAGATCAGCAATAACTAACTCCATCTACATAATAATGGTATTGCTCCATCCTACCTGACAAGAAACTTCCAAAATAATTTACCAAAGCATAAACTCTATGAACCCAAATATAACAATTTAAATTCCCTTGTTTTGCTTTTGATACATTTCCTATAGAAGTACAGTGTAGTGGGAAGAAGTTAATCTTGTATGATCATGTGCATCCTTATATTTCACTGTAATTCTCATGACCACTCTATTTTCGGACACATTGATATTACAAGGAGAAATTTGATGCTAATCACTCTCATCGCTTAAACTAATTAATACAATATAAAGAATACATAATAATGGGTCTTCAACTACGTGATGACTCGTCCTTGCACTCGAAGAGGTGATTATGTGGACAAGTGCATGCAGTCCTTACTTTTAAGACTGTGGAATAAATCACATGGTACACTGTACAAGCATTTAAATGAAACCTCTTCAGCAAGAAATTTGCATTTTTCAGCATTTTACATAAAAATGTTGTTGTCCTTTCACTAAATGTAACTTAATTACATAGTGTAATTCTGGTGACCTAGTCTGAGAAAAATCAAATCACTCTTCCCCAATTTTTAGTCCTGTTGTTGGACAATAAATTATTTTCTTGATGAAACCAAGCAATACTGTTTTTGCTAAGGCATGTGCAAATTAATTCTAAAGCATGATGAATTTACAAAATAATAATTTAAAAATATAATATTGGCCTTCAATTAGCCCAAACTAACTGGTAAATTAAACTAATTAAAAATAATTTTTATACTACTGCTACCTCTCTTCTGGGCTGGTTATGGAACTAAGGAGTTTCTTGAATTGTTCTGTTTGGAATATCTGTTCAAACACTGGAGACTTAAGTCTTGCCTCCTCTAAAGTAAACCATGCACATTCCTCATGCACACTGCTCTGAACTTGTGGTGACCTTGCTGCAGTGATTACTTCTTGTGTACACCCAGATGTGGGTGTGTCTGCAGTCATTGGGACAAGTGAGCATTCACCTTTCATTGGTGTTGTGGGATGTCCTGGCATAGAAGTCAAATTAACAGAAAAAAAATCAGGCATGTACTTCCATCATAAAAAATTACAATGATAATATTATATTAATTTATTCTACAGTTTTAAAGCATCCTCAACCCTTAAGCCCTAATATCAAAATTTAAATTCCCATTTGCTGTCCCCATAGGTTTCCTATAAAAGTAGTAGTGGGAAGTTATTGAAGTATCATGCCAACTACTCCTCACTTGTGTGATCATGTTCTTAATTCTCATCACCAATCTGTTTTATAAAGCATTGATATCAAAAGGAGAACTTTGATAATGATCACTCTTACATTGTAGGGCTTAAATGGTTAAAAATGGAATCAGTGTCAGTTTGATAAATGGCACAAACTCACTGAAGTCAGGACTCAGATTATTATTGGCCTCATAAGTTTGACGGGGGTTTTTATCTCCTGTAGCAGGTTACCTATAAAGTTCATACTGGTGATGAGGTTCTTGAATAGGATTATTAAACTAGCTGGGTACAGTACACAGTGTTAGCAGCCTTCTAGAATCCCTCAACTTGATCTTTATTGTACCAGTATAATAATGCTGAATTTGTTTACTGTACATGTACTTTATTTTATGATCATAATAGACAGTACATTGAAATTATTAAAAAAATATAATGAGGAAAGTGGTATGTAGTAAAAGGTATTGGATCATAATAATGCAACAAAATTATTGTGGTCATTTGCCAGGAAAAATTTCTTAACAAAATATTCTTTTAGCTCGATCTATGATTTAATATATTTATGTACTCCTTAAGTTTTCTTCTGTGTTATATTTTTTGTTAGTTTTCATCCATAAAAGTAATATAAGTACAATTTATCATTACAATAATATTGCTGCATGGTGGACTTGACCACAATGCAAGCTGTGATGCTTAATTTTGTTGTTCCAATAGCTGGTCCACAGATATGTATAAATTTTTTGACAATTTGATTCCCCTGGTTTTGTTTCCATACGCATAATTGACGCATAATCTCTACAGAGAAAATAGAGGGTCTGTGAACAAGCTAGTTTTTCATGACATTAAGCTTATTATTTTTTACATTGAATTGCTGAAGTTGCTACCTTGCACCTGATGGCCACTCTCCATTTCGTTGTCACCATAGTTATCATCATCAGGGTCCCTTTTTCGTTTAACACCACGTCTCTCCACTGAGAAAGAGGCTCCTGATATTTCATCAGGGCCCCTAGATACCTGCACCTGCCCAAAATTACTGGCTTTTTCCTCATCAACAGCCATGGATCCTTGAAAGTTTTCATCTGTAATCAAGGTCTCTTCTTGCAACTGTTCTCTGGCATGGGGCTCACCTCTCTCTGGCTCATCATTTTTATCATTAATGTTTTTGCCATCTATGTTTTGCTTTATAGTGGATCCATCGAAATCCACCACTGAGGAAATACAGAAAAATAATGATGTGACATCAGCATTGAAACAAGAGCCCCATATTATGGCACCACATTAAAGAAAAAGAAATTTACCAGCTGGATAGTTAGAAGAGCTTTAAATGTAATATCAGAAAAATTTGCCTTGCAAGATTTTATCAAAGAAACAGAAAATTACTGCAGCTATATTACAGTACAGAATGAAGATGATGCAAACTGCAGAAAAACAATTTTTTAAGTGAAGATATGATTGTCACAGTGGTATTGCAAAAAAAAAGCAATATTGCAATTTACCAGAAAAAAATTTTGGGACTTCAACTGGATTTGAACCCTGTGATGGCCTTTGTGTTAGTGCTGCAGTGCTTTACCGACTGAGCTAAGAAGACCCATACATTAGGAGCAGGCCGATTTGTTGAGTTTATCTTAACCCGTGAATGGAATGAAACATGGAATGAAGATGATGTGAACTGCAAAAATACAAATTTATATGAAAATAATTATGACCATTCTATGTTCCATTTACAGGGTAAAGATGAACCTTAATATATATATAACAGTATTTCAAAAAAAAAGTTGACGTTGTCACATCTTATAAGCACTAGAATGAACAATTATCATTTTTCTGAATTTTCAGTTGATCAAATCTTGAAGTCACGTTATATGCTGTCATTATATTGTTGGGGGAAGAGGGATTAGCGGGAGGGGGTGCATATATGACTTTGTGGCAATATCCCAGTCAAAATTAGTACCTATATTTTCTTGTTTCCAAAGGGTAACTTGCTTTTTCATTTTTTTTAATTCATGTGGTGGAACTGATGGCACCCATAACTGAAAAAACCAGCCCCCTCCCCTCTAAACTCAAATGACTGTCCTCATTGAAGGGGAATGGGACACACAATGCCCTCTGGGTTACGTGTGATCCATTTTGCCTTTTTTGGTCAGACACGACTTGCCACGGAAAACTTGATTGGCCAGCTCACTTGAAAATGTGCACTTTTATCTTCAACTTTACAGGGCTTCTGGTCGCGAAATATTGATTGTTTCTTGGTGAAGTTTCCCCCAAAAATTTCCCGTGAAATCGGCCGATTTTTCTAAGAATTTGCCCCGAAAATCCTTCGAAATTTGACTTTTTTCTGCTAAAATCCCGCGAAATCGGCCGATTTTTGAGCGAATTTTGACTTTTTTCCCGCGAAATCGGCCGATTTTTCCGCGAATTTGCCCAAAAAAATCCCGCGAAATTTTGCTTTTTTCCGCGAAGTATCAGAAGCCCTGACTTTAATACCAACCTTCAGCTGTCAAGCTATTCTCTGCTTCACAATTGCTAGAACTATCCAACTGATCCATGTCTTGTGAGTTGTACCAGTCATCTTCAATGTTGTGTGGTCTGTATACATACAGAAAATACTTGACCATGTCACCTAATGGAAGTTGAGAAATCATAAAGGTTGGGTAAAAGCCACTATTATTCATTCAGATTTGGTTGACCCCATGTAGATTACAGTCATTTAGGATGTGGACATCTTTAAAATGAACAGTTAATGTCTCTGTTCCTTCGCGATGCATGTTAAACGCATAACTTAATTATAAAAACAAATAATGACAGGTTGGCGTTAATGGGGGAGCACTGCCTTGCGCTAGGTTAGCCTAATGCGACTTCCGGCGATGGCGTGACCAAAGAACCTCACTTATCTCCCCAGCACTACGAGCTGAATGCAATACAGCACGTGCTGGATCGGACAAGAGTATCGGTTTGCAGGTGATATTAAACGGCAACGCGGCCAACAAGCTTGGGGGAAGTCGCTGCGCAGACTTAACCGCCACTGATGCATGCGAGGCAATGCATCCCCCCAAGCCCAACGAGAAAACGGATCAACAAGTAGAAACAAAAAAAAAAAAGGAGGCTATATTGGCTGGAAGCGTCCAGGAACAATAGCCATCCTGGGAGCCACAGACTCTAATGTAGATTGAGGAGTTCTGATATACAGCTGGTAACAGTCCGAGGACCAGCGACCAAGAACTTTTATAAGCCAATCTGGCAAGCCGGCGGCGGCTGCAACGGAGGCCGCACCGATGCGAAAGCTATGCCCTTTTAGGCTTTGATAAGGGAGGCCAGCCACCCTAGCACTATCCCTAAGGAGGTCGGATACGATGCCCCGAGTGAGGTAACGACCTGATGCGAAGTAAAACAAAGGTCCATGCCGAGGCCTAACTAAGAGAAAATACTCTTGCATAGCTGCAACGGCGCAAAGGGGCGTCGAGGTGCGAGCTATAGTGAGTGACTGACCTTCCCTAGCAATGTCTGTCTTAGACGATTTTAGATATACTGTTATGCGCTGCGGGCACGACAGGCTGGGGTGAAACGTTATGCAATCGGTAGAAAGATCGAATTGTTGGCGAAATGTGCGAACCCCGCAGTAGGTAAATTCGCTACAGCGCAGGAAAGCGAAAAAGGCTAAGTTGAACGCGGCCCAGATCATAGAAAAATCCCGGGGACTAAGCCATGACTGCAAGACAGGACGAATTGCAAGAAGAACCTCAGGGGTTACAGGTAGGCGACGGGCGCGCTGGTTGCCCTGATAGCGGAGAATGCCGCGCAAAACCTTGCGGAGAAGGAGCTTGCCTTTAAGGGGATCAGGGTACCCTGCTGTCACGTGAAGGTTGCGAACGGCGGCTAAATAGAGTTTAATGGTACTATGCCGTACTGTTCTCGCAAGGTAGGAAGCAAAGTATATAAGGGTCCCTTCAGAGGCAGGTAACACATCCCCATCTGAGCTGAAGATACGATTCATAAGGCAAAATTGTAAAAACCGTTTTTCCCCAGAGCTGTAGGCCCGATTTGTGTTTTCAGCAAGACCCCAGGTAGCGTACCGCAGGACTTCCTCCCTCAGAGGGTCATGAGCGAAGGCGGGATGGTACAAGGATTCTGGTCGGCGTCGGGGGCAAGGACCCGGAAGCGCTGCATCTGAAATCGGGAGAGTGCGTCAGCAATTGCGTTTGAAACCCCGGGCACGTGACGAGCTCGCACTACGAAGTTGTGCTGCATGGAAAGAAACACGAGACGTCTAACCAAATCCATAATGCGGGGGATCTTAGAATGCCCTGAATTTATAATAGATACCACAGATAAATTATCGCACCAGAATTGAAGGCGTTTTCTGGCGAGAAGAGGGTGCCATATGGCGCAGGCAACAACGATGGGGAAGAGCTCTTGCCATTCAATACTAATTCCCTGTTGTTGGTTCAACTGCATGTTCGGGGGCCAATAGCCCTGAAACCACCTGCCCTGGAAGTATCCCCCAAAGCCTATAGACCCCGCAGCGTCGGTGTATAGCTCGAGATTTTGAGCAGGGGTAGGAGTAGACTCGAGAAAAAAGGAGCGCCCATTCCATTTGGAGAGAAAAATTTTCCACATGGCTAGGTCCTTAAAGAATTCCTTATTCAGCCTTATGTGGTGAAAACGACTGGGGACCCCCCTGGTTAAATTGATCGCTCGCTGTAGAAAGGTCCTACCCGGGACCACTACTTTACATGCAAACTGAAGAGTCCCGATCAGTGACTGTAACTCGACCAGGCGCACTGACCGACGATTTTTGAAGGAGTCGAGCAGCTGATTGATCCTGATAAGTTTGTCCTGGGGCAAGCGGGCCTCCATGCGGACGCTGTCTAAGATAATACCCATAAACTCAATCTCCCGGGAGGGGCCTATCGTCTTGGAAGCGACTACCGGGGCCTTAAGTGACATGAATACCCTTAACAGAGTACTAAAGCTGGTTAGACAGTCTGATTTGTTTCGCTCGGCAATAAAGAAATCGTCCAGGATGTGAATAACATGCTGGATGCCGTAGTTATTTTTAAGGATCCACTCGAGGCCGTCGGACAACTGATTAAAGAGGAACGGGGCCGAACGGAGCCCGAAGGGTAGGTACATGTCTACATAGAATTGGGATTGCCAATAAATGCCTAGTAAGTTCCAGTCGTCCGGATGAATAGGTATCAGACGAAAGGCTGATTTGAGGTCAGTCTTGGCCATAAAAGCTCCCCTTCCCAGGGACTGGAGGATACGGATGGCATCGTCAACCCGTACATAACTTAGAGAGTAGGGATCTTTAGGAATGTGGTCGTTAATACTAGTACCCTGGGGGAAGGAGAGATGGTAAATAGTGCGCCATTCAGTTGAGTGCTTTTTGGGGATAACGCCTACTGGATGACATTGAAACTTAGGTAACGGAGGGGAGGGGTAGGGACCTGCTACCCTTCCCAGGGCTATTTCCTTCTGCAAATTCAAAGAAACGACTTCAGGGTGCTGTGCTGCCGAAATGAGGTTCGGGGAGACCCGGTCTGAGCGCGGCCCTGTATAGCCGATGCGAGCGCCCTCCTTGAGCGTACTAAGCAGATTATATACAAAGTTTCTATTAGGATGAGTGGCTAATTCTAACTCTAAACGATAAATGTCAATAGGCGAGGATACTAAAGGCTTGTGATTAAGCCGTTGCTGCTCCACTTTACTTCTTGCTGCGGTCGCTAGGTCTTGGGGCCTTGTTGGCGCTGCTGGGCTGTGGCTGGGTGCATTCCGGAGCGGGGTGGGTGCTGGAATAGCAGCGGCGGCACACGTGGGGGAAGCTGCAATTTCGGCGCCGGCAGCCAGAGGGCTTGTTGAAGTCGAAGCACACAGACTGGGGGCGGCGAGATTTTCCCTGAGTATTTTGTCCTCCAAAGTCTTGTCTACTGGCCGAGAAAGCCCTAGAGGGGAAGCCATGCCAGGTGTGAAGAGACTTTGAGGCGAGGCAGAAGGGAACTGCGCGGCTGGTGAAGGAAGACGAGCGGCTGGCGACGTTTGGAGCGTTGTTATCGCGGAGCGGACTGAATCAGTCACGATGGCCTCGATTGCTGCACGCTGAGTTTGGCTGAAACCGGTGTTCCGTTGGAAGTTGGACTCGTCCGGCTCAGGATCCGACTCGATCATGTCCTCGATAGAAGACAACGAAGCGCGGTCTGACAGGGCGTTGTCTTCGTTATTAACGTTGCCGAGGTTCGCTGAAAAGCTTTCCGACGAGCGCCCGGTCGCCGTGGTGGTTCTCGTTGCAGGGCGCCCCTTACGAGCTTTAGCCTTGGAAGCTCGCTTTGGTTGCGCTGTGGTCGACGTGGCCACTTGTCCCGGCAAGGCCCGCTTCAGTCGATTTAGCAGCTGCCCTCTGGATCCCGTAATGGGGAGGTTCAGGGCTTGAAGACGGAGTTTGAGCACTTCGCTGGATAGCGCGGAGAGATCCTGTTCACCTCGGCTGGATGCACGGTTCGAGTGCGAAATAGTACGACGAGGGCGAGCCATTTTAAAAATTTTACAAGAATCGTATACTGAGCGCTAACCTTGCTGAATAACAGAAGCCAAGTGAACTCTGAACACTTGTTCTAGGCTTTTATAGCTAGACAAACGTCTGCTGGCATAGCCAGTAGAAAAGGCTGTACTACAAGACAGCTCAGCGTTGCACGTGCGAACTCTTAGCCATGAATAGTGTATTGAAAAAGTTGGCCAATGCTGTGGATCGTACTAGCATGCTAAAGACAACAAGGCCGTAAAGTTCTACGCTAGAATACAATGTATCTTAGAGCTTGCTGACCTTGGCAGCTTGACTACACAACTGCTTTATTGAAAAGGAACCGCCATGAAAGGGTTACTGATAACTGGCGTCACGTTCCATTAACTACATTTTACTTGCGTGACAGTAAAATTGCTTTAAGTGACAAATATCCCTTTTTATTTGTCTTAGAGCTACATACAGGGTTCATACCCGTTTTTGAACAAAAAATTAAAGGACTTTTCGATGACTTTCAAGGAAACATTTCCTATAATTCAAAAAAAGAGCCTGGAGTCTGTCTATTTTAGTTCTTTCACAACATGCTTGAGCAATTTTATCCTGAAGGTCTCCCTGTGCTTGCTCCTTTTCCTTTGCAGCAGTTCTCCTTAGCATTGAAATTCAAAGACTTTTCAGCACTGACTGCAATTTTCAACGAATTTCAAGGCCATGAATAATTTATTTTAAAATTCAAGGACTTGCAAGTTGTGTGGGAACCCGGGGGTACTCCCATACATTACCTATACGGGTATGTGCCGCCCAACGGGGTCGTGATTTTGAAGCTCCTGATTTAGAACAGGGTATCCATTTCAGAGGCGTTTTCTAGAACGGGGTATAAAAAATTGTGGATCACAGCTTTATCTTCTGCTTAAAATTGTTGCTGATTATGAAGAAGCATTTATTTGCTGTATAAGTCGAACAAATAAAGAAATATCTTTTTTAAAAAACAGGGCTATTTCAATTTACAAACTTTCTAGAACAGAGTATACAAAATTGGCCCATTTCTAGAACGGGGTATCAGTTTTAGGGCGAATTCTAGAACGGGGTATAAAAAATTGGCCCATTTCTAGAACGGGGTATCAGTTTTAGGGGAATTTTTTTTAGAACGGGGTGCCAATTTGGAGTCCCGGGCGGCACACACCCACCCAAAAAATACCCAACTGCCCCCCCCCCGGGGTGGGAACCCTGTACATAAATGTAGTGTATAGTGTATTGCTAGAGTAAGTCTCTCATGCAGTGCTGATACCGGTATTTTGTGTCAAGAACTAGTAAATGATGGGTATCTAGGACACTATTATAATTAATAAAAGAGACAGAGTTAAAGATGACATTGTTTTTACCTCATTACAGTTATACATTGATTGATGGCAAAATTATTAATCATTTTCTATTACCTTTATGAGGGTTAAAATTATCAGTCTGCAGCAAGTCAACTTGAGGGCAATTTTTGACTTCATCTGCATCAAGTTTAATGCCAGTCTCTTCTTTCAGCTCCCTGACTGCACAATCAGCAGCTGGTTCAATGAACAGACCTATTGACATAAAGGGAATAATTTAGTATGAATACCTTTTCCTTTTGGGGCCAATCGTTCCACAGCTTGGCTTCATTAACAGAAAAACTATGTAAGTTATACTGTTAAAGCCTTACATCTACATTACTTTTCAATACAAGACAATTATTAGATGTAATGCTGACAATAGACAAAGTTTGAGGAAAAAGGCTTTACAGTGATCCTTCATCTCAAAGTGAATATTCACACAAGGCAATTTGAAACAAGAATCTTCACTTCACTTGTGTCTATAGAAGCTTATCAATGGTCATTTCAGGCTGATGGTTATAAATGTTTTTCATTTACCACTGCCTTTAAATCATGTTAAGACGTAATCCATCAGGAAATTGAGTAATTTTAATTTTCAGTGGACAAAAACCTTGTACCACTGTCAAGAATAATTAAAAGCATACTGCATTCTTTTTTTTCATTTTTCAAGGGCAAAGATATGATAATAATTAGTTATCTGTGATAACACCAAAGAAAAATTCTTAAGGGAGCCCAAGAAAATAAATGTCAAATTTCATGAAATGACATCTTGAAATTTTCAGAATTTTACCTGTGCTTTCACAATTCTTTTGAAATTTGACATTTATCTTCTCGGGCTCCCATAAGAAATTTTCTTTAGTCTTATTACGATAACTAATTACATCTATTGCCCTTGGAAAATGTAAAAGAAATTGCAATATTCTTTAAATAATTCTGGTACAAGTTTTTGTCCAGTGAAAATTAAAATCACCCAATTTCCTGGTGGATTCCATCTTAAAGAATTCACTTACTACCTACTGGTCAGGACCAAATCCATTTTTCCCGATGCTGCGCATGTTTACCTGTTGAGATCATCCTGTGTTTAAAGTTGCCCTTTGGAAGGCCCCATGGATGATAAAAATCTTCAGAGTGATGCACTTCACTGGCTTGTCGTCGGGCAAGTTCATCTGCTGCACTTGCCTTAAAAGAAATCCTTAGTCAGGATATTTTATCACTGCATGAAAAGGTAATATTTATTATTATTTTTTTATTATAATTTTCTAAATAGGCAATGTTTCCACTTAAGAGATCCATGAGAAATGTCCAGGAATCATAAAGTGGATGTGAATGTGCTAAAACCATCCATCAGTTTTGGAAAAGCTTATTTTGGTCATCAGCAAAAAGTGACCACCTCCTCCACCTTTGTTTGACAATCAAATACTGTTTAAAAACTCTCCTAGACTGTTCACAGTCCCCTATTTTTTCGTGAGATCGGTTAGATATACCGCTTCTTACCGTCACGGGTATCTTGATTTTCAAATGTACCAAGGGGGCGGGCATCGGGGATTATAGCTCTGGGGGGAGGAGGGGCGAGAAAAATAGAGGGACTGTTAGTAATAACATCACTGCGGCTCGTGTACACGGAGCACGTTGTACCAGCAACGCAGGCGTTTGATTGGTGATTAGAAAATAGATGCTAATTTGCGTTGACAATGGGTTTAATCTAAGTTGCCGACATTGACAAGTCGATGTTTCCATAAAAAGTACGCTTTCATACCATAAGGTACATCTTGCGCAAACACACGAAGGATGTTTGGTATTTTGATTAGGACAATGTTTTCTTGTGCATGTTTGCCAATTTTATTTTGAGGAATGGCCCAGAAATATTATAAAATCACTGTTTCACAAGGAGATATTTGTAGACACGTGTAATCGATGCTAAATGTGTCTGGCATGTTTTTCATCCCCAGCTGAGTTTCTTAATATTATTAATGAATCTTGAAAGGCGTGAAATTCCTGTCAAGCCTCCTGAACGCAAGCTGCAGTGATATTATTACAGTCCCTCTATTTTTCTTGCTTCCTCCCAAACCGCCCCTGCTCCCTAAGTAGTTTTAACACTCATGCAAGATGGCAGCCTGTAACACAAAACGCTCAATCTCGATGACCTTATGGAAAAATAGAGGACTGTGAACAGTCTAAAACTCTCCTCAGAAATTAAGTTTCTTAAACGACCGTGAGCACTTTTCAAACCAAAAATTTGACATATTCTTTTGTTTTCTGCTTCCCCCAAGCGACCACCCAGCACGATCACTTACGATTGTAAGAGAACCATTGCTTGAATGTCACAAAAATTCTAAAAGCATTGACCAAGCATTGACCAAGCATGCTTAGAGGTTATAACAGCCAACTTACAAAAAAGATGGCTGTAATACGATCTGTAGGAAAAAAAGGGGATCAAACATTGATGCAAAATGTTAAGTAAAAAATCTGAAATATTATTGCCAGTGCACAGCTGTCTGTTTGCCTAAGTTTTAGCTTGTTCATCAGTTCAGTTTGAGCCTATCTTCTTGCTTTTTCTGTGGATAACCACTTTCCGTAAGCAACCACAAGGGTGGACCCTTAGTTGAAGAGCTGTGATTTCATTTTACTCACCTTAAGAAATTCAAGATCATGTGGAAGAGGAGGATTAAGAAAGGAAATCCATCTTTTGTTGAACTTCCACATGTAGGAAAACACATGCTGGAGAGCTTCTTCATTCATGGTTGCAATGTTCTGTACTTCTTCCAGCATCCAGTCCCTTATGTGTTCTGTAAGGCTTGGAACGTCAAGCGTCACAGGCCGACCAGAGATCTTGCGGCGAAAATATTGAGCCAAAGCGGCTGCAACATTGACGAATGCTTGGCTGGAAAGGTATCTTTTAAGAAGTACCTGAAGCAGACTGAAAGGTAAATAATAATTGCATTTGAATCACTGTTAGCAAAGAAAACAATATTTTTTATAATTATTATTAAAAAAGAAGGTTCAAATTTGCATACACTCTCATCTGGGAAGCAAACATATCAGAGTCATGTCAAGTTATTTAAACAACATTAAAGAGAACACATACTCTTGTATTCTTTTGATTTTACTAGTGATTATAATAACCGCTATAAGTACCCATGTTACTAATGTTGTACAGTGCACATTAAGCAGTATACCTGGACTGTGGATCTTGATAAAGAAGTACAACACCGCAGCTTGTAAGCACAGGATCTGGTGTTTCAGGAATAATAACATTCGCACACCTCTCTGCTTCAAGGGCCACCTTACCCTTAAAATCAGAATACTGGGCATCAAGACCAACAATTCGAAAACCTACATGAATTATGACCAAAAAAAACATGTAAATATCAACAGTTTTCTTAAATGCGAATACAGGAGAAATAATTAATACATGTAGAAGAGTATTGACAAGGAAAATCACTGGAATTCACTTTGCTTTCACCACTGCGTGCCCTCTTAGCGCCCATTTCTTGTTTTTACTAACTACTTCAGAGTGCACTGGGTGAAAGATGCAACGATACATGTAGACTGTAATTCTATATCTAAAACTGGATTTCCACTGAACTTGCATAAATGTTATATGCTTAAACTTGCATTAAAATAGAAGCAATGAATTAAAGGTCGTGCATAAACATAAAAGTCGAACTTTGCCCAGATTTTACATTTGGATGTTTACTTTTGACACCTCATACATTGCCTCCATTATCCTTATTTACGAGTGTAAATAAACACTTAATGCCTTGTAATACCAGGTTCAAGCTCAACCAGTGACATTGTCCGAGTGTTGAAAATCTTGCAAGTTCCTGGAACTCTTGTACAGTACAGAATAAAAGATGATTCTGCATCCCCAACAATAACAACATTTTTCTTCTCCTTCCAGATTTCACCAACTGATAAGTCTCGTCTGTGTTGTAATGGAAGGGCAAATGTTGTTCTACTCCTGCCAAAAAGTGATTCATTTGGATCCAGCTTCTGCCTTTTATTTGCAATTGCTTGTTCCCAAAAGAAATCAGCATCTCCCCTAATGTTAGATCACAAGCAAAAGAAATTACACTTGAACTTGTTGCAGATTCCTTAGCACAGTACAAAAATCAAGAATTTGATTTGTTTTCTTTTTTACACCATCATTATAAACAGAGTTTATTTAAGTGTATTTTGAGAAACACACATGAAAGAAAAATATTATTGGAGTTAAAAGCACCCTTTTCATTTATAGCACATGGAGTGTCTTGTTGTTATTATTTATTCACGTAATGTAAGAAAAAAGGCAAACACCCACTGGGTTTTTACTTTAAATTTCACTCAAGTACTCACGTGACTTAGTTTCCTGGAGTCGAGTCCAAGAAAAGCAACAACTTAAATCAATAGGCCTTTTGTAGCTAGCCATTTACGTGGTACAAAACCACCATGCTGGAGAGCAAAAGCCACACTAGGACAAGACAAACAAAGGAAATTAACATTTAAAATTATGTATGCATTTGTTTGTCTTGTCCCAGTGCAAGTTTTGCTCTCCAGCACGGCAGTTTTGTAACATGTGGATGGCTAGCTGCGAAGGGCTTATTATCATTGTTGAGTTTCATAATAATCATGGGTGATAAATAACTCCTTACCTTCGGTGCGAAATTTAAGGATTCTAACAGGTATTTTGTCCAAAAAAAATAAGAAAATTGAGAACTTAAGCCAAAATTTATGCTCTAAACTTTTCAGTGCATTGAGTCTCAAACATTGCCCCATCCCCCAACCTAACCCTAACCCCTAAGCAGCAAGTCTCTCTCGCCTGGCTGCTCATTAGGGGGAGGAGGTGGAACGAACAGATGGATGACATTTTAGACTATGCATGGAGTTCTAGATATAAGAAAAAAGGCACAAACCCATGATTGTGAGTGTATTTGCACCCGTGATATTAATAGTTATCAAAATAATTATGTTCATGAAATTGGAGAATAATTCACTTGTGTCAATTGGAATTTGGACAAAGCACACTTGAAATATTATTATCATTCTCTAATTTCACTTATCACTATTTGATTACACAAGTATAATTTATTAATATTATTATTATACTGTATCAACAATTAATGTGAAAGAAACTGGAAGGGACTTAGGATTTTTAATTTAACCTTACCAATCACTAGATTGCCATCCTCCTGCTTGTATTCCACGGAAATGAACCCATGATGTTCTCTGTTGCCCAACCTTGGGTGCAAACTTTCTTTTCAACTTGTTCTTCTTTGTTCCCTTGTTAACAAAGACTTTCTCTGGATTTGAAACACCAATTACCAACAGGGCTTCACGAGCAGCAACTTGTTCTGCTTGTTTTTTGGAAGTGTACGGTGCCTTGGTAGATACCATAACATCACCAAAACAAACAGTGCTGATAAATCCAGTTCCTTGGAAGAGAATGTGAATACTTTTAGTAAGCTAACAACAACAACAAAAAGATTGCTGTAAGTTTAACTTTCAAAATACAGTGGAACCTGGATAATAAGGACATGAAAGGGACACGCCATAGTGTCCATATTATCGAGGTGTCTGTATAATACAAGATAATAAGGGGCTCTCAGAAAAGACGTAACCGACCTAGTTTTTATCGGTACAAAGACTAAAGCAGTTTTTTGTAGAAAATGTTGTTTGATTTCTTAACAGTAACTTTAACAAGTTAATCCTAAAGAAAACTCACAATAATAATATTTTATCATAGTCTCAGACTAAAATTACCTTTAAAGTATTGTTCTTGAAACACAACAATGGAATCTGCAACTTTATTACTTAGTGCTAGCAAGTTTACTTTGTAACTAAGCCTTTTGGCCTTGGTATTAGACAGAACCTTTGCAAGGTCATTCTTAGTTTGTGTTATATTTTCACTAGTAAGGTACAGTATTCAGTCATAAACAATGCTTATATAAACAGTGTCCTTAAAGCAGGGTTGACAATATATGGGAGTTTGTGACTCAGGACTCAGGAAAAATGTCCGTAGCCCGTATGAACAAATGTCTGTATTAAGCAGGTTAATTTTAGGGAAAATAAACTGTCACTTATATATGGGTGTCCATATTAAGTGGGTGTCCATAGAGCGGGGTTCCACCACAGCAAATGGTTTGTGATACACATCTTTTATCACCACTTTTACACTCAATTTATTAATGGGTTGGTGACCAGGGGGGGGGGGATTCCTTATAAGAGGCAAATGGGGATGTGCCACTGGATGGGGTCGCATTTTCACAACTGGATTGACTATAATGGGGTCACCATTTTCTGAGTTTTGGGGTAAGACAGTTCTTCATATTTATGGTTAGCAAACAGTCATACCAGACTTTTTGTATTTTAGGTCAAAAGTAAAGTGTTCTTTATTCAATATAAGGTAGATACATATTAGAAGGTGACTAAGTTGGGATCGTGAAAATGATGTTTTTGCCCAAAAGTGACTAAGGTGGGGTCTATGTTTGACCACAGAATAGACTATAATGGGGAAGGGGCTCTGATGAGAGAACAGCAGTATATACCCAGCAAAAATTATCCCAAGTACCCTCCCCCCGCCAGGGTTAGTGAATGGGAAAAAAAGCCCAGCCTGCAAAGTGACTTCTGATTAAAGAGTATCTACACTCTTCTTTCAAATAGTCGTATATTTAAAGTGTACTTCCTTGTTAGCAAAAGATAAATTATTATTTGACATTACATCAAGTACCTACAAATTTATAGTCTCAATTAATGCACCTAGGCTTTGATTGCAAGCAGTGACTTAAAGGCTTATGGCTCATATATTTACTGACTAAAATATGTGGTTGTTTTGTGCTATAAATGGAGCTCAAAATTCCTAAGACTCTAAGCACATTGCCCAGATCTATTTACGGTTTTGGTTCAGGAAAGAAAAAAGAAAGAGTTTGGTAGAAACAAAAAGCCTGTACATGACATGACTGTACCTTCCCAGGTTGTGGAGTACGTGGGGGGCTTATTTCCTCTTTGCTGACAATTTTCCTGGAGGAGGTTCTTATAGGAAACTGTGGCATCAAACATTTCTGGAGTTGTTGCTGGAGACTGCATATTTGTTGCTTGAGGGGTCTCCATGTTTGATGCTGATGTTCTTGAGGGGAGCAGGGAATTTCCATCTGTTTTTTCCCCAGAGGTTAAAGTCTTAAAGGCTACAGCAGCTGCATTCTGTTGAGCCAGCTTTTTGCTAGGTGAACATCCTTCACTCTTAAAACACTGTCCATTAAAGGTGACTGTGCATACAAAACCTCCACCTTCTTGCACCGTCTCATACTGAGGTAAAGCTAATCCAGTCTTTTGGGCCCTTTCTTGAAGAACATTCTTGAATGAAACAACACCATTACCTTTTCTTGAAACAGGAGTCACAGTAGGGTTGGAAGGGAATAATGTTTTCTGGATCTCTGGAGAAGACATTTGTGTTTCTGGAATGGAAGCTTTTTCACACTTTTCAGGCGAAGTAGAAACTTGCATAGTTTTGTGAATTTCTTCCACTGCTGTTGTTGACCCAGAGTTTATGTCTGTGCAAGACTGGTCTACCTTGCAACTGGGAAATCCTTCATTCACAGTCTGAGAGAGTGCAGTGGAGGATTTCAGCTGAAAATCTCCCCCGAGAATTCTCAATTCGCGCAAAGCAACCTTAGCCGCACTTTTTTCAGCCTGCTTTTTGGTGCTGAACTCGCCTTCGCTAGTAAAATTTTGCCCCAAAACGACCAAATTAGCCGAGAAAACTGGAATATGTCCTTGCATTTTTTGTGTGCAACTATACTTGGGGAGTTCAACCTTAGCTTTTTGACAATGCATTTGTAAAAGACCTTTGAAATTTGGTTCTGCCATGATATCTGTGAATTCAGGCCGCAATGTCACTAGCTAACCATCAATCGACCAAATTCAAGTAAAAGGCTAGACAGAGGAATTTCCTGACTTAATTGCAAAACCATGCACGTTCTCTATCCATAGAAAAAGGCATAGTATTGCGGTCAAAAAATTCGACATCTACGCCGCCATCTTGAACTCACAACCCGTAAAGCATGATGGTACGGTCCTCGTTTCAACTGGGTAGGACTGGGGACGGGCGGAAGTAGAAAAAGTTCAAGAAAAATAACTAAAAACTGAAAAAAAAATAGAATACAGTTTTTATTATTTCTTTGGTGGTAAGCGCTTTGGTCTTTCTTCTTCTCAAACTAAAGGACAAACATGTTCCATTTAATGCAGTTTTTATTTCAAAGTCTGGTTTCCATTCAGGCCAAAGCAAAGTAATTAAAAAAAATAATAAAATAAAATAAAATAAAGAAAACGGAGCAGTCAGTTCGAAATGTTCAAAGAATATATTTATGGGAATTATATAGAAATCCTTTTCGAAACATTAAAATTCTTCATCAATTTTAAGATCGGAGATCGACTTGTACAGGTGTTTACAACCTAGCTAGGTTCAACCATTATATTCCACGTGCAAGACTTGAGGACTTCTTCCATCTTGATCTCGTTTGCTTCTCCCAACCAAAGCATTTACAAAGGGATTACCTCCATCTTCATCCTTGCCAACAAAATTCAAAACATCATCGTGCCAGCACGTTACGATGATTCCTTCCACTGCTGGGTTTTGGGTGACGTTAAAATCTCCAGCGGGAGTTCCGGCATGAACTGGGCCATATTCTGCGATGATCTGAGTAGCTTTCGTTGTTGCATCTTCCTTGCTAGCAGCACCGTTCATGAGAATCACACAAGTGCCGTGGCGAAACACGACCCATGATTTGTCTTTCCTCCCAGGAGTGTTTTGTATAATCTTGCGCCATGTTTCCACTATTGAATCTTTTACCACGACCATTTCGATCCCGATACCCCTGTTTTCACTGAAGAAGTTCAACTTTAGGCAAATTGTTCAAAAAGTTATGAATCGACTAGACGTAAAGTTTGCTGGCCTTGCTTTTTCAGCAATTTTTAAAAACCAGTTCTATTTTTGACACCTACGATTTGTCAAGCGGTATTCAGCGCGGGCTCCATCGTAAACAAGCAAGATGGCGGCTCCGGTCGGTTCTGTCCGAGTAGTTCCGCCTCCAAGGCTAGAGTACTATGTAGTGACCGAAAAGCTGGGCCAAGGAACGTACGCAACTGTGTATAAGGCATTCAAGAAGGTAACGTTTCTGAAAATTTATAGTTAAGATGCGTGCAAGTTATTTTTGAAGCTGACGTCACGGCGGCCATGTTGGTTGAAAGGAACAAAGCTTACTCTTCGATGGGAACTAGAATAATTCTTTTTGAATGGAAATGCTGCGGAAAATATATGCATTGTTTTGCCTACCAGCTTGGCCGCCTTGTAACATGGTTGGAATCCAAAGACAGTGGAAATCCACCGGTTTTTTACATAAACTGTCAGTAAATATAAACAACTGATCATTTTTACTTGTGAACTGTGAACAAAACAGTGCTTCAAAATGTCATTTTAAATGAAATTCATTTCAATACATTTGAAGGTGGGCTTATGCCGGGGGCTTTAAATTATTGGATGTATTTTTTTTGTTTACAGGTAGATTGTTGGCCCAACATTGTTGGGAGTTTGTTCAACAACTCTCAACAACACGCAATAACATCCAACAACAAGGGTGCAAGGGTGTGCAAATGGATGCAACATGTAACATTTAACAACGTTGGGAGGTGTTGACCAACAATGTTGCGTCTGTTTGCACAGGGTTTTACATAATCTTGTTATTCACAAAAATAGCAACAAAATGTGAAAGAGCTGATAAAAAATGACTTCATTTGTTCTGATCTTTCTAAAGAGACCTTTGAAGAGCAGAAAGGTCTGAAACAAGTTAGTATGGTCTTGAAGCTCATTATGAGTACAGATATCTATCTACATATGTGACCTCTCATGCGAAAACGTACACTAACGGCTTTCCGTTAAACAGGTGAAACGCACGGCTGTCGAACGGGTAAGAAACGGCCCACGAAGCCATTTGAAACGGATGAAACCGAACAGCTGAACAGCTGATAATTTATTCCGAACGGATTGGTATGACGGCTGAACGGCTAGCGAAAAATTTCGAACGGATGGTAATCACGTCTGAACGGCTAAAAAAATTTTCGAACGTTAGACCTGAACGGCTGAGCGGCAGGAGTAAAATTTCAAACGGATGGTCCTGAACGGCTGAACGGCTCGTCAAAAACTTCGAACGGATGGTAATCATGGCTGAACGGCTAAAAAAAATTTCGAACGGTAGACCTGAATGGCTGAACGGCACGAGTAAAATTTCGAACGGATGATCATGCACGAGAGAAGGGATTGTCATGACTGGCTGCGAATGGAACTAACGGATAACCATTAACTGTAGAACGGCTCATGTTTTAGCAATAATTATTTATATATTGTTTCAAACGGATTGTTAATGACTGGCTGCGAACGGATCAGACCAAAGATTAATGTTTATTACTTTCGCTATGCAAACCACTCGCTAAATGCTTTACTAACAGGCGTCGGTCCGCACTGACAAAATAATTGTTATCGAATGTCGGTCATTTTCCGCAGATTTACCTTTGGACAAGTTGCAGAAATTCTACAATAATTTTGTTATGGCTGTTTCCAATTGAACGGGTCATGAACGGGTGATTTTTTTCGCCACGCAGAATATAAACAAACTTGTTCTAGACAAACAACAAAAAAAAGAGCGATTAAACGCTTTGATGCTTTTAAATAAAAACTTGCTATGGCCATCACAAATGGAAAACGTAAATAGAAATAATGTTAAAAAGTTCAAATCACGATGAATAAATCGGCAGTGGTAAGTATTTTTGAATATCGAATTATGAATGAAAGTAAAGCTTGCATCATAGCAGACCGTTTTGAAACTAATTAATTGTTTAGCGTCACGTCGCCAGAGAAAACTTCGAGATGTCACGCTTGTCGTGATTCTCACCCGTGCTGGCCAACGAGCAACAAACCGTTGCTTCATAGAACTATGCCATAGTTGTACACTGTTCTTTGCAAAAAAATCTAAGGCCTTTTAAAAAATGACGAGAGTTTTGGTTCATGAAAAATAAATCATCAGATAGTTGACTGAGTAGATGTTGGTCACGTGCTAGGCAACGAGTTTTGCAAGTGACTCAAATTTCATTCGTGATCAGAAAGATCAGAAAGTGTTACTGGTAAAACCCTTTTCTCTTCGTTTGGTAGACTGTTTCCCGTGATTCTGGCAGCGGGTCATTAAACGAGTTAAATCGCCACTTCCTCCAATAGTTTCTTAGTAGTTTACCTGGGATCAGAGGAACACGTTTTCGACTCAACAATTGCAGTGAAACAGTTGTTTACACAAGAAAGTATTAATTTTTGTTGCTCTGTCAGGGCGTCTGGAAAAGCGGGAATCTGGAATCCGGAATAGGAACGGGAATAGGAACAGGAACAGGAACCGGAACCGGAATAGGAAGCGAAATGGGAAGAGAAACCTATATAAAAGCAGGGACAACATTTACCTTAATTTAAGTTTATCTGGATTTAATTCCTATTCAGATTATATACGAAAAATAAGGGGAAAATGAAATAGGAACCAGAATAGGAACCGGAATAGGAAGGGGAATATAAACAGTGTAAAGAGATATGAAAAGAAAAAGATATAATCGTGATATAAATAAAAAGCCAGAGAAATAATTAAAGAAACAAGAAAACACCCTTGAAATGTTAATCTAATTAACCTTTCTTTATCTTTAGCCTATGACACATTGTGTTTTCGTGTCAAACATAATAGTGAACTTAAGCAACGAGAACGCTGACCGTCACTTGATGGAACGCTTCTGTCTCACACAACGAATCTGAATTCTTCCTCTTACCTTCCACTGGGCGAATTTGTTGAGTCAGAGCACCTAAAGACAGAAAACATCCACTTCCAGTTTCCATTTTTAATGTCCCGGACGTCACGGTTGAGGCAGACGAAGTACTGGCTGGGATGGGTTTTGGTGGGGGGGGAGGGAGAGGAGGTACGTGTTAATACCCTTTTTAAGCTGTGGACTATCTATCTCTGGTTAACTTCCCAATTTAGCACCGTACAATATATCTATGGAGCAAACCTGAGGTGTATGGCAGCCCAATAAACGTCTCCGATGGGTGTCTCGTATACACATGCTCTGACAAATAATATTAACATGTGATAACCACCTTCCTGTGAGAGACAAAAGGAACCTTAAGATCTGACGACGGCAACGCCAGCGAAAACGCCACTGAGAAATTGAATTCGGGTCTTAATTCAAACTATTTCTCATTAATTCCAAATTGCCCAGTCTTTTAAAGGTTGGGAAATGAAGCTGGAGACCGCGTCCAAGCTCAGAAAGACACAATAAAATTTATTGCCTGCCGTTCACGTTCTCAGGAGAACTTAAGATTTGATCATTTACATCGTAGTTGTGCATACGCAGTGAAGAAATTGACAGAAAGTGCGATGCACTAGCAAAGCTGTTGCTTTACTTATTTAACTTGCGGCTTTTTCTACCTTCTCGCTACCGTGTTATAAAGAGATTCGGGGGGGAGCATGATACCAGAGTAGTGTTCTTATTTTTTGTATAAATTGAATTCGAATTAAAATAATTTAAAGTAAATGATATCCCTGTTCTTGTATCGGTTCCCCTTCACATTGCTGTTCCTGTTCCGTTGCTGTTTCCGGTTCCGGTTCTGGTTCCGGTTCCAGTTCCTGTTCCCATTCCCGTTCCTATTCCTGATTCCAGTTTCCGGCTTTTCCAGACGCCCGCTCTGTCAGACTTTTTTCGGTCGGTTCTGAATTTCACGCTTGGTTCGAGATCAATGTTACGTTACGGCAAGAAAGCAACAAAGCACGGCTAGAACAAGAGGCACTGCATAAGGCCATCTGAACAGCGTAAAATTAATTTTGATCCAAGGCGTTTGAATGAACGGTTCCAACTGATTGAAGTTTTGAACGAGTGGATAATTTTTCTGAACGGATGACCAAGTCGTTCGAACGGATTCAAATTTTTCTGAACGGGTGCCACAGCCGTTTGAACGGATAGACAATTTTTCTGAATGGATGGCACAAGCCGTTCGAACGGATGGATGATTTTTGTGAACGGATGACCAAACCGCTCGAACGGATGCAAATTTTTCCGAACAGGTACACTAGCCGTTCAAATGGTTGGGCAATTTTTATGAACGGATGACACAGCCGTTCGAACGGCTTGACTTCCTTTTTAAACAGATCGCCCAAGCCGTTCGAACGGATGCAAATTTTTTCTGAACGGATGAGAAACGGCTTGTGAACGGATTTCCGTTCGAAAACGGGAAGCCGTTAGTGTACGTTTTCGTGTGAGAGGTCACATATGCCTGAAGGGACTGCTCCCTTGGAGCGGGCAGCAAATAATGTTATTATTGTATGCTGGTTATGCAGATGGACTGGTCAGATGAATTCCTATTCCTTTTCTTCTTTCAGGGTAATATGAGAGATGTGGCTGCAATTAAATGTATTCAAAAACGTTCATTAAGCAAGTCAGCAACAGAAAATTTACTCACGGAGATTGAATTACTGAAGAAATTAGATCATGAGCATATAGTCAAGCTTAAAGACTTTGAAGTAAGTAAAGAAGCAGCTGTTACAAAAACTGTACAAATTGTAAATGTTGTTTGTTTCTTAAAAATACATTAGTTTTTCCTATTAGTTAAGAAGAGATCATAATTCCAGAGCTTACACTTTTCAAAGAGAGGTTTATACTCAGAGAAGAGATATCTATAAGTTATAGCAGCATGGATGGAATGTTCTGTCTCAAAATTTGGTTGGCTCTTAATATTGGGGGCAGTTTGCATCAGCAAATGAACATAATAGGAGCAAAAAATGCTCATGTCACATTGCGAGCACAATTAAAAAAAGATGTGTATGGAACACAAAAGAATCAAATCAATCATTCTATTTAAGCTCCTTGATCAGTCTTGTCTGTTGCGAGTGTTTACATGACAGTGTTGTAAAAAAGTAGACACTACAAGTGTCTGGGTTTTCATACAGTTCTGTTACAGTGTGGTTCATTATTTTTAATATTTACAGTAAGGACAATTTTATGCATAAATGTTGTTCCAGTGTTTTTCTCTATACATATGATATTAAAATGGTTGGTACATGTACATTTAAAATATTAGGGAGCTGAACCTGTGATAATGGTGACAGCAACAAGAGCGGCAAAAAAAGCATTAGGATTTTAGCAAAATAATAAGTTCTTTGCACAAGCGTCATTCTTTTTTGTACATTTTCTGCATGACTATGACGTGCAAATGCCTAATTTCACATTTTCTGCGTAACACAAGAAAACAGCTTTCTTTTTCTTTTCCTGAACTTCAATACAGTCTTATAGAATTCATTTCCAGAAAAATTTGCCAACATTTAAAAAAAAAAAAATTGAAAAATTTGAGTGAGCACAGTAAAGTTTGAAGCAGCGCAAATTCACTTGTAATGACATTTCCATAGCCCTCGCCATTGTTGTTGATTAAGCTCCCTATTATTTACATATAACTTCTGCTCTATTAGCTTTAACCCATTTACCTCCTTTCCCAGGTGTATGTATTACTTTTTTTATCAACATTTTGTTGTTACAGGTCTTCTTATGTCTTTTTTTGTTCCTTTAGTGGAATGATGAATATATTTTCCTCATCATGGAATACTGTAGTGGAGGAGACTTGTCAAGGTTTATTCACAGTAGAAGAGGCTTACCAGAGGCAATCGCTAGACGATTCTTACGACAATTAGGTTAGGCAATCTGAATGTGCCTTCATTCAACATTGGTGTAATGTTATATAGCTGGAATATAACAGTTTCCCCCAACAACACACATACTCCCTGGCTACTACAAATAATTTATATGGCATATAACAAAAAGGATTTTCCCACCAAAATTCTCTGAGTGAACAACATTGCAAATCTATGAGGTTAGAGGGTAAAAGCTACTTTGTAGTGCAAGTGTTACACATCAAAGTTATTTGACTGCTACCCAAGGAGCGAGATTCACCAAAATCTAGGCACAAGATACGGGGTTTTGTTTGCGTGTCTGTTGGGAGTTTGAGAAATCATCACCACTCAACAAGTATGTTCCAGCAGCAAAAGGGAGCTGAGTCAAATAATTATGTAAGCATTCAGCGGTGTCTCATATCGGTATCTGACCACCTCGCCATCAAACCATCTTGCCACCAATCATTGTTTTGAACTTTGATGGTTGGGAAACTTTTCTGCCAGTTTTTTAATCTCTCAAATGCCAAAGTTTACATTCTCCAAACCTATACCTTACTATTTGCATTGCCAAGAGCATAACATGTTTGATGAAAGGATTAGCCTGCAGAGCAGGCGTTTTTTAATGAAAACTCGGAGGTACATTGATCGTGGCTGCCATCTTGAAAGGCAACGAAAAAGACTAAGTCTACCTCTCCCTTAAAAACACTTTTTGACTCGTCCCAACTCTCTGGTAGTATTAGGGACCTTAAGATACCCTGGACGCGGCGGTAAAGAGAACAGAGAAAGCCTTGAGCGAGGACGCCGCCACCTTTGCGGGAAAAACAAATTAAGATTGAGTGGGTTGGGTTGAATGCTCGCCTGACGAGAGAGGATAAAGTAGTACTTTCGAGTTGTAATTCCATGACGTCTTTTAGGAAAACTCACGAAGTCTTGCTTGATTGATACCTTAACGATCTTTTATTGGAAGAAAAATTTGTGCTGCCGGCTATGACTCCAGTTTCTCTAAAAAAAAAAAAACAAATTTCTTTGAGGGAAACTTGAGGGTATGATCGGAGTTCAGGTTATCAGCTATTTGTTGCCAGACTTTTTCGCTTTCCGTTGTTCTAGATCTTGCTTTAAAACGATATGGTTCTGTTATGAGAACTTCCCGTACTAAGGCGAGATTTTGATCTTCAGACCGCTCCATCGCCGAACTGAAAGTGAACAAAATAAAATTGTAAAAGTTAAAAAATGGACCATGGCGTCTTGCTGAGGATCTCAATTTCCTCTGACATGTTCAAGTTTATTACAAGCCTAGATTTTTGTTTTCCAACAATTTTTATTCGACTTCTCGTCTCTTTAATATTTCAAATACCGTCCTAAAGCGAGAACGTTGTCCCCTTAAAAACAAGCAGTTATAGTGTTACATTTGTGTCGAAAGACTCAGCGCTTTCATTCTCAGTTGCCGCCAAAACACTGAACCCAAAAGGCTTGATAGCAAAAAAATAAGAGTCAATCTTGAGAGAACACCACACTAAAAACACTTAAATGTGTCTCTTGAAGTAAAATGGATCGAAATTCCTGTACGAAAAGCAATTTCTGCACTGAAAACAAGAAAACCAACTCACCGTTGTATGAGGCGGCCAAACTTCTAGTTTTCACCCGTCGCGACTTCAGGTCGACGCTGTGGCATTATGCTAATTAGTTCCAAGAATTGAACATATCACTTCTGGTTGACGTCCTCCCCGGCCGCGTTCAGAGTATCTTAAGGTCCCTATTAACGTCCAAGATGGCGGGACAGCGTCATTCCTGAAAACAATTCATGGATCCTGCTCCAAAATACGCCTGCTTTGCAGGCTATGCAAGGATCGTCAATAAGGATCGGCAGACTTGTATTTGGGTTGACTTTAAACTCGAATAAGCTTGACGAAAAAGTAAAAATCTTAGGTAAATAATCTTAGGTATTTTTATGAGTTATTCCTTGGTGGCGAGTCGACTTCTTGGTGTTGATTTTATTGGTGATGAGATGATCATAAACCCTCATATCAAAGTAAACTATGGAGTGACCTGGTCAGTGATTATCTCATTGAAACTGCCAAGTAATCAACAGACGAGAAATGCAGGAATGTGGTTTAAGGACCCTCCCTCCACACCCTGATCCATAAAGGTTTTAAAACAAAATACTTGTCTTCTTTTCAGCCCTTGCTCTTCAGTTTTTACGTGCAAATAATATTGCTCATATGGATCTGAAACCACAAAATCTGCTTCTATCAGCAAGAGAAAATCCAGTACTGAAATTGGCAGGTATGAATTTTAACACTGCTCAACCATTTTCTATCAAAGCCTATGCCTATGTCCATTATATGATACGTATCGATCTAATTTCATTCTTTGCCCTTCTTTATCAGCAGTCTCATTGTCACAATTAATTTGCACAGGCTCTCCAAATAATAATATTATTCCTGTCCTTTAATAGAAGGATACAACTGTCCATGTAAAAGTTAAATAATGCATGAGTGTTATCTCTTTAATACCAATTTTACAATGGGAAATTTCTTCTCATACTTCACTCGCAGATCCTTCCACAGTTTTTCTCAACTTTTGGCATGGACCAGTTTGTGAAAATCCTGTGACAACACTGAATAGAGGGCCTAAACAATAGCAAAATTGCCAAGTTTGATAGTGATTTTTTGTAAAAGAAGCAAGATGTTCATGTAGCTCTGCAAGGCAGAAAAATTTTACAGATGTTTGTATTGTGGGGAGCACCCACTCAGCCCCCTCCTTACGAAAGTCTGTAAAATTTCATGACTTTGGGGAGGTACGGTATATAAGGAAAGAAAACTGTCGTTTTGCTCGGCAGTAAATATACTTCTGCTGTAATAGACTTTGTGGCTTAGTAAGGCTTGTATTTTTTGGACAGATTTTGGTTTTGCCAAGTACTTACATAGTGAAGAAGAGACGCATACGATGAGGGGATCTCCTCTGTACATGGTAAGGATTCAATTCAGTTTTTATGGTGGTTTTGACCGAAATTGTTTGTATTCAGTCGACTCGATTCCTGAGTTTTAAGTCGATTTGTACTCATTTTTTGTATTTGCTTATTACAACAGAATGTGTTACTTTTGTGTTAGTTTTCATGTATTGAAAGATTTGTTTTGAGAAGTCAGGTATATAGTATTACATTTAGCATAGAAAGCTATTGTTTAACGTGTTTGGGTACGAATCCATTGAAGATTGGATATAATAATTATGATGGACTGGTTATTGATAAGGTCTTGTACATGTATTATTAATGTTTCTTTGCTCGTTACTTTGTTTGAATCTAATCTTGTTAACATTTCTTTGTTAGTTAGCCCTGTCGTACCATGTTAATCTATTTTTCCCAGTTATTAACTTTTCTTCTTATGTCATTTTGCTCGCACAGTATTTATCTTTTTTTGATGACGATTTTCACATGATTTGTTCTTTGGTGCGCATTTAATCTTACAAACTGCAGGTTATGTTAATAACATGTGTACATGGATCACAAGTTAATCCGTAAGCTGTTAACCCCATTCAGTCTTGCCACCTTTTTCCTTTATTCATTGAGTCATCCTCACTGTGTAATTCTTGCCTTCTTAAAGTTTCTTCAGTGCTTCATGATTCATAGACCCACAGGGTAGTTATGTTCATTAACGCAAAGCTTCTCCAATGTGAAGCCAGCAAGTAAACATCTCTTCTTGTGATGGCAAAAACAAAACAACAACAACAACAGCTACAACAACAAAGCTTTTTTGAAAATTGTCAAAATTGATGCGAAAAGACTCTGTTACGAAACCACTTCGATATGCAGCTAAACAACTTGTAGCGCTAAGTTCAGTCCTGTAGGTATGTACATGTAGGTCCACAAGCTAACACTTATGATGTCTTAAGAGCCTGGCAGTTTATTTATTTGAAAACAGCAATACGGTAACCATGACCATGACTTTGTTCAACATGTGTAAATATTCAGGCACCTGAGATGATCTGCTCCATGAAATATGATGCCAGTGTTGACCTGTGGTCTGTTGGTGTTATCCTCTATGGTAAGTCACACAGACGAGAATTATGTATGACAGATTCTGGGAGGGAGGAGAGGATGATAAAGAAATCTGATAGGGAATTTGAAGCACATAGAGTAGTGTGAAGCCCTAGGGGAGGGGAGGTGGGGGGAGAGGATATTTAACTCTCCTTGGTCTGAAACGTACATTATAGGGTCTGTATAGACTGTTGGTAGTCGTCTGTTTTTCGTTAGGTTTTTGACATGAGCGCTCACTGTAATGGGCGGCCTTCTTGCTTTCAAATGTAAGTGTCACCTGGTGAAGAGTATCAAATTTATTTAGGGGATGGAGGCTGCTTCCTGAATCCCCCCACCGCTAAAGACCCCATCCCCCATCCCCTCAGTACATTTGAAACTAAGACGGCCACCTGTTACAGCAAGCCTGGCGATCTCATGGAAAGACAGGCTACTGTATACAGTCTAATATGGGGTATATATAATTGAACAACCAGTATGCATCCTCCGCTACTTTGACCTAAATACCTAACTAAAAACGTCTCACGCACTTATGGCCTTGTAACTTAGATAGTTAAAGTGCTGGAAGATCCAATCCAGGGCTTGTGAGTTCAAACCTTGCTGAGATTAAGGGTATTTTAATTTACTCCTGACATAGGTCAGTCTTTCCTTTCTTGGATGTGCAGTTTAGTCTTTTCAGTATTGGAAAAGAAGGCAAAAGCAGCAAACGTCTCACAACTCTCAAGTTTTCTATCTCAAGCCCCATTCACACCATAACTTAAACACGCTTAAAAGCTGTTTAGTTAAACACAGTTAAAAGCTGCCTGCTGTACATTTTTGGATTGCCAATTGCACAACATGTTAAATTCTATGTAATTTTTTTTAAGCTAGGCCCTGTTCACACCAAAGCTTAAACATGTTAAAAAGTTGTTTAGCTAATCTTTATGACTCTTTCATATTGACTGTTACACCTTATGATATGTTTTTTGCTCTGTTTTTTTTTAACCCGCTTTCATCAGAGGCGCTGTTCGGCATTGCTCCTTTTGCATCAGCATCATTTGCTGAACTTGAGATGAAGATTCGCTCAACAGATCCAATCACAGTAAGGAACTAAACGATTGTAAACATTTTCATAAACAAATTCATAATTATGCTAATTTAACAACCCACTTATTAATTCGCAACTTCAGAAACCAGAAAGAAACTGGACCGAGTTAATTTACGCAAAAACTTCTGGGATCATTATAAGGGATGCGCCAGTCAGCAATAGCCCTCGTTTGATATATGTTAAAATTCCAACGTGACTCCGAGGCTTTGGGGTAAAAATTGCAAATTTTTGATGACTCCATTGTTTCGCAATTCCCAGAAGAGACTTGAACACAAAGAAAACCAAACCAAATATAGAAAAATGACCAGAAAGCCTCGGAGTCGTGTTAGAAATTTAATATATTGAACGTGGGCTATTGGTCAGGTTTTTCCCTGTCCCCAGTGGCAGTCGCAGAACTCTTTGCAAAGGTTAACTTGGTCCAGCTTCCCAATGGAGAATTTGATGGTCATATTGAGCAGAATTCATCGATATATGGTGCCAGATCAGTCTTAATCGGGTACTGCCACACAAATGCACTGTGTACAGGGTTCGTACAGGTCATAGAAAACCTGGAAGGTCGTGAAATTTAAGAATTTCATTTTCCAGGCCTGGGAAATCATGGAAAGTTAAAGTTATGTGAGATGGATTAGATACTGCAGATGTCAAAGGAAGTACAATGTAAGATAGAGACGAGTAATTAAATGATGGATTTTAGTGGGCAGCAGAGTTTTTGTCTATTGAACTGAGTTAGGTCAAAAAATACCCTAAAACAAGGAAGTTTTTTAAAATATTCGAAAATGACAGCTAACCCTAGGGACATGGAAACCCTGAAAAGGTCATGGAAAAGTCATGGAATTTAAAGAGCTCAAAAGAGCGCGAACCCTTTGGAAAGATTCTGTTCTTGCGGGACCGACGCGGGAAATCCCGTGCGGGCAAGATGAGCCCACCTTGCCCGTTCGGGTAGCCAATTAAAACGCAGGATTCGCTTTATCTTACCCACTTGCGGATTCAGCCATTTACCCAACTCAAACTGGATATTAAGTATATGAGATCGAACGTGTGCAGAAAAGAAGAGCGGCGATTTTAGGCGGTGAAAACAATGCACTCGAAAAGTTTAGCGTCACGCGGGACGCGATACACTTAGCGCTAGTTATATCCAATAAACCGACTGCAGTCGCACAATACGTATGGACAATTATTATAGTGCGTTCAGTTATAATTTGGAAATCAACGGCTGAAATAGTCCATTTTTCCCACGTATTCTTCGAGCTGTAAGTGACGCGACCGCTCTTCAGTTTTATTCTTTGTAAAGATTTCTCACCCAATTTTAGCGCATCGTGGTCATTTTTAGATTTAAAAACCATGCACATATTAATTTTAAAATAATTCTTTCATTGAAATTTTTATTTATTGATTGATTAATTTATTCACCTGAAAGGTAATCCTTTTATATTGCTTATTGCCTTGGTTATCCCTATCATTTCATTTTTCGTAGCAATGTGGCGGAAAATTTGAGTCACCTCTCGTACTTAAGCCCTGTGCAAACGGACGCAACATTGTTGGCTGTTGCATGTTGCGTCCGTTTGCACACCCTCTTATATGTTGTTGGGAGTTGGTGCGCAGTAAAACGTTTGAGCCAACAACTTCCAACATTTCTTTTGTTCCATGATCGCCGAAGCGTAGCGCAACCATGTTGGATTCGTTTGCACAGCTCTTCCAAAATTTTTGGGGCCACGCACGTGCATTACATTTGGTCTCCAAAGTTTTATGGGTTGTATCCTTTCCACGATGCACTGCAAGTCCCAACGTTGTTGGGCGTTGTTGCATCCGTTTGCACACCACTGCTAACACGGCCGCAATAACTCCCAACATTGTTGGCCCAATAATGTCGGGAGTTGTTGCGTCCGTTTGCGTGTAGCTTTAATAATTATCTTGTTTTGTTCTTGTATCTATAGCTGCCTCCTGGATCTCAGTTAAGCCCAGACTGCCAGGATCTTCTTTTAGCTCTACTACAACGGGATCCTTTGGCCAGAATATCTTTTGATGACTTCTTTGCCCACCCTTTTCTTGATCTTGAGCATGTTCCATCACCTGTGTGCTTGGATAAAGCGGTGAGTAACCCAGCACTTAACGACATCAGCAGAAGGCACAACCTTGTCTCCAGGGGAGGTACGAGGTTGCAGAAGCCAGCGTAGTCCCCAGGTGTTCTCTCTTGCCCCGTTGTCAGGGTGAGAGATTTTTTTTCTTATTTCCTATGACAAGCACCCCCTGGAATGAAAATTCGAGGGGGGTGGGGGGTCTGAAGCAAGACTGCCCTCCGTGGGGGGGAGGGGAGCGGAGGGTGGATATTTTCTGGAACTAAACATTTTAATCTTGTCAACTGGAAAAGGTACCTGGAATGTGCTTGCATTGCCCGTAACGAAAACCTCGATGAACCATGACTCGTACTCCCCCTATTTTCTCCACCAACATTCCTATATAGACGTCTTCGTTTTTAAAAGGCTTTTTTACATCGAACATTTCCACCAACTTATAAACCACATCTGAAGATAACACATACGCCGGACCCGTGCAGAATGGGGGATATGTGGTCTTGTTGTACTCTTTCCAAGTCACTCCATTTTTTCCAGCGCGAAATACCCCAGAGCCAAAACGACAACTTCCAGTGTAGAGATTCGTTTTCGGTGTATCGGGTATTCTTAGGTGATCTATTAGAGCATAGGGATTGATAAAGACGTCGTCATCTGCCTTGAGGAGAAATTGAAAATCGGCGCAGTATTTTGCAGCCCATTCTAACCCCATTTGTGTCTTGAAAGTGAGATTCTTATAATGCTCGTTATAAGATCCTCGAATCAGATCCCCGTACATCATTCCTTCGGCTTCAAGTTTTATATTTAGAATATTGTCGCCCGCAGCTTGACCGAGAGGAAAGACGCTCCTCCATCGTATTTTGAGTGATGGATCAGTTGCCCAGGTTTTCCGAATAATTGTTCTTCTGTCAAAGTTAGCGGGCGCTGAAAACACCAAAATCAAAAGAAACACTTTTCCTTTGCAGCGTGTGCGAGATATCAAATATGTACGATGAGGAAGTTCTTCTGGAATTGTCGTTATAAAAGTGGATGTTTCGTTGTCGCTGGTATCTTCAGTCATGTTTTGTTGTCCCATGCTAATGCGAGTTATATGGAAAAAACCTTTTGAATGAGTGGTGAAAATGTAAGAAACGTAGATAGTAATCGACACTGTCAGTATGGTTCCTATCCTTAAGGCGAAGAAAAGGTGTGATTTTGTTACTGAACTGCTGGAAGATTTCATTTTGTTTAGATGCAAAGGATACCTCCTGAGTAATTTAATCGCACTTGCACTGTTGTACTTGTCCAGGTCAACCTCTTCCCCAGTGTCTTTTTGCCTGACAAGGTTGGTGTCCAGGCTGGACCGAAACAAGAATGCTAGGGGACTAGGCTGAGCCCTTCTTATGAATCTACACTTACGGTTCCCCTTTTTTAGTTAATTTGGACGTGAGTTAAATTTTGCGAATGGTTGGTGTTTGTGTTTGTAGGAACTAATTTTTGAAAATTAGTTGATACTGTTTTTTTCAACCGGGGAGTATCGTTTAAGTTTTGGTTGTTTTCCGCAGCATGCTGTGGCAATACTGAACAATTTTTAAGTTAATTTGGGTACGTTTGTAGACAAAGTACAAGGGAAATGACTCTCAAATGTAAAAGATACCGTGAATAGTAATTACGGGAGTGTCATTCTACTTTACATTTATTCCACTTTGTCTCCTAGACATTTTTCCCTACAATCAATACAGTAATTTGTCTGTTGACTAAAGTCTTGCGCCGGAATTTTTGGCGCTTATATTTTTTTGCGAGTCATTATAACAACAGCAAAAGTATGAAAAAAAAATTAAAAAACATCGAGATACAAAAAAGTAAAATGATAAGTGCAGAGATTTAATAGTGTCACATGGCAACGGTAGCCATTTTTTTCACATGATTACCACGGTCACAGACTCGTCCCCAGGCCAGTTCGCGCTATCCGAGTGAGCAGAGGAGGCTTGGAACCAAGCATGATAGGCGTCCTATCCTCGGCTCGTTCTCGATTCGTTCTCAGGACAAGCTTGAGGGGTGACGTCACATCTGTGATTGCCGACGGAACAAGGCCACTATGGTCGATAAAAAAGGGCAAGCTATCTAAACAATCAAAGCGATAGTGGCCGTTACTTGAAGCTGGCCTCAGCGTAGCGCTGACATCCATCTCATGGAGTGTTTCCTTAACAATTGCTTCGGTCACAGGATCTTTTTTTCTTCCTTTTTTTCCGTTCTGAGAATACATGTGAGACTGGGTTGATGTTGTGTCGAATTTCACCATAGGACTGTTTTGGGCGACGAATTTTAAGCCGGCCAGTTTCCAGCGCAACGTTTTTGAGCAAATGGTTATAGCTTCCACAGAACAGTCCCATAGCTAGAATGGTTGAAAAACTACTTTAAACCTTTATTTAACCTTTATTCCAGTAGCGATCTCAACGATCATAGCGATGGCAACAATCAAATGATAACCAGCCTTAAAGTAAAGTGAAGTCTCTCTCACAAAGATCGCTACGACCTTTGATGAGCTGTTTAATGGCTTCGATCGCGGACCATTTTTTATTCAAAAATTCCAGATTCAGTTTCACGGCTATCATATAAAATCAGGGTGTAATTTGAGGAAAGAAAACAACCGATAATTTGGTCAAAATAATCAGTGAAAGGTTCCGGCAATTCTACTTTTTTACAAAAAGATCAACTCTGCTACTTGAAAAGAGCAGAAAAATTAACTTTCTGCATTCATTTTTCATGGAACAAAATGCAAAATTGTTACCTTATTTGTTAATGCCAGTCGATTAGGTGAAAAGTTAAAAAAAGGTACCTTTTTTGAAAAAGAAGTCAGGTATTTTCAGGTTTCGAGTGAATGATATTTTGACGTCAATATTGTACGCTCTTCATCCATTTCTCACTTTACCAAACGATGTTTTAAAGCGCAAAAGAGGTACCTTTTTTCGGTTTCAAGCAATCTCATGAAAGGCACAAAAAGGTACCTTTTTGCACTTGGAAGCGATGTTGTCAAAAGCGCGAAAAAGGTACCTTTTTGGCAGTTGGAAGTGATGTTCTCAAAAGCGCGAAAAAGGTACCTTTAATAGTGTTTTCAAGCCATGGGAAGCCATTTAGAATCCTACTGATTGACAGATGTCATAGGTGTCATTTTTATGAATTTTTTGTCTGAATTTACTAATCCACTAGTCAAGAGATAAATATTCCCTGTTTATTCGCCAAGTTTGAAACCAATTGCTGAGCTTGACACTGTAACATGTACAGTGTCAGGTCGCAGTTTTAAAATCTATCCCCCTTGCTTGATTTTGGCATGGGTGTGAGTCATCTTGATCAGTCTTGGAGTGAAGCTGGAAGCATTGTCGTTGGTTCAGTGGTTATCAATGAATAACAGTGTTAGTTATATTAGTAACCTGAAGAGAAGCCGAGCCAGTCTCTTGTGCATTTAAAATGCTTTTTTGTTTCTTCGCTAAAATGCTTTACCTTAATGCTCCATTTTTTCGAATAACATGCTCACCCTAAAAAAATTCACTAAAATGCGCGATGATGCGATGATGATACGTATGTGTTAAAACAACAAGAATGTATGTTAATGGATTTAATACACCAAAAGACAATTGTCTAAACAGTGGCATTTGAATTTCTTTTATTTAGACTCTCGAGAGTTTATTTTCTATTTGAAAATTTCTAATTTTCATTTCTCTGAAAAAAAAACAAAAAAAAAAAACGGGAAATTCCACCAAAGTTCTCGAAAAAATGCTGGCTTACTGTACAAATGTCTAAGAAGAGGAAAGTTGTTCAGGCTTACTCTTAGTATTTAGTTAGGGGGTGTCAGAGGTATGGTGGCATTTTTACTGTTAATGGCTTTACTTCGGCCTGTAGCTCAAAAAGCACCTGAAGTTAAAGTATTTATATAATTTATATCATATGAAACAAAAACAACCCCAAGACTGAAGTCTCTAATTGAATAATCTTTCTGGAGTGAAAAACATCACCCAGGAAACAAGACATGCAGTTATATTAAAATGACCCGCTCGGAACCCGCTTAGTTTAGACTTAAAGGAAAATGAACACCTTTGCTTTACATGTAGGACTTCTTTCAGGTTAAAGTATTTGCTCCACGCTTAAAGTTGCGCTTGCTGAGCTTCTCTTCTTGCATCTAGTTCAGGGTTGTCACTAAGATTTCAAGTTGCCGGGTATTGGTTGTTAGTAGCCGGGGAAGTCGCAAGCAGTCATGGAGCCCCTTCCCACCCCCTCCCCCAAGAAGGTTTTGAAGTGCAGCTTTTACCGTTTTCGAAAAGGCATTACCGGCCCAAAAAAGCAATCTTCATCAAGAGTACAGCTATCATTAGCGGTTTTATGATGATCACGTCTTTATTAAAGAAAATTACAGCATTCTGAGACACTAAAATAATAGTTAAATTACTTTACGTAAAGGCTCGTTGGAGGGTTTTTTTAGTGGCCGCCAAATGGGAATATACATGTAAGCACCAGGCCTAAAAAAAAAGGACAGGTTGGCACCGGTTACGTTATCTGCGCAGTGTTATCTTCACGCAGACAAGGCGCATGCTGGCCAGGCAGTGAAGTGTTAAATCACAACGATACTTTACAAATGCTAAAAAAGTTGAAAGGACAATCGATTCTTATACGGTGCAAATGAATTAACATGCGCTGTAAAATCAATTGTAAATCCTCATTATTTTAGTTATACGTAAGAACGAAACAACTTACGGAAAACAAAAGTGAAACTAATATTGCAAATGAATTAACCCACGCAGAAGCGGAAAGAAGAAAAGCGGACGATGAATGTACGAAAAAGCATCATAAACATAAGGTTACTACGGCTTGTTGAAAAATAAAAGTATGATAAGGCTAAAACAAGCGTAACGCGCGAAAAATCGCGGGATAAAATATGGCAAAACTAAACTGCACAACTGGTGACATTAGTGGTCTCGAATTTATGAACGAAACATCACTTAACATACGAAGAAACTGACCTACGGAAAAGCGTTTAAACGACAGGGCTAATACTTTATAAACGACGCTGAGATGTCAAAACGAGACTCAAGGAGAAGAATGTAAAAGTAATGCTAATACTTAACTTCCCTTTTATATATAACTTCTTGGAAGTAGAACTAAGAGCGAGTGATCATGGCCTGTGGACAATGATCGAATATTTCCCGTTGACCGTGCGTTATTTTATATACTCGATACCTAAAGCTAAATGTAGACCTGGTCACTTAAATGTCCACATATTAAACATAGCAATCGGTCATAGTCTTCATCTTCAAAGCCTTCATCATAATCCTAATTATCATCAACATCAGCATCAGGGAGATTTAACCCTCGGATGATGCCTCAACTTGTGATGTCAACAGAGATCTGCTCAGGTCTTTCATCGTGAACAAAGAGTGCAGAATCCTTTGCCACTTCTTCGACATGTTCAACACAAACCCTACACAACGGTTGAAACTAGGGACTTTTAGAATCGACAAAGGTGACGGCAGCGAAAACGTCACTTTTAAAAATGAATTGGCGTTTTTTCCAACTTTGTCGCGTTTATTTCAATTCGCTGAAAATAGCTAATGTAGGCCAATTTCCCTGGAGTTGATTTCTTTGGGCGCACTCAAGTTTAGAAATAGAAAGAAAAGTTTGTCGTCGCTTGTTTTACGTCCTCCATAAAACGTGAAACTAGGCATTTTCACGTCGTAGTCGTGCAGTAAAGTCGGCAAAGAAATGTACAAAAAAGCGTGATGCACGTGCAAACTAGTTGTTTTGCTCAATAAACCTATTGCTTTTTTGACGTTCTCGTTGCTGTCGCCGTCGTCGTTGCTAAAACTCCCTATTGACATTTCGCGAACGGAGAGTTTTCGCGCGTGTGTACTAGTACCAAATCTAAGTCAGATGTCTTTTTCCGACGTTTCTTAGTTTTTGCACGCGAGTATTTCAGAATTACTCAAACCTGCTGCAGATGAAACTCGCATTTAGTTTGATGGATAGTCTTTGTGTGTTTCAAAGGTGTGCTGTTTTGGTTTAATTTAACGACGAAAGTAGCCGGGGGCCATGCTCTGAGTAGCCGGGGGAAATCCCCGGCCCCCGGCCCTTAGTGACAACCCTGATCTAGTATCCATTTGGCTGGTGGCTAGTATTTTCGGATTTCTTCTAGTTTCTCGCTTTTGAAGCGAACTAAAATTTCTTGCTCCGCTGATTCCCCTTGTAGATCATTTCAATTTTAACAGGATCACCTAGAATCCCCTAAAAATAAGTCTGTGCATTGTTCATTGAAGCTCAAGAGGTGCCAACGGATGACATATGTCAATCAGTAGGATTTTTAATGGCTTCCCAAAAGCTTGAAAACACTATTTTATATTTTCAAAAAGGTACCTTTTTCGCACTTTTTAACAACATCACTTCCAACTGCAAAAAAGGTACCTTTTTGTGCCTTTGATGAGATCGCTTGAAGGCGACAAAAAGGTACCTTTTTCGCGCTTTTGAGAGCATCGCTTTCAACTGCAAAAAAGGTACCTTTTTGTGCCTTTGATGAGATCGCTTGAAGGCGACAAAAAGGTACCTTTTTCGCGCTTTAAATCATCGTTTGGTAAAGTGAGAAATGGATGAAAAGTTGACAATATTGACGTCAAAATATTTTCACTCGAAAGCTTAAAATACCCGCCTTTTATTTCTAAAAAGGTACCTTTTTTTAACTTTTCACCTAATCGACTAGCATTAACAAAAAGGGTAACAATTTTGCATTTTGTTCTATGAAAAATGAATGCAGAAAGTTAATTTTTGTGCTCTTTTCAAGTAGCAGAGTTGATCTTTTTGTAAAAAAGTAGAATTGCCGGAACCTTTCACGGATTCAAAATGCAGGGTTCTTACGCACTTTAAAAATCCTTGAAAGTCCTTGAATTTTGAAATAAAAATTCAAGGCCTTGAAAGTCCATGAAAATTGCCATGCTACCTTAGTAGATTAATGAGAACTGCAAAGAAAAAGGAGCAAACAGAAAGACCTTCGGGATAAAATTCTCCTGATGTGGAAGAACTAAAAAAAGACATAGACTCAAGGCTCTTTTTTGCACTGAATGTAGTCCTAGAAAAATGCGAAATGTGTCCTTGAAAGTCCTTTAAATGTCCTTGAATGTTTTGTTAAAAGAGGGTACGAACCCTGGAATTAACAGTTTCAGTTTCTTTGGTTTCATCTTTCCTCCATTGCTTCCTCTGTTTCAATAGAATAAAGCTATATCCAGGCCCAAATCGACTGAAAATATGTCCGTTTTTTGTTGCTTGGACTCGTTCAACTTTGCGTCTAATTTATGCCACGAATTTGAAGAAAGGATCGCAATTTATTTTCGTCCCGCCCGAAAAAACACACTATCCGAACTTCAAACGGTTCGAAAAGTTTTATTACTGCGACTTTTAGTACTTGGCAGCACCGATTGACACGATTTACATTATATTTCTGTTCATAAGTGTGCTTGCTGTCTTTTATACACTTAATTCATTCCTGGTAAACATTTATCCCATTCAGCTGTCAAGGCTATAGCAACTAAGCAAGGCTTATATGGAATTCATGACAGTTATGGTTTCATTTCAGTAATCGGAGAAACAAATGTAAAGTCGTTCATTATGATTTTTGTCCGGTGTTTACCAGAACGTTTTTAATCACACACTCTTTATTTTCTGTTGTTTGCGCGTTGTGCACTTGCTAAAAAAAACCTGAAAAAAGAGATTAAAATTAATAATGCTGTATAGTGTCTTGTTTTGCACGCTAAACAAGGTACTCGTATGTTTATTGAACTCGTCATTAATAAGTATCAATTCAATTTTGTGTTAACGATAGTTTTTAATATTAATTAAAGCTGCTGAATTTTAGCCAAGCTTTTTTCGCAACTGTTCTTTATCTCTTTAATCGATTATATGCTTTTACAAATTGTCACGACTGATCCCCGCACAGTTTTTCAAAGAATTAGTTAGGACAATTTAATAAAAAATTGTAACTATTTTCCCTTTGGTGATCATTATATTAATTCTGGTAACCTTCCAGCTGTGTTTCCTGCGCGTAGCTCGGGCGGATGTCGGAAAGTAGAGCTTATGAATACAGTCGCCTGATTTACACACACTACTGAATTGATTATTTTTTCTTTCCCTTGACGTTAGACGAATAATTATACCTCAGTAGAAACGGTGGAATATTTTGCCTTATCGGCCAAGAGATGATGATGACGAGTTTGATCCCTTGGTGTTTCCAGTTGCGCTCCAAGCTTCTCTTCTCAACAAACCATCACTGTTTTACTATATCTCAGTGCAAGTCATTGTTCTCTAATTTGACAACCACCCAAAGAGGTTATAAATGAAGGTTGCCTATTCTTCATTTATACCCACCCCAAACAGCCAAGCCTTCGTGAAGCAAATGGAAAGAAACTCTACTTAAGAAATTTGATTCTGTTCATTCACTTGGCTAGTGTTATTAACATTGTAGGATAGCATTCTTGCACTCTGTAGTTGTGCTAGTTCGTATTCTTTTCTTTCTGTCATTGCTTCTTGAAACAGTTCTTCGACGCACCCTATTGTTGGCGCTCTGTGAAGGGAAAAGGTACCTGGAATGTGCTTGCATTGCCCGTAACGAAACCCTCGATGAACCATGACTCGTACTCCCCCTATTTTCTCCACCAACATTCCTATATAGACGTCTTCGTTTTTAAAAGGCTTTTTTACATCGAACATTTCCACCAACTTATAAACCACATCTGAAGATAACACATACGCCGGTCCACTGCAGAATGGGGGATATGTGGTCTTGTTGTACTCTTTCCAAGTCACTCCATTTTTTCCAGCGCGAAATACCCCAGAGCCAAAACGACAACTTCCAGTGTAGAGATTCGTTTTCGGTGTATCGGGTATTCTTAGGTGATCTATCAGAGCATAGGGATTGATAAAGACGTCGTCATCTGCCTTGAGGAGAAATTGAAAATCGGCGCAGTATTTTGCAGCCCATTCTAACCCCATTTGTGTCTTGAAAGTGAGATTCTGATAATGCTCGTTATAAGATCCTCGAATCAGATCCCCGTACATCTTTCCTTCGGCTTCAAGTTTTATATTTAGAATATTGTCGCCCGCAGCTTGACCGAGAGGAAAGACGCTCCTCCACCGTATTTTGAGTGATGGATCAGTTGCCCAGGTTTTCCGAATAATTGTTCTTTTGTCAAAGTTAGCGGGCGCTGAAAACACCAAAATCAAAAGAAACACTTTTCCTTTGCAGCGTGTGCGAGATATCAAATATGTACGATGAGGAAGTTCTTCTGGAATTGTCGTTATAAAAGTGGATGTTTCGTTGTCGCTGGTATCTTCAGTCATGTTTTGTTGTCCCATGCTAATGCGAGTTATATGGAAAAAACCTTTTGAATGAGTGGTGAAAATGTAAGAAACGTAGATAGTAATCGACACTGTCACTATGGTTCCTATCCTTAAGGCGAAGAAAAGGTGTGATTTTGTTACTGAACTGCTGGAAGATTTCATTCTGTTTAGATGCAAAGGATACCTCCTGAGTAATTTAATCGCACTTGCACTGTTGTACTTGTATTTAGATTAGCTCGCGCGGTGTGCTGTAAACAGTTTAAGGTGGCTGAATACAGTTTTGCGGGCGGTCAGCGGTGACTCGCGTGACTGCGCGTGTTTTAAAACAAACATGGCGGCGAAAAAAGCAATGGTACACAGACGACGATTTCTCAAAATGTACTCATCAAAATTTTGTGATATTTGGCAGAATTGTTACTTTTATCGTATTTTGAATAATGGGAACTTTAAAATGGAAGTTGAACAGACGAATTTGGTGACGCATTTAATAATTACTGTACAATTATAGCACTGATTATCTAAAAACCTGTCTGTTAAAAATTGGTCAAATAAGTTTTAAATGGTAATGATTAATTATAGGAAGCTGTGTGCACGTTTATAGGAAAATCTAATGAGCGAATTTTATGTAAATTGAGCAAAAGTGAAAAATTAAGGTTGTATTCAATTGTTCATGTTGCCATGGAAACTATGAAAACGTCATATTTTACCTGTCAATCAGAATCTTTCATCAGTATATTTTTCACTTGCCAAGTTTCAGCTTGTGAGCTGCAACCTTTCTCTTGCCATGATTTGGCAAATGACATATACTCACAAACTGCCAAAACTGTGTTCAGCCAACTTAAAACACGTCGCCAGAATATCAACGCTCACGACGTAACCTACAATTGTCAGTTAGCAAAAACAAAACAACAGGAGGATTAATGGATCTTGATTTATGCGACTGTATCCTTGCAATTCAATTTGTGGTAACGACACAGAGTGTGTTTTTATGCAGGAAAAAAAAATCAATGACCGTTTTTGTTTTACGTTCTGTCGAGTTTAATTGATGCTATTGGATCATACATTTTGCTCAGATGTCAACATAACCTTAGAGGGTTGTCATGGTACAATAGAAACGAGCAAACTATATACGCTATAATAAGTCTGGGCGCCACCTCGAATTTTTAATTTATGAAGTCATTCGCGGAAAGACTTCAGCCGCCATCTTTGAGTTTTGACTCGCGTGACAGTACTATGTCAGGACGAGAGGCAAAGTCGGGCCATTATGAATCGCTTTATTCCATTCTTTTCCTGTAATATATAGATTTAGGCGGGGCTAAAAGCGAAGCTCTCGATAATATTTATAGTTTGTTCAAACAAAATATAAATTCGTGTAATGCTAAGCGGCGAAGGCAACGCCGGAGAACGGTGAAAAAACAACAGTAGGTCTAATTAGCAAAAAAGCAACTTTGCACGTGCAGCACACTTTTTTTGTACATTTCTTTGCTGTTGTTTTGCACATAGTTATTAGAAGAGACTGGTTATGAAAAGCGGCAAACATCAATGATAAGAACAACAATGCTGCAGTTTATGTTGGAAGTACCGTGAAAGTGCACAATCCTTTGTTTTGTGTTGGCAAATTGTTATGGAATAAATTAATGCAACGTTTTTATTGGTCAATACAATCAAAATGATAGGAATTCTTTTGAACGTTGTGCACTTTCAGGTCCACAAAAACATATAACAAAGGAGTCTGACGGGTTTCATAACCATTCCACTCAATTAACTATGTTTTGCGCGACTTCGACTCTCTGTCTTTCTCTTGCTCTATATTCCAAATTTGTGGACATGACAATTAATCTAAGCGTAATACTTAAAAAAACATGGATACAGAAACATTTTCCGCTTTCCGGTTTCTTCTCTATTGACTCTTTAGCTGCCTCTGCTTTACAAGAAGCGGCTGGCTATGCGATTTCCCGCCCAAATAACCTCGAGTTGCATTTGGGTTGCCATACCTGTTGATTGAGTTATTTTACATTGGTATGCCTGTGGTGCGGACGGACAGTCGAGCGTACGGTCACGTGATTACCAAATTTTCTCGGATGGGTAGATTACCACATTTTCTTACCCATGGTGCTCCGTTATAAACATTAACAAATACCAACGAATCCTTTTCCTAGGCTAAAGTAATCGTAGTTGTGAGGTTCGTCTTTGTAAGTCATACGGGCATATATTCGATAACAAACGCAACACTAAGAAATGTGACGTAAGATACCAAGCGATCAGTATGTAAAGCTAGCTAAGAACGTCCTTGCGATTATTAGACACCGTATTAACATGAATGAAAATATTTTGTCTCATTTTATGGCAGAAAAATTAATTGACTTTCGCACAACAATATAATGTAACAACTCTCCTGGGGGTGTAATCAAGTTGAAAAATTACGGAAATCCCAGGGGATGGGGGGTATGAAAAGCACCCCCTGGAATGAAAATTCCAGGGGGGGTGGGGGCCCTGAAGCAAGACTGACCTCCGTGTGGGGGGCGACGGAGGTAGATATTTTTTCGAACTACACATTTTAATCTTGTCAACTGGAGAAAGCACTTCTATGCCCTCTATGTTCGGTTTCCGCGACTCATTTCCACCTTGTTTAACCTGGTTTAAAGAAACATGTTTTCAGTTGCTGGTGTGAATAGGGCTTAAGTCTCTCTTGGTGACATCGCGGCTCACAGAGGGGTCCAGGTCAACCTCTTCCCCAGTGTCTTTTTGCCTGACGAGATTGATGTCCAGGCTGGACCGAAACAAGAATGCTAGGGGACTAGGCTGAGCCCTTCTTATGGACCTACACTTACGGTTCCCCTTTTTTAGTTAATTTGGACGTGAGTTAAATTTTGTGAATGGTAGGTGTTTGTGTTTGTAGGAACTAATTTTTGAAAATTAGTTGATACTGTTTTTTTCAACCGGGAATTATCGTTGAAGTTTTGGTTGTTTTCCGCAGCATGTTGTGGCAATACTGAACAATTTTAAGTTAATTTGGGTGCTTTCCGTCTTTTATACACTTAATTCAATCCTGGTAAACATTTATCCCATTCACCTGTCAAGGCCATAGCAACTAAGCAAGGCTTATATGGAATTTTGACAGTTATGATTTCATTTCAGTAATCGGAGAAACAAATGTAAAGTCGTTCATTATGATTTTTGTCCAGTGTTTACCAGAACGTTTTTAATCACACACTCTTTATTTTCTGTTGTTTGCGCGTTGTGCACTTGCTAAAAAAAACCTGAAAAAAGAGATTAAAATTAATAATGCTGTATAGTGTCTTGTTTTGCACACTAAACAAGGTACTCGTATGTTTATTGAATCCGTCATTAATAAGCATCAATTCAATTTTGTGTTAACGATAGTTTTTAGTATTAATTAAAGCTGCTGAATTTTTGCCAAGCTTTTTTCGCAACTGTTCTTTATCTCTTTAATCCATAATATGGTTTTACAAATTCTCACGACTGATCCGCGCACAGTTTTTCAAAGAATTAGTTGGGAGAATTTAATAAAAAATTGGAACTATTTTCCCTTTGGTGATCATTATATTAATTCTGGTAACCTTCCATCTGTGTTACCCGCGCGTAGCTCGTGCGGATGTCGGAAGGTAGAGCTTAATTAAGAATACAGTCGCCTGATTTACACACACTACTGAACCGTGATTATTTTTTCTTTCCCTTGACGTTAGACGAATAATTATACCTCAATAGAAACGGTGGAATATTTTGCCCTATCGGCCAAGAGATGATGATGACGACTTTGATCCCTTAGTGTTTCCAGTTGCGCTCCAAGCTTCTCTTCTCAACAAACCATCACTGTTTTACTATATCTCAGTGCAAGTCATTGTTCTCTAATTTGACAACCACCCAAAGAGGTTATAAATGAAGGTTGTCTATCCTTCATTTATAACCACCCTAAACAGCCAAGCCTTCGTGAAGCAAATGGAAAGAAACTCTACTTAAGAAATTTGATTATGTTCATTCACTTGGCTAGTGTTAGTAACATTATAGGATAGCATTCTCGCACTCCCTAGTTGTGCTAGTTCGTATTCCTTTCTCTCTGACATTGCTTCTTGAAACAGTTACTCGACGCTTGCCCTGAAACGCAGCTGCGTACCACGTTCTACACAGCTGGGAATCCACTTCGCGCTTATTGGGTCTGTCCTCGAGTACTGCTGTCCCGTGTGGCACTCTACTTTTTCTCTACAGCTACCAAACAAAACTGAGAGGGTGTAAAATCGTGCGCTGTGTTATATACCAGACGTTGCACTATCGCAAGACCCTTGAAATCCCTGGATCCACTACAAGCACTTAATAAGTGAGTTTACTAACTGACCTAAAGTTATTCTATTAATGGGTCATCAGTTTGATGTTCAAAACAACAGTGTTTGGAAGCATGCTTCCCTTAGCTCAGACGTTAAAAAGTTAGGCGAGGACATGGCAAACCACACACGAAATGATTGCCGCATCCTAAAAAAAGGTCGCCTTGCGTCGATGAGTCAAGGACGTGCTAAAGCTCATGTGCCCGCTTTAATAATACAGTGTTTCCCGTGATGGATTTCGCTTATAGAAAAAAAGATGCGTCAATACGTCTGGGACTTCTAAAGTTCTTGAGTCTACTTAATACAGGGTGTCTGCTTAATAGCGCTTTAGCTTTCTGTTTGAAAGTTAAGTCCACTTAACTGCTCCACAACGCAAAACAGGCTAATAAAGTATTCAAAACTTGAATCCGAATGGCAGAAAGTGGTGTACCTTATCAGCTTAACAAGCCCGCGTCTTGAACACTGTAAATTAATTTATATAATTGTAATGGGGAAATGTTAAGGCTGGTGAATACATGAAAAAGATGTTTGTTTTAGTCAGTAACACAGGCGGCTTGGAAGAAAAAATCAGAGTACTCCCGACAAGAGTCGAACCTCTGACCTGATTACTAGTCCAGATGCTCTGCCACTGAGCTACAGGAGACTCTTGGGAGCTAAGGCCGCTAAACCAGGTTCATGTGACAAACATCCTGCATACTGTTACGACTTGAATATCGATATGTGCTTATGTGCACTGGTAGAAATGTGATGGTCATTTTAAGCCTCAGATCTTTGTTTTAGTCAGTGACTTAGGCGGGTACAAGGGAAAAGCCCGCCTAGTCTCAACAGGGGTCGAACCTGTGACATTTTGCTTACTAGTCCAGATGCTGTACCACTGAGCCACAGGAGACTCGTGGGAGGTAAGGCCTCTAAACCAGGTTCACGTGGGAAAAAATCCTACATACTGCTACCACTGGAATGTGCTTATGCGTAACGACAGAAATGTGATGGTGAATTTTAAGCCAAGGAGAATACTAGACAAAGATGTTTGTTTCAGTCGGTGACTCAGGTGGCTACAAGGAAAAACCCCAGTTGTCTCAACAGGAGTTGGACCTTTGACATTTTGCTTACTAGTCCAGATGCTCTACCACTGAGCTACAGGAGACTCGTGGGAACTAAGGCCTCTAAACCAGTTTCACGTGACAAAGATCCTACATACTGCTACGACTTGAATGTCGAAATGTGCTTATGCGTTGTGTGATGGGAATTTTAAGCTTGGTTAATACATGACAAAGGTGTTTGTTTTAGTCAGTGACTCAGGCGGCTGCAAGGGAAAAATCCGAGTTCTCTCATTCGGAGTCTAACCTTTGACCTTCTGGTTAATTGTCCACAATCGGCAGATGCTCTACCACTGAGCTACAAGAGTCTAAACTAGGTTCACGTAACAAACATCCAGCATACGGAGGAATGTTTTGCCTCATCGGTCCAAACGTAGACCATATTATTGAGGGCAGCCCCTTTTTGAGGGTCTGAACCCTTTCTCTGGTTTTAATTTCACTATAATGTCATTGGACTCAAGTAATTTTATTCTCTATAAAAGTTTAATTGAAACTCAGTTATAGCCCGAGTAACATCTTTTAGTTACACTAGCCAACACCGTTACTTTCACATTGAAACGTTTTTTTGTATCCCCTTTTTTGGCGAAATGCGGCTGAATTGTAGCTATAGAGCGATAGATTTATGTGTTTTTTACAATGTTCCCGAAAATCCATGAGTTCCAGGCTGTGTTTGTGAATATGGCTTTAACCTGAGCAAACCCTATGACACTGACCATGAAGCGTCCTTCTCACAAACTATTACCTCACAGACTATTGTAGCAAAGACATTTACACTCGGCTAGTGTTAGTACCATTGTAGGACAGTATTCTCGCACTCCGTAGTTGTGCTAGTTCGTATTCTTTTCTTTCTGACATTGCTTCTTGAAACAGTTCCTCGACGCACTCTATTGTTGGTGCTCTATGAAGGGAAAAGGTACCTGGAATGTGCTTGCATTGCCCGTAACGAAACCCTCGATGACCCATGACTCGTACTCCCCCTATTTTCTCCACCAACATTCCTATATAGACGTCTTCGTTTTTAAAAGGCTTTTTTACATCGAACATTTCCACCAACTGATAAACCACATCTGAAGATAACACATACGCCGGTCCAGTGCAAAATGGAGGATATCTGGTCTTGTTGTACTCTTCCCAAGTGACTCCATTCTTTCCACCGCGAGCTACCCCAGAGCTAAAACGACAACGTCCAGTGTAGAGGTTCGTTTTCGGTGTATCGGGTATTCTTAGGTGATCTATTAGAGCATAGGGATTGATAAAGACGTCGTCATCTGCCTTGAGGAGAAATTGAAAATCGGCGCAGTATTTTGCAGCCCATTCTAACCCCATTTGTGTCTTGAAAGTGAGATTCTTATAATGCTCGTTATAAGATCCTCGAATCAGATCCCCGTACATCATTCCTTCGGCTTCAAGTTTTGTATTTAAAATATAGTTGCCCGCAACATGGCCAAGTAGAAAGACGCTCCTCCATCGTACTTTGACTGATGGATCAGTTGCCCAGGTTTTCCGAATAATTGTTCTTCTGTTAAAGTTAGCGGGCGCAGTAAACACCAGGATCAAAAGAACCACTTTTTCTTTACACCGTGTGCGAGATATCAAATATGTCCGATGATTAGGTTCTTCTTGAATGGTGGTTATTAAAGTGGAAGTTTCACTGTAGTTGTTGTGCAAGCTTACATTCGACTGTGCCATGCTAATGTGAGTGACGTAGAACAGACCCTTTGTTTGAGTGAAGAACACATAAGAAATGTACCCTGTGATCGACACAGTCAATATAGAGCCTATCCGAAGGACAAGCAAAAGGTTTGCTTTTCGCGGCAGACAGTTAGGAGATCTCATTTTCATAATATATACTTCACCAGTTGTCTGAAGATTTGGCAGTTCTTTAAGAGAGTCGTTCTCACACGGTCTGTGAAGAATTTAACCGACGTCGTTCTAATGCCGCCTCTGTGAACAAATGATAACAGGAGTCATTTCATATAAACGAAAACATTAAATGGCAACATAAATTAATTTTTGGGACGAGAAGTAATCTAGTGCGTCAATTTGGATTTAAGAAATTAAAAATATGTCGAAAATGAACATTCCCCTCCCTCCATTTTTGATCAATTCACGTGCAAGGTGTTGTACCTGCCTCGTCCCCAGTCGCTCGCGATCACTGGAGGAAATTTGAGTTAATTATTAGGGAAAGCGGGGACGAAGGGAGTGATGGGAAGGGGAGAAAAAGCGAAGCGACTTTCCCCTCTCTCGCCTTTTTCTTTCCATTACTTGCCGCCTCGATCGCGCTCTACGCTTGTTCCCATCATCCCTCTCCCGCGCTTGTCTCGCGCGACTTAGACTTGGGAAAGCCTGTGGAGGAGGCAGGGTGTTGTACCGTTTTTATTTATTTTGATGAAAATGACAGCGATGGTTCATCAGGTCTTTAACTTCTCTGTCAAACTTACTCCATTGGCACTTATTCGCCATCACCTGCTGTTTACTTAGAACTGGAAAAATTGCAATTTTTTGCATTGCTTCGGAAGATGGAAGGTCCCTTTATTTTAATTACGAGGATCAAAGGCAAACTCAGTCAAGAGGTTATCTCAATAATGGAAATAAACCAATTATCTTCAACTGTTTATGGGTTCGAGGTTTCTGTGACGGAGTTTGAGCAGCGACGTTTTTGAGCGACCGGAAGTGAGCCTTTTTCTCTTTTAATATGCCTTGACGCTGCCAAATTTATAGTGCTTAAGTGTTTTTACTCTTATCGAGACGATTTGCCCAAAAAATTGCTCAAAATCACGGCTGAGGAGTGCAAAAAATCCACTTCCGGTTGACTTTCGTCGCTCAAAAACGTCGTTGCTTAAAGGGACAGTGTCCCGATTATGCGCACGCGCGAGCGTCATCTGTTCTTTCTTCAAAAGACAATAGAACTGTCATATTGACTCGACAAGATTTCCTTCCGGACCGCACCGCCGACAGAGATTTGTTGTTTATATTCTCAAGTGATATTTTAGACTTTCAAAGAAGTCTTTCGTCTTATATAAAAATTTGGCTCGCGGTTCGAAGACTTATCGCGATTTTATCGCTAGCTGGGCCGCCTCGCGACCCGAAAATCTCGTTCCGCTCTCTTTAAAAACATATTTTCTAATTCGAAACTCGTGTCAGAGGTCAGTTGTTCCAAGTCTAGTAATATCTGCCTGATTTGCTCGCGTTCTAGCCTCAAACGTTTGAAAGACATAAATAAAAATGCAATCTCAACGCTATGAATCATCAGAAAGGTTAGTCAAAAATTATATTATGATTTCATGGCACTAGTTTTTCTAAACATGCAGCGCCTGTTTGTTTGATTTTGTCGGCCGTTAGGGAGATTCATTTAACAAAGTTTACCAAAGCGTCGTTGCAAAACATTCTGCTTCACGAAGCTCCCCTCCACAAGATCTCCTCAGTCACATCAATGTCTCAATGGTTTCTTTCTTACAGGCTTTATTGTTGTCGTTTCATTTCTGCGTATTCCTTTCACAATTATCTGAGCTTGTATGGAAGCTAGCAGAAGAAATAAGCCTTCAATCGGCATCAAAGTGCTTTCAATCGTGTGGTCCTCCGGCCAACGGCAATAAAAGTAACGCCAAAAAATCCAGATTTTGCCCAAATCGAAACTTAACAGGAACAGTATATCATTGATCTGTAATCCTGAGAAGTTTTAGTGTCGTATTGAACCCGGTCAAACGCGATGCAAACGGATTTTTCAAGGTTCTCTTACTCTCCTCGCATCTTTTGATTTCGCGACATCCTGTCCAAAAATCAAAGTTTGGTGCATGCGCAGTAACGGGATACTGTTCCTTTAAACTACCTAATAGACAAAGAGGCAGGTTGCACCGAATCAGGGTTCGCACGGTCTTGAAAAGTCCTTGAGTTTTACAGGAAACCCTTAATTAAAAAGTCCTTGAAATCCATTTTTCCTTGAAAAGTCCTTAAATTTTCTTCAACTTTGAATGCAGTGGCCTGGAAAGTGTGTTTTATGCTTTTTGTTTGTCCAAGACAGAATATAAATCATAGCTCAGAGAAGTTAAAAGTGATTTACATGAAGTGTTTTTTAAGGCAAGAATTAACTATCGATTTAAGACAAATGAAACGAAAAATGTAGAGAAGTTGGTAGAGTAAACAGGTCAAGCCTAAAGTCCTCTTAGAATGGACTGGGGATGTGCATTTTTGTACAATCTGTGAAATTACAGTTATGGTAGATGTCGTTGAAAATCTAATATGGTCCTTGAAAAGGCCTTTAAGAAATGGTTGCAATAGTTTGTATGAACCCTGGAGTGATTTTTTGACTCCTAGAAAACGAGAACGAGTAGTCTAACTATTCCAGTTCTAAGAAATCATTGAGATTACTTCAGAAAGAGTCACAACGTGATGTTATCTATGATCTTTATCATGCTTTATCTCCTAACCTTGATGTTAATAGTGATTTTAACAACCCTTACCAACAGATCATTGACACACCCAACGCGCACAACAACTCTTACCTTCTTCCCCCAGGGAGAAAACGCTTCTTATTAGCGCAACTTCTTAATGTATTATCTTTTAATTTTTATTCCATTGTATTTTTATCGCACTCTATCCTAGAATTCTTTCATTTTCATATCAACTGATCAGGCGTTCCAAAGCTCGTATTTCTTAGAACACTTTTCGCCAGATAACGCTTCTTGATGTTTTAATAGCTATCGAAATATTATCAATAATAGAAGCAATATTATGAAACCTTTGCTTGTGTTCTAATGCGGTTCTAATGTCGCTTCCCTTGGTAGAGTAAACTTGAAAGGCGAAGCTTGCAGAAATAGGAAAAAATAAAAGCGCTGGCAAAATTCGCTCAACATTGCAACTTATCTAAGGCGCAATGTAGAAGTACTTGATTAAAGGATATTCACAGTCAAGTTCGCCGAGATGTGGTGGAAAGATGGACGTATTCAGTGAATAAAATGTTTTGCAAATTAATTTTAAATTGTAATTTTGAATTTTAATATCCGAACGAGACAGTTAAGTAATTATTGATTAAAAGATTAAGCAAACAAAGCTTGCTTATAATCAGATGAATTTTTTTTTAATGGAAAAAATGAAAAACATAGAACTTCAAATTATTTTTTACGTGAGTATTCTAAAATTCAGATATCGAGAGCTTTTTGGTCTTTGTTTTTGTTTATATCCGAATTGATGATTTCTTCAGATACCATCATAACCTTTGAATGTTGTCATGGTACCAAATAATACGCATGTTGAAAAACCTGGTACTCTACAAATTCTAATCGATCTTTACAATTACGGGCAGACCTCTTTCCACTGTTTTTACAGAAGACAGTCTGGTTTTTCAATCAGAAGGAAATGATCCTTAGGGAAAGGAGTTTGATGCCGTGAGAAACAGGTGCCAAAGAGCACCTTTTTCCCTGGATACGCACCGGGTTCCAAACAATTACAACCGTCCAATTCCACTCTTATGTCCCGTTTATTTGGAGAAGAGTTGTCCGGAGCAGAAAGGTATATATGAAGTTCATAGATTTGAACTGCAGAAACAAGATTTTGCCAACGGTCTTGGCACTTATATACTCTATTTAAGAAGTTATGAAGCCTAAAAAAATCCAGGTTGTAAAACATAGTAGGACAAACTGAAAGATGACAACATCAACATAATTGTTCAATACGATAAGATTGATTCTATTTTGGCTTCCACTGATCAACCATACTCTTAGAAATAGCTGAACTTCTAAGGCTTATAAGAGATTGTAAAAGCGCTGCTTAATTCGGTCATCTACAAGTTTTCTCGTATGAAGACCAATCCGATATGTGAGCTTCTGCTGTGATCGGCTCCGTTCCCCCGAAATCGCACCGAAATAACCCGTTCTTACATGTATGTATGAACAGAAACCCTATCCGGTATTAGACTGGTGCCGGCGTAAAAGTTATCTGGTATAAAGTGAACATAGCCTCAGTAAAGCGACTCTTAGCAGCTTTAAGTCTTGCTTTTGAGGATCTTTACTCGCTGCTTGGCATACGAAGAAGAAGGGATTTACGCATGCATTGCAGTAAAATCACTTGGGCGATTGAACTACTGTAACAATATGATGGTAAAATAACACACTATATGGTAGTATATTCAAAGTACAATTAAATTAATGTCACCCTTTTAGAGGTGAAGATTTAACTATACTGAACAATTCGTCTATTTTCTAGGTGGCTTATTGCGGGTCGAGTGTTCTTTAATTATCGGTAGATCCTCCGAGAGAGGCCGGCCGTTTGTACGGATGTCGCCAAGAGCCTCTTGCATTTACGAGAGAAACTTGTTTGTATGTACTTAAAAATTTATTTGTATTTTACTGTTGATCTTATTTATAAGTTCGACCTTTACTGGTCTTTAAAGAGCCTGACTAGAACCTACCGGGACTTAAAATGATTCGAATGTTAGAACGTGAACTTAGCCGTAGTAAAAAGTTATTTTGTTTTTATTGTTTAGCCATAAGATTATGAAAGAATCAATGGTGAACTGCTTATAGAATAGATAAAAGTTTATGTGCAGTTAAATCATCAGCCTTTGCGGTCAAAACCTGCATTTGTTCAGGTTCTTTTTCGACCGCTCAGGTGCGAAAATCACATATTATTTTAACTATCATAAATGTATACTTTAGCCGCAGTCCATTGATTCATTTCGTATCAATAATAACCAAACAATTAAAAAAAACCGTGGATCTTTTCACCTTAATAAAACTTATGTACTTTCGTTTGTTTAGTTATTGGTATTGCAACTACACAAAGCTGGGAATGGTTTCGCGATGTTCTGTCTACGGGCTGTGTTTTAAGTCGCTTTGCACGTACATCACGCTTTTTCGTTCATTTCTTTGTCGTCCCTGCATGATTGTACGACGACGTCAAAACGTCCTAATTTCACGTTTTAGGGAGGACGTGGACACAAGACAACAGTTTCTTTTTCTTTTTTCTGAATTTAGATACAGTGGTTCATGATTCAACTCCCGAAAAATTCCTCAACATTTGACAAATTGAACGAGGTCGAATGAGAGCTATATAACGTTTCAAAGACAGCTAATCCACAAATCTGAAGCGCCTTACCTTGTTTATCTCCACTAAATTAAACCGTCTGACAAAGTACAACAAGCTGGTGAATCTGGATAAATGCAAGTAACATAATCCGTATGTTCAGAAGCGGTTGGGCTTTCCACCGTAACAAGGCAGCCCACTTCAAGTGGGTGATTACCCCTTCAGGCGGTCGCAACTCGTTACTACGATACTTGGCAGAGTCTAGAGAAAATGCTCATCAAAGCAAATGTAATTATACGCGGATTTAACGATTCAAATACTACGAATAAAATATCCTTGACAAATATAAGCAGTTGTAAGCGAAAGCTCAAAATGAACATTTTTGGGAAGGTAATGCGAATTAATGAAATGATCACTGAGGGGAAAGTGTTTAATTGATCTTTTATCAAATTTATTCAACGTATGCGGGAATAGAATATACCTCAAAGAAGATCTACAGAGAATGCAGAATAGATGTCTAAATGTCACTGGTCTCCCTAGGGATACTGTTGAGTTACTTGTAACTAGGCGTCAGAATTTGACGAGGAAAGAATTTAAACGTATCCTAGAATCTGAAGCACATCCTTGCAAACGTTTTTTGGACAAGCCAGTGGATCATGGCCATAATCCAAGATCTTGTAAGGCTAACCCAGCGCACCTCAGAATACCTGTATCACGCACTGTTAGGCACAAACATGCATTCGTTTATTCCTCGAGGTGCTAAACTTAATTTGATATGTTTATATAATATGTAGTGTTTTGAATTTTTATTGTAATATTACCGTAGTTCTTATCGCCAAAGGTAATAAATAAAGGTATTATTATTATTATTATTAACATGTATGCGCCTAACATGGCTGCAACGTTTCTTTCACGCTCGTAGTTCTAGTTATTTTTTCGTAGCTATTTAAAATTGTGAAAGGTTTGAACCCAGGAGTCATTTCAAAAGTAGGTTGAGTTTGATAGTCCGGGTTAACGTAGTCCTGAACAGGACTGTTGTTGTTGACAGTGACTGACGTTTCGACAACGTGTGCGGTAGTCATATTCAGAATCAAAGTGAGTTGCATCACGTCAGGTGATGGTATCATACTCTCGTTATTGGTCTGATTGGTCAATTACGTTGCGATGTTATTGGACGTCTGTCAGTTAAGCCGTGATGTTATTGGCTATGAAGACTGGTAGTCAGTAATTGGTGCGTTTCGATCCGTCTGTTGTCACAGTTAAACAGTCGTCTATTGTTAGTCAAATTGTCAGTTCTCCAGTCGTTCTCTCGTAGTTAGTTTTGCTTGATCTCGTCAATAAGTCATCGTTTGTACGGCGCTGGTTACTGTTGGCTACGATTCAGTGGCGTTTGTTCTAAGTTAGAAAACCAGCTTTCTAAAGTAAGACGTTGATAGCAGTTTGTAGAATACGTTATACATGTCGCAGAGTCCCAGTCAATTCGATGTTTTGTCTGTAAATGGTGCTCAGCAATGTGATTGTTGACGTCACCATTCCTCGTCGCTCGTTTGTGTTCGGTCAGTCGTGTGCTCAGGTTAAAATTATCAACTTGAGACGCGATCTCTCTCAGCAACCTGTTCCAAGATTTAACGTTGATTTAACGGCCGAGTCCTGCCGGAGCTCTTTAACGGATATTGAGCGTATTTCCGGTAACGACTTAAAAAATATCATCCTTTCTGCAAAACCTAAATCCTGCTCTCTTGATCTACTTCCGACTTGGCTTCTAAAGAACTTCATCTCTTTCCTTCTATAAACCATAACCACCATTATGAACTTGTCTCTTGAGAAAGGCTTTTTTCTTCTGATTTCAAGAAGTCTATTGTCCGTCCTCTTATCTAGAAAGAAACTCTTGACTGCGACGAGCTTGATCCTTAGTAACTACAGGCCTATTTCCAATCTTTCGTTCCTGTCAAAGACACTTAAAAGAATCGTTGCCTCTTAAATCGACGAATATCTCCATGACAACGGTCTTTATGCCAATTCTCGCCAATGAATTCAACCAGTTTTTATTTCTGTTAGAGTGAATGCAGCTGGTAAATCCGCTGAGCTGGCCTGGTCGCTTGGGCTCACGGATGACGTTCCCTCTTGTAGCAATAATTCACCGAAGTCTGGTGAAGGCTTGTTCGACTTTAAACCTGTGTCCTGTTCTGAAGTCCGAGAGGTTTTAACTGTTATGCCGTCCAACAAGGCCCCTGGCTATGATAGAATTCCACTGTTTGTCATCAAGGACTGCCCCCCTTACATACTTCCGACTTTAAGTAGACTAATCAGCTCCTCGTTTGCCTGTTCTGAATTCCCTAGGGCTTGGAAAAAATCTGTGATTGTACCCCACCTAAAAGACGAACGACATGAGGTCCCCAATAACAACCAGCCGATCTCGTTGCTTCCTGTGCATTCTAAAGTAGCTGAGAAGATCGCCTTGATTCAATTTAATGACTTCCTGACTAAGAAAAACAAACTCACTCAACATCAAGGCGGGAACCCCAAGAACCATTCTACGGAAACTCTGAGCCTTTTAGTTACTGATCATATCTTCAGGGCTATAGACCGACAGCAATTGACGGCTATGGTCCTTATAGACCTCAGCAAGGCCTTCGACAGTATTTGCCACAGTACACTTCTTCGCAAACTACGCAGCCTAGGCACATCAAGTCAGGCTCTTAAATGGTTCGAGAGTTACCTCACGGACCACAAGCAGTCTACTCGATTAGGCACCTCTCTATCTGATGAGCTTACGATAACACATGGCGTGTTTCAATGCTCCAGGGCCACTCCAATTCCCGAAGAACAGGCGAGATGTGATCAAAATTTTTAGTATCTGTTAATACGCGGGCGGCGAAGTTTTGCACTAATTGTAACTTCTGTAGATTTTCCTTTGAGGTGTCTGCCCAGATAGTGGAACAGTAAAAAAGTTTACTAAAAATAAGAGAATTCAAAATGGTTGACAAGACAGGTTTAGCAAACAGGTGTCACACCCTACTAATCTGACATAACATGGACAGGAGAGACGATGTTAACGTGTTTACACGATCATTAAAGTTGAGGTAAGAGTCCAGTGTAATTCCTAAGTCTTTAACTGAGGATACCGGAGTGAGTTCTTGGTCGAGGAAAGGTACTCTGATGTGTGATACTTTGCTTAGGAGCTGCCTTGTCCCGAAAAAAAATGAGTTTGGTTTTCCCTGGATTTATCAGTAATTGATGTGAGCAACTCCACCCAGCAATGAGACGTAGGTCTTCTGTCATTTTTACAAGGCAAGAATTCATGTTTTTAGCCGAAAAGCGGCGGTAGATCTTAGTATCGTCAACGCGGGAGTCGGTACAGCTGGATTTAACTGCGGAGGGTAGATCATTTATATATAAGTTGAACAACATGGAACCTAAGATCCATCAAAGATCAGCTATTAGTCCTTAATACTACCCAAGCATACAAAATTGTTAATCGCCTCGCTCCGATGTACTTGAGTAGTAAACTCAGTAAGCGATCAGATACTTACCACTACAACACGAGGAAAAAAGACAATCTAAATCTCCCTCTATGCAGAACAGTTACGGCGCAACGGTCATTTAACTATCGCGCTGAAAGTGCATGGAACTCTCTGACCGCAGACACTACAAAAAGCCCATCACTATGTACCTTTAAGAGGAGCGTCAAACGCGAATTGCGGGTGCAGACCCCATGCGATAAATAGTTAATATTTGATTTAGTTTAGATCTCCAAAGAGATAACGTAATTGTACGCGCATAGGTTAGGCTTTTAGTTTTGTACCAAGATTGTAATCAGTTTACGCTTTTTCTTCTTATCCCTTTCTTTTTAGCATTTGTAAATTAACTTCAGAATGGTCCTTTGGAAGAATTAGTAAAAATTATTGTATTGTATTTTAAGATGCAATCGGCATACGGGAAGTATCATAGCACTGAGACTGCACTGATTCGTGTTGTTAACGACATACATCGTGCTATTGGTGATCAGTGCGAGTCCATTTTGGTTTTACTCGAACTTTCCGCCGCCTTCGACACAATCGATCACGCGATGCTTCTTGAGAGATTAGGGTTTCTTTATGGCTTTTTCAACCTAGTTCTTCAGTGGTTCACTTCTTATCTTGTTGACCGTCCTAAACGCATAATGTTTGACAAGTTTTCTTTCCCAGCCTCGTCGTTTATCTTGTGGAGTCCCTCGAGGCTCCATTTTAGGACCGGTGTTAATTTCTCTTTATATTTCTCCACTGGAGGATGTAGTTACAGCTCACGGCTTAAAAGCAATGATGTACGCCGACGATTCTCAGCTTTACATTATTATGAGACAAAGAAATCGTGCTACAGCATCAAAAGATCTTACGCTTTGTATCCCAGATATCATGTCCTGGAATGTCTCTAACATAATTAAATGTAACCTAAAAAAGAAGTTGAAATCATTCACTTCTCGCATTTTTCACCGGCCGAACCAGTTCCTTCTATCAAGGTTGGAGATTGTCCAATTTCTCTGAGTAATGAAGTCAAAGACCTCAAGATCACACTTGTCCTCTATCACACTTTTCAAACTTACATCAACAACAGTTGTCGCTCCGCCTCACATTCTATTCATCACATCGGAAAAATTAGGAACTTTCTATCTAGATCTACTACGGGACGTCTTATTCAGGCATTTGTTTCTTCAAAACTGGATTACTGCAAAAGCAGTCTTCACGGCCTACCCCCTGTTAGCTAGAGAAACTACAACGGTTGCAGAGTACAGCTGCAGGGCAAACTGTTAGAACAAAAAGGTCGGCTCACATCACTCCAATCTTAAAGAGTTTGCACTGGCTCCCATTAAAAGAAAGAATTAATTTTAATATTCTGGTGGTCACGTACAAAATCCTCCATGGCTTTGCCCCAACCTATTTAAATGAGCTGTTACTTAACTACAGGCCTGACCGTTTACTACGGTCAAGCGGCTTAAACCTGCTGTCTATTCCAGAGACTAGAAACGTTACGGTTACCTATGGCGACAGATCCTTCTAAGTCATTGCACCAAAGCTCCGGAATGACCTACCCATTACAATCAAACAGTGCTCCACAAAATTTGTTTGTGGATACTGGGGCGTAAAGAGTTTTAAAGCCATCCTTTTTTGTATAGGCGATCACCAAGCGTTATTCTGGCGTTCTATATTCGTACACTTTTGAACCCTTCGGATACCTTTTTCGGTACGATGTTGTTCAGTGGTTGGTCAAGTTCTGACAACAAGTCAAAGATTTCGAACAAGGTAGCAATAAATAATAGCCCTGGGCATCCCTCCATCTCCCTCCCGTTCTTAAAGAGATGGTTAATGGTAAGAGGCAGCTTGCTCGAGCGGTTAGAGCGCCGGACTTGTAATCCGGAGGCCCCGACTTCAAGTCCCACCCTTACCGCTACCTGGATGTGTTTTCGGTAGTCCCGCGTTCAAGCTAATCCTCGGCCACGCTTGTACAATAGCCAACTGGTTCGCCTCCTGCCAGTTGGGATTCTTAGGCAAAAAGCCCGATAATGGAAGAGGATAAGAGTATTAGTAATGGTAACAGGACTGAGGGGAGTCCAATTCGGTCTGTAATCATACGAGTGATTAACAAAATCGGGAGTCTGATTTGTTTAATCACGAGTACGATTACAGACCGAACTGGACGACATAAAGTTTTGTTACCAGTTAATCATAACTTTAACTAAATTTATGATATATAAGGCTCTTTATATAAATCAAAACACAAGAAATTCCAAGACCTTTTTTTTTGCCAGCAGTGAAAAAAAGCCATGTAAGCGCGCGCGTGGTGGCGCGTACTGTCCAATTACTTAGGCATGACGCGTACTGTCCTATTAAGGCTGAAATCAGGGGAGTTGATAGCCAGTCAGATTTGAGAATTTTGTTATAGTTATGATGATGATGATTAAAAAGATTCTCATGAAACACTGGAATATCATTCAATAGCAACCTAAGCTTAAACATATCTTAAACCAACCACTAATTATCTCCTACAGAAAGGAAAAATCTCTCAAGGACATTCCAGTCCACGCGAAAATTCCTTCAATCTCGCAACAATCACATAATCAACGAAGCGGTTCAAGCAAACTAGAACTTGGCAATATGCATACGATTACCTTAACTGACTCCTAAAAACGGCAATCACGCATCCATTCGTTTATTGCAAAACAACCGGGTTAATATATTTTCAGATCTCTTAAACCTTTCACTAATCATTCTTATTACGAACGTAGAAGCTGAGGACTCTTTGACTTACTTTAAAAATTCATACGTAAATGAAATACAATGAATAACTGTAAATTTTGACTCCACTACACAACATCAACAGACAAAACGTAATGGCAAATAAGTTTATTTTGGGACGGCTTGGCGAGAACCAACCCTACAAAGTATTTATGTAAATACAATAATAGGTGAATACTGGTGAATACCTAATGTACAACACTTGTAAACTAGCTTTCACAAAAAGATAAAACTCGTGCGACAAATGGTCGCTCTTGACCTGAATCTCCCATTTAAGCAGGCAGGCTTAGTGCCAGGTAGGCTGCCAGTCATTCTGGGGAAACTAATTAATAAAACTCAGACAACGCATAACTGGCACACGGAACACGGTAGTAGCACAGAGGCTAAACAAAAAGAAAAAACTCCTCACAACTGGTTGATCTCGACCTGAATCTCCAAATAAGCACACAGGCTTAGTGCCAGTTAGGCTGCCAGTTAGGCTGGGGAAACTAATTAATAAAACTCAGACAACGCATAACTGGCACGAGGAACACGGTAGGAGCACAGAGGCTAAGCAAAAAGAAAAAACTGCTACAACTGGTCGATCTCGACCTGAATCCCACAAATAACCACACAGGCTTAGTGCCAGTTAGGCTGCCAGTTAGGCTAGAGAAACTAATTAATAAAACTCAGACAACGCATAACTGGCACGAGGAACACGGTAGGAGCACAGAGGCTAAGCAAAAAGAAAAAACTGCTACAACTGGTCGATCTCGACCTGAATCCCCCAAATAAGCACACAGGCTTAGTGCTAGTTAGGCTGCCAATTAGGCTGGAGAAACTAATTAATAAAACTCAGACAACGCACAACTGGCACGAGGAACACGGTAGGAGCACAGAGGCTAAGCAAAAAGAAAAAACTGCTACAACTGGTCGATCTCGACCTGAATCCCCCAAATAAGCACGCAGGCTTAGTGCCAGTTAGGCCGGGGAAATTTAATAAAACTGTGATCAACGTATAACTGGGACCGGGAACACTTAGGAGCACAGAGGCTGAGTGCCAGGAAAACTGGGAATTATCTCCACTAATGTACCCAACAAGGCACGTAGCCCAATAACCAGTAAGACTGCCATAAAAGGCTAGGGCGGGACATTGAGGGTACACAATGAATAACGACCCTGGCTAGAGGTCTGTAACATTGCCTGCAGCCTAACTGCGTCAAACGAGACTTACGTCGCCTCCTAAAGAGCGGTTCCGGGACAGCTGACCTAAGCATACATGGAAACTAAATATATCAAGTAAAGGAGCAGGTGTAAAACTGAGATAACTAATGTACAAGTACATAAAATAAGAAACGGGAAAAAGGCTGAAAACTAGCAGAGCTGAGCTACCGCTTACAAACTGAAGTAAATGCGGTCAGACGGAGGCCAGAAAAAACCTGCCCAAAAAAACCCCGAAGGGAAAAAATGCGGGCAGGAAATCTGGGTAGGAACCAAGGCTCAAGCTCAAAGCCCTTCCTACGGGACTTTACAATGTAATCGAGAATATGTTGCTCCTAAAAATAAATAAAACAAAAATTTAAGAAAAACCAAGGAGAGGTTGGTTCGTAAGCCTAGATGACGAACACGTGATATACGCAGCCTTATATACCCCCGATATGGCTACCCATGGTGCATCCGGCCTAGTACCCAGGCCCTGTTGTATCTCGTGCCGTCAAAATATTTATTTCTGCCTTCTTCGCGGGCTCATTCGTCAGAAATAACATATTTTGACTCCACTACACAACATCAACAGACAAAACGTAATGGCAAATAAGTTTATTTTGGGACGGCTTGGCGAGAACCAACCCTACAAAGTACGTAGAGTGACAAAGTATTGGGCGAAATGACAAATGAAAGCTCCTAGAGCCCAAGAAACTTGGAAACTGAAAGCCTTTTTTCTAGGTCATCATCGGTAGGCGTCCTTGGCTAGAACGGACTTTCAGCGGCCGAGCCACTGAAACACACTGTCACAAACCCCATTATAAGCAGCGAAGGTGGCCCCTCACGAACGCAAGGAATATAAACCAAAAGTGGAAGAGTCAACCCCGACAATTCTCAGGTCCTTGCGAAAAGCCTCTCTAATTGTGGTATAGCTGATAGGCTCGTCCTGGGAAACTAACTAAAAAGAGTTGTTCCCGCGAAACATGGGGCAAAAATGAGATCCCCGGAGCTAAAGGGGATGGAAAAAAGAGCAAGGTACCTCTTTAGAAGCTTGACAGGACAAGCAGGGCCAAACATTTCCGAAAAAATCACTTCGAGTCATCGTCCTTACAAAGTTGGTCGTTCTTACTTTTGAGAACCTTAATGATCATGAAACCCTCATGAAAGAAAATATAATACCCCCTAATTATGGAGACCTCATCAAACCTAAAATCGTTTTGAAAACACACCTAGCCCCTTCCATAATCGAGTTATCCCTGGGAGAGGGGATACCCGCCATGGTATGAACCCATTTAATACCATAAACATTCGAGTCTACGACGCACGGGGAGTGCGACTCTTCAATGAGGTGTTGCAAATACAAGGCAACATGGCAGGGACTGGCAGGGCAGGCCCAGCAATGAAGCTTACTGGAAGCAAAACATTTTTACTTGCGAGTAGCACGAAGGTACACCACTGTCGTACTAACTGCCTTTGAGGAGAGAACCGTCGATTGCATTGTAGACTGTCTGTCAGCCTCAGGGTTCAACCCTCTGGTGGAAAATTCTGGGGCCCGCGCTAGAAACCAGAGCGGAATATATCTGAAAAGTAATCGAAAATACAAAAGAAAATGTGAGGATCACGCAATAAAAAAGAAAAAACACCGGAAAAGGGAAGTGGGGGGTCAAAAGGCTACATGCAAAAACCTAATGGGTCCAAACCTAAAGGTACGCATAACACGCGTGTAGAGGCACAGGCAACACTTTCCGTCAGGCGGCGTAGAGCAGAAGCCCGCCAGGGACGAGGGAGGTGTGGGGCGCCGAAAATAAACTCGAAGCGCTATGACGCCAAAAAATAAAGGCCTGGTTCTGAAAAGGGAATTACGGACCTTCCCTGGAACAAATAATCCCTGGAACTTAAGCAATAAAACCCAGTCCACAACAAAACTATTCCAATGCACTCCATCTCTAGTAGAAACATTTCAGAAAATAGCTGACTTCCATACGTGAGGAATAAGGGCTCCCGTGAGCGCGCAGAGCCCAATGTGTCTGATATACATGACTCTGACAATGAGGCAAACAGGTGGGCCAAGCCAGTTGTTGTCCTATCCCCAATTTGAGCGAAGGCATAAACAGCCTAACAGCCTGGCTGAAAAAATAAAGAGTTAAGCCAAGGCAACTCGCCGTTGTAACTACAGGCGAACCTGTCAATAATGTAAGGACCTAAGAGGTGATTAAGCCCTAGCAAAACAAAATCGTTGAGGCCGTAACCATCGAAGTCAACGAGCTTGCAGATACAGACCGCACTAGCGTTCAGGTCCCTAGGGATCCACTTGACCTAGAACGAAATACAATGATGGGAGCAAATTTGAAAAGCAACTAGGGCTAAATTCTTTGAGATCGCATTTCCTGCTGCCGTCGCGGAGAATGGATTCGACGTTCTGGTTGTCAGAATACCAAAAAACCTTGGAGTTAGATGAAGGGCTCGCGAAGGCTAGTAAGGCAAGACAAACCGCTTAGAGCTCTCTACAAGTCGATCTACGAACACTTTCCGACCAATTCTGATAAAAAATCAACTCAGGTTCAGACTCCACTTAAACGCCGCAGGCTGAATCGGAAGCATCGGAGAAGCCGGAGCTTACTCTCACTGGAAGCGAACTGGAGCCCCTCGATAAATTTTGCCGTAGAGAGGCTAACATAATTCGACCAAAATTCAATTTCATACAAAGAATCAACGGACAGGAAAACCTAGCTATCCCAGGAAACAGCTGAGTAAACAACTGAGAAAAGAAATCGGGCCATAATGCACGCGACGGATCCCACGCTACTCGAGAGGGAAATACTATGGGCGGCTACACACGGGACGCGTATAACGTGGACTGTGGTGGACGACTAATATGAAGACAAAGCCGCCAGGTCGCGAGACAATTTAGCAATGCGTTTATCCGTGGCTCCAATACTTCCATCCAGAATGTTATGTTGAGATGAACGCGAAGCCACTAGAAAATTCGAACGGGCTCCCACAGGGAGTTTTCCTCATAGGAATTCGAACAAAGGGAGACTAAAGCAAGTCGGCATGGACAGCCCGCAAACTGTAAATTAAGGCCTGAACGCGATAGGCTCCTCCTCCTATAGCTAGACCATAGTCAAGAAAAATGGCAATAGGGATACCTTGGCTACTTCTAGATTACTGAAGCGGTTTGAGGGAGGCTGACAAGAACCCAAAGGGAAGCGCGCAAAGTAGAAAATACCTAAAAACCCAGGTGCCGAGATCCCAGGTGAACGCAAGGAAATACTGGTGATCAGGGAAAATTATGATAACCGCACTAGAGGTAAAATATGAATAAATAAAAACCCATATCAAAAATATAAGTGGCCATGGACAAGTCTTCGCACTTGAATTTCTGTTAGAAGAAAAAAGTGCAAACGTGCCTAAAATCCAGGATTAACCTTTGTTAGCCGGAGCGGCGCGTCAAACAGAAAGCGGGTAAATGATATTGGAATGCAAAAATTTTTAAAAGGAGGTTGAGGCTGGGAAGCTCATTAACAGCTACGGACAAAAAGAACTGTAAACACGTGCAGAGGCATTGTAGGATTTGTGAAAAAAAAAAACATAAAAAGCTGGAAGAAGGGAATTTGTAACTAAGACTAAAAACATTCAAAATGAACAGAGAAACTAGCAAAGTATGCCAGAAATAGATAACTGTGAAAAATCTTCCCCAAACTGAAGGCAGAATAGAAATATCAACGTTACACTCAGAGCTCTAAACCGCGCCTAAAACTAGCGGGGTGAACGTAAGAAGAAACTGGTATAATATCGAGACAATCCTGATCCATATTACGGCTTGCCGCCTAAAAAATTCAGTACTAAATTAGAATAGACTGCACCTGATTGTTGTCCTTCATCTAGCCATTTGGGAGTTTGGGATGTTTGGCTTGTCCATCGTCGGGTAACAGGATCGTTTTCCACGGGCAAAACAGGTCCCGACACTGGGTCGTCGAGAAGGCGAAAATTAAAACAGGAACGTTTGACATGAGGCTGGGGTTGCATATGTGAAGTTGAGGTGGACGCCGGCGTTCCCACTGGCGAGGATCTGTTTTTGAGTGGTCTTCTTCTTACGGGCCTAGTACGCTACACGGCCGCAAAATTCTGCACTGTGGATCCTTTAAAACTAGTTTTCGCTGGCCTTCTTCTTGAACTTACGTGGTTCGTTATACTTTAGTTTGTTAATTTCCTTCATCTGCTGCTCGGCCAAATATTCATTAGCGCGCTTGATTTGACCAACGGTTTCTGTTAACAAAACTTTAAACGAGTCCATTAACTGTTTGTTATTCTCCTCAATGAGATCGGACACTTCGTCTTTGCTGACGGATATAACGCAAGAAAGAGCCGATAAGAACGTTAAGAAAAACCAAGGAGAGGTTGGTTCGTAAGCCTAGATGACGAACACGTGATATACGCAGCCTTATATACCCCCGATATGGCTACCCATGGTGCATCCGGCCTAGTACCCAGGCCCTGTTGTATCTCGTGCCGTCAAAATATTTATTTCTGCCTTCTTCGCGGGCTCATTCGTCAGAAATAACATTTTTTGAGCATCATAAGATAGAATCTTTCAGGTCATCTTAAGTAGTCTATGGAAAAGTTATCAGTCTCACCTAATCTCGGTGAATCTGTCTTTCGGTGTTCTTTCATTGTAGTGGTTTTTGTTCTATAATGATATTATATTACTTCTAACACGAATAAGTAAAATTTCATCCCCAAATATCACAAAAACGCCCCTCCGTCAAGTGAATCCCAGTTTAGGGGGATTTGTCGTTGAGAAGCACTTGACTCAGGCGACTTTGTCTTATTAAATTCCCCCATCCCTGGGGGAAATACTCAACTTTGCTCCCCCATTTTACAATCCCCCTGGTTAATAATGATTATAATAATAATAACAATAATAATAATGATAATAATAATCAACTTTATTTAACGAGGGTAACACGGGACAGTACTTCAACTGAATAACTAGTGACCCTGAATAACTAGTGGCTCGGGGGTCTACCCCCGGGGCAAGCCGATGACATGTGTAATACGCTATGATACATACCATTTTTTATATTCCTGTAAACTTTGTTTTCAATTTACCGCTTTATGTTACTAGCTATATGCACCACACGGGTAAAAAAGAAATTAAAACAAAATAATAAGAATAAAGTTCCGAAAAATTTGCTTCAAGGGGATTCGAACCCGGCTGGTTAGAATCAGTTAAAACTAAATGTTAATGCCTCCATGCACTGGACCACCTCAGTAGACGCTGACAGTTCGAGTTTAAAAGAGGTAAATATTCCTTCTCTATGGTGATTGACAGTTTTCAAAGATGTCTTTTCCGGGTTTTTTTTAATTTCCGTGTAGAATCAAAGCTTTAACTGATCAAAGCTAGACGTAAGGCTCACAATAAACCCATTAACACTCTTTCAGGCTTGTTCCATGCCTGGGAACGTTTAAGAAATTTATGAACTATCGATCGCTCGGCTACCGACTGAACTGACCGTACGATTCTCTCCCTGCTCGTAAGCTGTCTTTTCATCGGTCGGGGAAAACACTGACACATCATTGTTCATCATTATTTCCATTTTTTTAGGTTAGGGTAGCAAACCATTCGGCTTTTAGGGTTAGAAGAGCTGCTACATGACACATCTCCCCTGAATGAAGAAAAACAATATGGCCGCCAAATACATCCTTTCAATTTTTAAAGTTCTCCTCTATTAACAAACGTTGAACATTTATTTCGGTAAACAAACAGTTAAGTTGAAAAAGGATTTTACAAAAGTCTCAAGAGTAGGTCTCCTTTTCGATTCTAATCTGCAATATCGGTCAATTTACGCAACTTTTAAACTTCTGGCTCAGTTTCGTTTGCTTCTGTTTTGAAAACAGAATAATAATTACTCAGGGGTAATACAGCGTAAAGATTTGTAGAGAAAAACAAGAAAAACTTGCCAATCTATGGCGAAAAATGTACTTTAAAAACAAACTAAAACATTCAAAACGTTCTGAGCAAGTGACTGATGACGTCCTTTCCCTCTATTGGTAATAAAAAAATTTATCAGGTAGAACATTACTTTCCTGCAAATTTTCTCTGCCGTGTGACGAAATGTCGGCCTGAAATGTCAACTCTCTGCAGCCCTCGGCCTAGTCTCCTGACTTTTTCGCTGATGTTCATTGCCTTCTTAAATTTGAAATGCCGGACGTCAACTGGTTGTTTTTAAATGCCCCAAGCAAGTAAAACCTCAAATATGCTATTTGTCTTTAACTCGTTAATGAAATCTTGTCATAGCAACAAAAAAACGTAATTCGGAAATAGTCACGTGACTGACGACGTCATTACCTTAGATGTGACATGGAAAGATATCTTATGCAAATGTTATCTTGTTGTGGTCTGACATTCTTCTACGTATAAAATTGTCAAAGTTATAAAACTTTTAAGAAAAATTACCTCAAAGGATCGTGGGATAATAATTATGATAATTATAATTTACTTTTATAATTATTATTATTATTATTAACTACAACATCAGAGAATAACCAGCATCAAACAGTTACCCTACTTTTTCACAATTGGAAAAAGTCAGAAACGCGCGCAAAATCTGATCTTTTGAATTCTAAATCAATTATACCGTTTTCTTTATGAATGTTATAAATGTCTTAAGGCTAAAAAAATATGTGGGGAAGCTCGAGAATATAATTATCGGTATCATTACTCAGGCTAAGTGACAGTTTTATCCACTCCTTGCTAAATATGAGCTAGGGTAAAGGAGTCTCCATTTTAAAAGGTAGGGGTTGGTTGGATATTGTAGTTTCGTAGTCTGACTTTCCCAGTAGACTAATGAATGCACGAAAAAAACATATTGCGATAGGCGAATTTTTTTGTCTACATTTTTTGCCTTTCATTCTCTGGTCAAGCTACTACTAAACTCTCTGAATATCGAAAGATCATAACAATAATTTCAGTTATCTATGAAACTTTTGAGCCTGATATACATAACATTTTCGGAGAAATTATCTTTGAAAAGCTCGAAACCTCACAAACAACGTATGCCCTTATTAATGTTTTTGCCACCCAGCAATTTCGCAGTTTTCGGTGGCTGCTATTTCCTTTGTTATTGAAATAGCTGAAAATTGCGCAAATTGTTCTTGAATTTGATTTGTGCATAGCCATACAGTGACCCCTTTTATGGGTTGAGTCGTATGCTAATGAGCAAAAGTGTAAACAATGACCTTAGCGAAGATTCAATAAATGTACCTGGGTTAAGAACAGTATTGACAGATTTTTATGTGTCATATCAACATGCAATTATTTCCTCCAAGAAACAATGATAAGAGCCTTCAGTCCAGGCTCAAAAGGACACTCCGAGTTTCTCCTAGCTTCTTTCCTAAAAGGAGGGTATGTGCAAAGCCTTTGATATGAAAATTGAAAATTATTTTTTTCATTTTCATGGACATAAAACTAATTTTCCATGAAAATACACATGAAAGGTTTTGTTCACGCCATTGCTGACTTAGTCATCACAGTATCTTCAAATATTTTAATTATTTTTAGAGTTTTTGTATTTTAAAATCGATTGCTGTAGTTAAATATCACTAGTCACATTGTAAACTCCTTGCATTTCACAGTTCGTTTTGTATATTTAATGTAGTTCCTTTTATTGTAAAGCGCATTAGATGATGTTCATTTGTATTTTGCGCCTTAATTTATTAATAATTTATTATTATTATTATTATTATTATTATTGAATTATCGCTTGGCCTCGTTTTGAAAGTGAGGGTTCTCGCATCTCGGAAATGGCGTATTTCAACTCAAAATTTAAGGTCCTTTTGTAGCCTCCTTAGCTGGCAAGATTAGCGGAAGAGTGCTGTTCGTTTTTGGCGGCCCTCGCGGCTGGGCCGCCAAGAAAGTACCCCGCGCATAAAGAAAATACACCGTGCCTAACAATCCCGCCAGCTACGCAGGCTAGTTATTTTGTAAAATAAATGTGCTGAAAGTTTCACTCTTACACATGCCTCTCTTTTTTGCAGATAAAGCTTGTAACAGAGGCTATCAAGCTTGATGAGGATGCCAAGCTTAAGGAAGCTGCTGAGTTGTACTGCGAGGCCATGGCTTTCTTTTTACCCGCCATTGAGTGTAAGTTATATATTCCTGACAGAGCCGTTTCTTTGAAAGGAGCCAAATCACGGTATTTTATTGACTTTTCATATTTTTGTTAACCTAACTAAGAGCACTCAACTGCAAATTGAAAAAAAAAATCATCGAAAGTTTTTAATTGACGAAATCATCGCAACATAACAGATACAGATTACTCCTTAGCATTGGAAGTCATAGCTTTAAACAATCGGAGATTATATTGAGAAAAGGGGAGCGGCTATTTTAAGTTATCGTTAGCGCAATTTTACGTTAAAAAAGCAAAGAATGGACGAAGTAAATATCTTACATTTGTTCATTGTATTACATTACATGTATGTCTCTTTCTGGTCGTATGATTTTTATCTAGTGGATGATACTCACCTAGCTTACGCAGGAGACAATGTAGGCAACACGGAATCTGATGCCTCGCTTTTCTCTTCGAGAGGAGCGCAAAACGCGAGTGACTGGTTGACGAATCGCAAGGGACCATGGGAAGGTGAAAGAAGACAGGCCGTTTCCTCCTTCCCGCCCTTCTTAGCGCGCGAACTGGATAATGTTGAAATCATGATCTAGCAAATGCCAACAACTGGGCCAAGTTGTTCGAAGACTGATTAGCTCGATTAACCGGGATTCTTCAACATTTTTTTTCCAAAAGCATTCTCCTTGTTAATTTGTAACAGCATCTTATCATCAAATTTTAGACATATTTGAACAGAGAACGGAAGTGATGACGTCTCAAAAACTAAGTTTCTGAAATTATGGGATGGCTTGGCATATCCTGAAAGAACAAGAGGAAAAATGTTCACTTAATTGTTAAAAATGAGCCTGTTGATTCAAATTGGTGGGGAGATTTCTGTACCGTTATGCTCCAATGACTCCATATAAATCCTTCTAAAATAAGGCTGGATCTTAAGCGTTACTTATAGAAGTTACGATCCAAACCAGTACATACTGAAAATTTAGCCGCGCCAATTATGATTTGTCGTTAAATGTCGTTAAACCGTAATTTTTATATCACAACTAAAAGATTCCCGACCTTTTGCAGCGTAGTTGTAGACAATATTGGAGCACATATTTTGTAGTTTTGTACTTTGGCTGTCTTATTTAGCCGATTGTTCCGACTCATTAAGACCTGTGAACTGCGACAGGGTGGGCTGTAGGCCACTGTTGAGTCGTTAACGGTCAGTCCGCAGTTTGAAAGCTTCGTGGTAATCTAACTTTGGAAGGGCATGGAAAGTGCCGTACTCGAGGTTGTGGGTGGGAATCTTGACTAACTTATCTCCAGCAGAAACTTGGGCGGTGGCGAGCACCAGCAGAGTCAAAGAAAGCAAAATGTTCGTCTTCATCGCCGAAATCTGGAAGAGATTAAACCATCATCACTTCCGTAATCATTATCTTTTTATACAATATAGTGAATGCTACGCGCGCTGTGATTGGCCGTTGCCCATGATATATTAGAGTACAGACACACGGATGACGTCATGGGGAACTGGTTTTCTTTGTCTCGTTTCTTACAAAGTGAAAGCCTCGAAAAACGTCCAGCAGGAGCTGTTTCATCATGATCATGATCCTTTGGTTTCATCAACATCATTATCCTTCGGCTGCAGAGCAGTCGACCACACGTTTCCTCCTTCGATGGCTGTCTTGAGCCATTTGCAACAGCTGATTGTTATTTAGCAAACTATCAGCATCCCCCAGAATATAAATGAATATAATTGGTGAACGGGGTTCGCTGTCTTCCGGGTGTACTCCGATGAATAAGAACATAAATTGCAAATTCTCTGACTGGCTCCGTTTCAAGCAAGCGGAGCACATGACCAAGGAGCCTCAATTGCCGAAGCCTGACTCTTTTAATAAAGGGAGCTGTTTCCGTGAGGCTGTAGATGATACCATTTGGTACCCTGTTGATTCCGCTCGATGTTCAACATGATCCGATAGCAGGACGTGCCAAAGAACTGATCTTGTTCTCCATGGCCTTAAGAGATGACCCGTGACTCGCAGCTATATAGTAATACTGTAATACAGGTTGTTTTGAACACTTTCACCTTGTTGGAGATAGGCATGAAGGGGCTTTTCCATAGACGCTATAATAGGAGCTGTTTACGAGTAAGAAAGACGGAGAAACCGAAACAAAAAGAGCTCTTGGCGACTTAAAAATGCCTAAACTAGAAGAAATTTTTGCAACAGTTACCATCGTGTGTGATCGCTACGGGACAGAGTTTTCAAAATGTTTGGGAGGTACTGTCTGTGTGTAAGGTAAAGAAGAAAAGAAGAAGCAGAGACGAAACGTAGTGTTTGTGACCTGCGAAATACCTGAACTGGCACAAATCCTCGAACAGTCAAGCGGCACGAGGCAAGTTTCTCGTTTTCTTTTTCTATTCATTATATAAAACGAATAGATTCCGCCATGTTGCGGTACGTCGTTTAGTAATAGATCACAAAAGACGTCAAAATGTGATGCTGAAAAACATCGGTGCCACTTTTTTGTCCTTCCCACGTTTTGACGTCATCTATGATCTATTACTGAAAAGACGCTCGGCAACATGGAACCAATTTGTTAAGTCATTATCATTATTTATCATAGATGAGTATTCACTTGTTTTCCGAAAATGACTCGGTTGTGCTAACAGTGAACTCTCATAACTCCTACAAGCTAGGCTGGAGACTTCAACCAAAACCACTATAACTTCCTCCCACCTATTTCTCCGTGCTTTATGTCAGTGAAATGCATTTGCCACAAGTTACAATGGACCTTTTCGGCATTCTTGCGGCCTTTTTTATATTTTTCTATTCTGGAGCGTTTAGGGGGGCAAACGAAAGCAGAGATGATGGTTTCTCAGTGACGCAGCAATATAGAATGGAAAGCTTGTAATTGACTTCGCTTTTACATAGTATTTGGCTGGCTTGCAAATAGTGAAGAGTTAATCACGGCAAGTCAGACTCTACACA